TTGTAATTAATCTCTGCAATCGAAAATAATTTTTTCAAAAGGATTTGAAATTTTTTTTTCCATCGAATTTAGTCACCTTCTGGATTTTTTTTCTCAAAAGTGGGTAGGAATTCGGGGGTATGTGTAATGACCAAAAATGATTGTAATTAACCTCTGCAATCGAAAATAATTTTTTCAAAAGGATTTGAAATTTTTTTTTCCATCGAATTTAGTCACCTTCTGGATTTTTTTTCTAGAAAGTGGGTAGGATTTCGGGGGTATGTGTAATGACTGAAAATGATTGTAATCGACCACTGTAATTGAAAATAATTTTTTTAGGACGATTTGCAATTTTTTTTTCCCTCGAAAAATATCACACCTTCTCGAATTTTTTTCTAGATAATGGGTAGGATTTCGAGGGTATGCCTATTCACCGAAAATGATTGTGATTGACCCCTGTAATTGAAAATAATTTTTTTAGGCCGATTTGAAATTTTTTTATTTTGTCGAAATTTTCACACCTTCTCGAATTTTTTTCTAGATAATGGGTAGGATTTCGGGGGTATGTCTATTAATAAAAAATGATTGTATTTGACCCCTGTAATTGAAAATAATTTTTTTGGAACGATTTGAAATTTTCGAATTTAATTGTTAATAACTTTTTAACGAAGGTTCAGTCAGGAAATTGATATTCTTGATTTTCGTATTATTTTGGCCTCTAGAATCTCCTAATTGGCCGAACTCCCTGTATGCATTATTATACACCCTATATGCATGTGTGTGTGTATGTGAACGGAGATGAAATTTCTGTCGGAGCGTGTGAGCGGGATTCGAAGACGAAAGATAGCAAAAAAAAAAGTTTATGGTGAGCGCGAGTACGCATCTTTAGGCATCCAACACCACTGACAACCGTGACGAGTGCTCGCGTCGTCTTATCTACCCTACACGATGTCACTCGGAACGTTCCTTCACCATAATCTTCCCTGGGGTTTTTTTTTTCATTAAGAACAACTATTAACGACGATAAGCGCGCGCGATCGATCGAACGAAACGGTGTTACGCGGACCGCGCGTAATCTAAATGCAAGAAGTAATACTGACACGTAAAGGAAAGTCCATCGATAACGTCCGGCGAACGTTCATCGAGTAAAGGAAAACACTGGAAGAGACCGTGAAAGCCGGGGCACGTTTAGCAGTGCACCGTCCCGCGGTTTGGCACGTACAACAAAGTATCGCTCGCTCTCGGCACGAATGCCGGCCCTCGAATTTCGACCGTGCATTTTCCATGACGCAACGACGCCGACGCGACGGCCGGATACTTGCTCGACGTCGATTCTCGTTACGCCCGGGAACCGAAAAAAATGTTAAGGCGTTGCTCGATCCTATCGGCGCTGCTTGACATTCGACCGTCTCGCCGAGCAAAGGAGTTTCGTGAGCCCCCTTTCTTTCGACACACATTACAATCGAATCCTACGAGCGTACCCCTTTGCATAGTAAGCGGTTAACGATCTACGCGAGAACGTACGGGGTGTCCAACAATTATAAAAAAAAACAACAAACTATTCAAACGTCAAATGTCGAACATGCAAACGCGCCCTATCTTTCTGGGTATGGTTGGGCTGTCCCCCCTTCTTTCCTAGCTTTTAGACTCTCCTTGTATCGTCGTCTTAAGTCTCACCACGTGTTCTGCTGTATTTTATTTTATAAATAAATCTTGCAACTTGTCTTTTACTTAATCTGGGTGAAGTTGTTTGAACCTACAAACCAACGTCAAGTTATAAATAAAGATAAATGCTTGTATACGTTATGTCGATCACAAATGCCCAGACGAGCTTCCACGTTGCATTTATTTTCATATAATTGATCTCTTTTTTTCCCCCAATTATAAATCGTGCACGTTGAAATGTAAGAAATGACGACGAACCAACGGGGAGGAATAACTGAAATACTATTCTTCTCTTTTAGTTTGCGTGGCAGTGACTGTAATTTGTTTTGCGTATAACGAAGCAAGCAACGCGTTTATCTTTTATCGAAACGTTGCCTACCGTTGACAATATATCCACGCTCTAAGTAACTGTATTTAGGCCCTGTATCCGTTTTCCTTCCCTCCGCTTTGGCGTTAAGAGATCCGTTCCCTTTGAACGAGCAAAAACAGCGGGGCGGAAATGCTCGGTCGAGATGGACGACGAAGGGTAAGTGCCGGGAACGAACCGCCGCTACTCGAGCGACTCTGTACACCGGCACGAATTTATCAACCAGCTTCGCAAATTTTCACGCGCTAAATACACAACGTTTTCGTTCAAAAACACGTACGACGCACGGTGCGTCCAGCAATGGACAAAAGTAAAAAAAAATAAACTCCATGTTTTATAAATTCTTAGACTTTAACGTTATCCGTAACTTTTATTAAATTTACCAATTTGTTGTGGAAAATGATGTCAGAAATTTATTGCAATTTTCGGGGCATTTTCTTAAACATGTGCCATTTACCGAAAATTTGAGTTTTCAATTTGATTTTTGCAAGTTGCGTACGCTATTACAGTACCTTCCAAACTGCTAAACAATCTTTTTAAAATATTAATAATTAGTCCCAATTTTTGATGTCAAATATTTATCAACTTTGAATTAAATTTACCAATTTGATGTGGAAAATTATGCCAGAAATTTATTGCAATTTTCGGTGCATTTTCTTAAACATGTGCCATTTACCGAAAATTTGTATTTTTAATTTGATTTTTGCAAGTTGTGTACGCTATTACAGTACCTTCCAAACTGCTAAACAATCTTTTTAAAATATTAATAATTAGTCCCAATTTTTGATGTCAAATATTTATCAACTTTGAATTAAATTTACCAATTTGATGTGGAAAATTATGCCAGAAATTTATTGCAATTTTCGGTGCATTTTCTTAAACATGTGGCATTTACCGAAAATTTGTATTTTTAATTTGATTTTTGCAAGTTGTATACACTATTATAGCAACTTCTTTTTACAATATTTACAATTAGTCCCAATTTTTTATGTTAAATGTTTATCACCTTTGAATTGAGTTTAAAAAAAAAATACCTCGATGATTTTTTGCATATCAATTTTAGGGCACATTGAACTTTAATTTAACGCCAATTTTAGCTGTCTGAATTTGCTCAAAACAGAGAATTAATCTGATAAAAAATGTTGTATTATTTATTTACAAGATAAGAAATTGTATCTATATTCTATTTTAATTAAAAAGGAATAAAGGAAAAACATTAGACAGATGCAAAGTTATTTCAGTCACTTCCTCCAAAGCCAATCAAAAAACTTTTCGAACAAAAGTTACACAGCAATCGCTCGACAAGAAATTGCAATATTACAAATTAGCAAAACAATTGTTATGCAACAAAAAAGTCGATTCAATTTTTTTTTAACAAAAATGTATAATTTTTGTGCATCATTTCATGTATCTTTATATTCTCTTTAAAAAAGTGTAGAAGGTTTTAGGTCGAAAATTGACTAATTTAGAAGCTATGATTATTATTATCAATTTCCATTTACGCGACACACTGTGCGACGGTTCAAAGAGTTTCTCGCATTCCCGAAAGTTTTTTTCAATCATTATTACGATCCTGATCACGAAAAGTCGAATTGAAATTTTCCCTATTGTCCGAGACGCCAAGCGGCGAAATAAAAAAGAGAAGAAACCGACAAACCAACGAGCGAAGCCTTTTCAAAGACAGCGAGACAACGTTTCTGCTCACGACGTTTCCTAATTACCTAATGTCGACGTCATATTATATAACGGGTTTGACGGGGGTTTCAACGAGGCACAATAATAATGCCCTCCTTCCTTCCACGTCGTATAAATATCTATCAGTGGATGAGGTTTAACCCTATACCGTACAGGCAATCTATAACCAGGAAATGTATTTGCTATCGACCGGCTGGAAGGTGCACGATTGCGCCTCGTGTGCGTCAGGCGTCGATGCGTGCCGTGTCAAACGCAGTATGCGTTAGAAATACAGGGTGTCTCGAAATACACGGTAGATACGCGCCTTCCTACTGGAAAATATCAATTTCAAAATGTGTCTCTTTCGCGCGAGTTCTCGTCTCCTAAACAATCGGTTTCGAACGCGACTAGCAAAGAATGCAAATTCTATCCCGCGACATATAGTCACCCTAATCTTCTTTCTAGTCTAATCGCGCAGGTATCTTGGAACACCCCGTACAGCTCTAATTCTCTCGCAATTACCGTGAAATTGTTTATTTTCTCACACTGTTCCGACGAACACGAATCCTCCAAGGCATCAGAAAAATAGACGAGCTTTTTCTACAAAAATAAATGTTCTGCCGCGAGTGATCGCCTTGGCACGGCGCTCGCTCCTATTCGCCTCTCGAGAAATCGAGCAAAGTTCGTGAAAGCGTAGGAAAATTACAGATCCTATTTAGTTTGATTCGAAAAATCCAACAAGGAGAACGCAAGTCCATCGGGTTGGGTCACCCTTGCACGACTCAACCATCTAGTCATCCTGTTCCCAATAATTATCGTAGAGCAAACTCTAACATCTCATAATCGTTTGAAATACAACTACGTAAATCTGTGACTTGCACTCCCCCAAGTGTATGCGTGTATACCTTGTTACGAATAAAAGACGCAAAAAGGAACGACGGCTTTGTTTCCCTTAACTTCTCTCCCACCCCGTTCCCCCTGGCTCCGCCGCCCTTTATCCACGTTTCTCGAAGATTCCGCGAGCGAGACGGGCGAAATAACACACAGAGGGGTTCGTCGACGTTCGCATCAAGGACTGCGTAGCCCAACGTCCGCCATGCGTCTCCGGGCATAGTCGTCGGTGTTTTCGGAACACAAGTAGACGCATCCCGCTTCCTCTACCCTACGCGGAGCAACGTCGTCTCTCGATTTCGTCTCTACCGATCCCCCATCTTGACCGCGCCCCCTTCGCGTCTGGGTCTGGTCGTTCGCGTCTCCCGCTCCCCCCCTCTCGACCCGTAACCACCCAGATCCATCCTGTCCCGTCCCGTCCCGTCTCGTTTCGCCTCGCTTCGTCTCGCTTCGCCACGGCTCGCCCGTACCGCCGGTGCGGTCGTGCGGTCACGTTGATCGATCGTTACCGTGTAACGAAATACGGTCCTCGTCCGTTTCTCCTTGAGCGCGCTCTTTGAAAAGGGCGCAGGACAAAAAAGAAGAGATCCTGACCAGCTCCCTCGGACCTCGGGTTTCTAGAGATGCACCGCCGCGCGAGAGAGAAACGAACCGCGCACCCGACCGACAGAGAAACGACCGCCGGAGAGGGGGGGCGTACCATTAGAGCGAGATAACTGCCAGCAATACTGTCATTTCCTGTATACGTTCGCGAAACCTAAAAAAAAACGTACAGGAAAATAGGAAAACGACAACGAACAAAAATATTAGCGTTTCACTCCCTCCCTTTGTTCGACGTCGAACAACGTGTCTATGCGTGTTCGTTGAATTCGTCGATTTTTGGCACTTGCGATTTTACGATGATGATTGTCGATCGGAACTTCGTTGGAACGTTTAAGCAAACTCGCCGTCGGAATGATGATATCGATACGCCGCTGGCTGACTGACTCCGGGACTGACTAATGCGATTCTACGAAGGTTAATGCGTTGGACAAAACGCGTCTAATACTATATCGGTAGTGTGTCTCGTTACGTTCCCGTACATCGATCGAACGACCTAAAAATACTATTGTCGAGCGAGGTTCGCGATCCGTTGGCATTCGAGCGGATAGGAAAAGACCCGTAAAGCCTGGTGCTGGTGTATCGAGAGGCGAGGAGGACTTATACACGATAACGGTTGGCCTCTATCGATACAAGGCATCCCCCCGGTTTCAAAGACTTTTACGCGCGGCGAGTCTTGACCGACTGAAAACTTCGGGGCTAAAAAAAACTAGCCCGTGTTGTTACGGGCCTAAGCAAATGGATTTTTATACCTGAACAGCACTAGTATCGCAGGTGGATGGAATTCGCTCGATGCGTACGGACGACCATTTCTGTTGTCTCGATCCCTCCATCTGTCCCTGGGCTGAGGTGTACGCGCGTATGTGTGGGTGTGTGAGTTGCGTGTATACGTTCCCGTGTTTATTCTGCGGCTTTCTGCCCGCCAGTCCGTCCCGTCCGTCCGTTCGTCCGGCCACCCGCACACTACCAAATAACGAACGCGAACACCGGCACGTACGATCTTTCTGTGTAACGAATACGTACACGTATATACATGCACGCATATATGTATAATACGTAGGTAGGTAGGTAGGTAGGTGGGTAGGTAGGTAGGTAGGTAGGTAGGTAGGTAGGTAGGTAGGTAGGTAGGTATGAACGCAGAGATAGATGTATCCGTGTCATGTATACTAGACCAACCCGTATACTCTTTAACGAGTGGAACAGACAAGTCGCACAATAGGGAAGAGGAGCACGGCTCTACACCCGGATTACGTGAATAAATGAACGCTGGCAACCAGGTCGGTCTCGAGCGGGTTAGTGGTCACCTAACTCTGCGGCAAGAGTGCATGATAACCCGGCGTTTCGTAAAAACCGGCCGCCTGAAGGGCGTGCAGCGAGGTCGCGTGATGCCTGTGTATCGTACTCGCGTACAAACTGGAAACGCTGCCGGAGGAAATGCCGCTGGAAGCACCGATGGACGTAGAGGAGGAAGAAGAGGAAGATGAGGAGGAAGTCTGATGCCCCAAGTGCGATGCCGCTCGCGATAACAACGTCGCCGACGGCCGTCTGTACGGATGATGGGCTACAACCGCGGAGGCCGTCGCGACCCGTAGATGACTCGACGAACCCGAACTCGAACTTGTCGCGTTGTACGTCTGTTGGTAACTCTGCCGCAAAATGCCAGAGATCGACGTGGCCGTCGGCGTCACCGACGAGGAGGAGGAACTTCTGTCGCTTTGGTGAGGTTGATGATGATGTTGATGAGTCCGATGCTGCTGCTGCTGCTGCTGTTGCTGCTGTTGTTGTTGTTGTTGCTGCTGCTGCTGCTGTTGTTGGGGCTGTTGCTGTTGCTGTTGCTGCTGATGATTGTGAGAACGCATCGCTCGGAAGTAGTGCTGATAAATACCTGATATGACTGCTTTCTCGTCGGCAGAAATGAGATCGGTGCCGGAAGTGGTCGGTGTCACCGAACTTTGCTGTTGTTGCTGTTGGCCGTGATGAGGATGCTGAACGTGAGACGCTCGATGAAGGTGATGTTGTTGTTGTTGCTGCTGTTGCTGTTGTTGTTGTTGTTGTTGCTGCTGTTGTTGTTGTTGCTGCTGCGGATGATGTTGTCGTCTTTGTTGCTGAGAAAGAGTAGCTGCAGCGTTTAGAGCAGCTCGATAAGAGGCTGCCATGGCCGCGGACATCTGACCGGTAGTCGATACGAGACTCGAGCCGGAATCGGTGGTGGTCGCCACCACTGCCGCAGTCGCTGATAAGACGGCCGTGGCGGAAGTCGACGAGGATACGGTCGAGGTAGAAATCGAGGATACGACCGTGGAGGACGGTGCCACGGACGAGGTCGAGGACACAGCGGCGGTGGCAACGACGACGGCGGCGGCCGCTGCTGTGCTTCTTCGGCTGCTCCTTCGCGATGAGGATATAGGAGCGTTCGCCGGCGGCGGTAGATTGTTGACGAACGGACTTCTCCTTTCGCGCTCGGCACGGCGATAGTAACAGGGATGTATCATGAGAAGCGGCTCGCCGCCGCCGGGTGGTGGCTTCGCCTGACTGGGCAACTCGTACTCGACGCTACAGTCCACGTGGAGAGGTTGCGAGTAATCCTTGTAGTTCTTGTAGGAGGTGACGGCGACCGCGGCGGCTGCGGCCGCGGCCACCACCGCCGAGGCGGTCGCGGTGGCGGTCGTGTTCGCGGTCGTACTCGAGCCCGAGCCAACGGCGGTGGTGGCGTCGAGGATAGTCGTAGCTGCCGGTAGGACGGTTTGCTGCTGGTTAGCCTGCCCCGTCGCGCCATGATGGTGATGGTGATGGTGATGATGGTGGTGGTGGTGATGATGATGACCGTGTCCATGCATAGCGGCACCTACCACCACTTCCTTCTCGTAGCAGGCGGCGGCCATGTTGGAAACCTCCTACTATCCAGGCTTCCGCCAGCGAACCGTCGCTTCTTGCGCGCCCGCTGACCAACGATCCACCTCGAACGCTAGGCTCTCATTTCGTCAGATCCTCGCGATTATTCTCCCCGATGATGACAATCTGTTCTTCTCCGTCTCGCCCAGCGTTGAAACCACCGATGATTTACGGATCGGCCCAAGACACGCGATCTTTCGCCGATATATTCTTTCTTCGAAACGTAACGCACCGCTACCCTCCCTCCCTCCTTTCTTCCTTTCCTCCTTTCAAGATCGCTTTCTACCCCTAGGAGCGGTCACTGGCGATCGAGGCGTCTCAACGATTCCCCCCGTGTACTTCTCTCTGGGTGTTACGGGTGCAGCTTCGAACAAGGCGGAGAGTAATAGACACGACTCATTGCCGCCGAGAGGGATCGCCTTAACCAAGGGTTGGACCAATCGAGTATATCCAACACCGAGGAAGACCTCGATTGTACACGACCAACGAAATTTTGTTACCGCATATTTCGAGAGACGAATAGGAAACAATGTTGGTAAAGCGCTTACAATGATTACAGAGATCTGGGACAGACTTGATTCTCTTCTAACCGTTCTATCCTTCCGTGTCTCTTTCCGTCGTTCCTAGCCCCCTCGATATCGACACGATCGAGTATTATTCTTTGCCTCTCCCTTCGCTCGAATATTTCTCTTGCGCCTAACCGACACTTTGCTCTGTCATCAGCCCTTCGCACGAGAATCCCTCCGACGGCTCCGAGTATATATCTTCGCACCGCGTTTTGCGATTACGCCGCTTGGAAATATATCCGTTTAGCGAAACTTTTACACGAACGGCCTAACCGACGATCGTAGAAACCTAGAGACTTGGCCTATATTCTATTACGAATAGCCGTCTCGTACGTTTCTAGCTGGGCGTAAACGTCGTTTCTTCCTTCGTGCCTGTCAACCGTACAGGGACCGTGTCACGCTAACGTAACGTCTCACGCTGATATCGTTGGCTTACGTGCATACCTTTTTTCTTTTTTTTTACTCGTATTATCTGTCCCCCTTACGCACACCACATAAACCACACAAAAGAATATTCGACCGAGAACACGTTCAGGCTTCTTCGGGGGGGTACGCCATTGCTGCGCGTGTGTCAACTCGTCCGGCGTATCGGTTACGCGTGCACACGCGAGGCTGCGCCTATGATCACTAATACATACGCTGTACGCGTGTACATGTACCCCGAGCGCACACCGTACTTTAACTATAACGTAACTCGATCGTCCCGTACAGACTGCCGAGCCGCGACTGAAAGCTGACTTCCTCTCGAACCCTCGTGTCGGGCCCCGACATTTTGCAACGCCCTCTTCCTCACACCCTCGATGCTTCCTCGTCTACAGCATGATGGTCGATCGTGCAGGTTAGAGGCCGGTATCTATGAAACGCAATGTTCGATACAAGCAACGTCGGGACAGCCAACCTTATCGAAACGTCTAGTTTCGTTGAAATCCCTGTTTCATTTGGAAACGGGGTCTTGGGGAATAATGGATCGAAAGAGCACCTTAACGCTAAATTCACGGACGAAGCCCTCGGTGCACAATGCTCCACTCTCGCGCGCACACACACACGATCCTACAAAACCGAGAGAATTCGATTTACAATCGACATTTAACAAAATGTTAACAAAATGAATATAATGACAAAATATACATTGCATATATGTTAACATTTTAAAAATCTAACCTAAGCTTCGCGGGGCCACTTTAGCTGCCTTCCTTATTATTTCCTACTTTATTTAAAAATTTCCTTTAATCGTCTCTTGATCTTTAATCTTTTCTTTATGTGCAAGTAGCAACAAACCGAATTGTTTACCCTATCTACATGCATATGCCCTGTATCTAGATTCAGAGTTCTTTAAATTTCCAGCTAGGGTATCGTTCCTTGTCGATCTAACGAGTATTCGGAATGATGTTACGATTCCCTTGGTACGAAGCTTGTTTACAATTGCGATGAATTAAATAGCATCGTGAACCGGGGCGGAACCAATATGTACAAAACAAATAAAACTGATGCAATAGTAACGTACGGAATGACGTCACCAGCGTACAATTCCTCAATCAGTGTAACAGTGAGGATTACGCGAAGAAGCGCAACGTGGCAACCAATAACGGTACACCACATATAACGTACTTCCCGTTGACCAGTCACGTTTAAGCGTAGCGCGGACCGCTTTTCCGCGATGCTCTTCGACCGGTCGAATGCTGCACTCCGTCAGTTTGATTACATCAGCTAGAAAGTGCAGAACGTGAAATCTCTTCAACGGGTGTTATGTGTCGGATCAATCGTTACCAGACGGTCCAAGGAATGAGAGATTCGAGGGAAGACATCGCCGCAACGTACATCTGAAATAAGTGACAGAAGCAAGTTCATTTCCGTATTGCATGGCATATTATGAATGTTTTGAAGAGCGTCGTCATCGCACTGCCCAAGGGCCTGTCCAAGACGCCTAGCCTCGTCTCCGACAACCAACTATCGAAATCTTTGACGAAATTTAATTTTACTACCTCTATATTGACGGACAAGTCGAACATGGACACGAAGAGAATGACCAAACACGAAGAGGTCCAGGATGAAGGCATGCTATTCAAGACAGATGTGTGCGTCCGTGGAAAAAAACGTCGATTGGATCACTTAACGTGGGAAGAAAAACTGCAACGAAAGTATGTTGTTAATTACATTAAATGGGGAAATAGATCATTCTCGGGGTGTCCCGCATTTTTGAAAAAATCTTACGTCTCTAACGTACTCCCACGAATATTATACTTCCGTTCCAAAGTGTTGTTCGTCTTTCTCGAAACAAGTTTTATTGAATTTCAGTTGGTTGTCATTTTTTTTTTTAATTAATTTCCGTCTTATACGTATTTATCGTACAAAAATTTATTCAGAAAAATGCAGGATACCCTATTCGATAAAAACTTAATCGTTAATTATGATATTTAAGTTGTTGATTTAATTATACAGGAAACTGAAAAATAGAGTAGCGGCTCAGACTTCTAGGGATCGCAAGAAGGCTAAACTAGACGAATTGGAAGATACAGTTAGAACGTTAAGGGAACAGAACGATTTGTTGATGCAAGAGTGCACTGTGTTAAGGTCACAGAACGAGTTGTTGGTCACAGAAACAAAAAGATTGAGGAAGGATAAGGATACGAAGAGCGCAGAAGTGTCTATCTGTTCGATGTGCCAGAGTCGTGTCGGTTGTGCTGTATCGCCGCTGGGATCTACAGTGTCCCCCGCATACCCTCTGCAGCAGGGTGGAACAACACAGCTGGCACCGTCTCTGACGCTAACCCCAGGTGCAGCAATTCTTCTGAAAATATTGACCAGTTACCTCCTCTTGAAGAACTGTTTGGTGACCTCCAAGGAGACGATTACATCGAACGACTTGAAGAACTTGCAGAAAGCCTTTTGCGAGAGGTTACCGCAGAAGTGGAAGCAAATCCTTGTAGAACAAATGAACAAGTGAGTATTTCAATATTATTGCATAAACCGTACGAGTACGACACGTATCTATTCTAGTATCTCTATATTACAGAAACGAATGAATTGTTTGAAATAGCAAAAGGATCTATTATAGTACTCGAATATTGTACGTTAAAGTGCAACTATCGCGAACATTTCATTTGTTTCTAACGTAATATTGTTCGTTTACAACTCAGCCTTCCCTTCATTAACGACATGCTGATTGTGTCTTACGTAGGTGTCAGTCAAGAAAAATACCATTGAGAAACGTGACCATACGAAAGGAGTGGTGGGGCAGGCATCAAAAAATGTGGAAGCCGATCGAACCTCTAGAAGCATGAGCTCGTACGACGAACTGTGGCATCCTGTTACCAGCACAGTCGCTACACCATGTACCGTCAACACAAGCGCACCTCCAGTGTCAATAAAGTCGGAAGTCGAAGTAAAACAAGAAGTCGATACGCACGATTTGGACACCGTTTACGGCACTTACGACGAAACTACAAATTCCATAACGATCATTTATCCGGGCGACGAGAGCAACGTGGGCATTCAAGAGTGCGTTCAGGAAGTAAGCACGGACGGTGGTTGCTTGACCGAGGACTCGTCGTACGTCACGTCCAATTATTATTACTCCCATAAATTGTCACCGTCCTACACATGCACGGATTCTATGTCACCGTCGAGCATATATTCCGCAGACACGGATAATGGCTTTACACCCACGAAATTAGACTCGAACGCGTCCGACTGCGGATACGAGTCGCATAATTCACCGACGCCCGATATACGTAACGAAAAAACTACAGTGGCCCTGTCTGACCTTTGGCACGAAAGCTTTTCCGAATTATTCCCAACGTTAGCCTGACAGTTGCGTTAAGAGGGAATGAGAATTGTCTCTGCTGTGTCTGTGATACATTTAAACCCTAGTTCGAGAACGACAAGTTCTTACTTTCGATTAAATCATTACTCGCTCGAGACGTATTCGGTTTACGTGTCCCCGGAAGGGACCGATACGCCACAAATTGTAACACTAATAGCACTTCGCATACAGTTAAACGTACAATTTATATGTATTTTTACATATGTATTCGTAAAATTAAGTTTATTTAAAAAAAAAAATAACACCCATTGTTCTTTTTTTTTTACTTCGTCTTAGAAATTTTATAGATATGTTTATTCGCAACGATCGAATGTTCATGTATATAATATTTATTAAATGTTTATTAGTAACAACTGGAGTATTGCTGTGCAACAGTATGCCGAATAAAACTAAAAGCTAAATTTCATTTGTTTGGTTTTCATTTATACACCACCATTGGGGGGAACTCGGGAGAAATTACGGATCCTTTGTTTAATATTTCTACTGCTCCTACATTATGTACTTGTGAAATATTTTGTTTTTGATTATTTTAGACTCGGTAAATAATTATTTGAATTTGATTTTAAGGTTGAACTTCTCAACGTGTTGTAGTTGGAAATATAAATATTCTATAAACACGTATCAAATGTAACGTAAGAACTGCGGTTATTTATTATCATCATTATGGATTTCAAATGGCAGCTGTTTCGTTCGAGCCTTATCCTTAACGGACACGTTATTAGTAAACGATCTACTAAATAGCACCTTTTATCAACTGTTGGAGATGAAACGGTCGATATAAAATACACAGTGGCTAACGATTATGATTTTTAGTACATCAAACATCTATGTTAAACCAAAGTGTTTAAAATAGTAAGGGGTAAGTTCCACGATCGTATTAGTAAAATCAAAAACAATTTAACCATGGTACAAATTTATTACGAATACGTACCATAAACGGGGAATAAAAGTGTTAATTCGACACGGATATTATCAGTTTTATGCATCAAGCTTCGTTAGCCACTGAACGCGATATAAAATACTCGTGAAAATATTAGCAAGCTCTTATCAAAGAGAAGGGAAGATGATACCTATGACTGCGAATATCCTATCACCTATCCATACGATAAGAATACATAACAATACGTAGACATATTAATTGAACGGTAGCGCCACTTTCAAACGTCAATGACAAGTGTATATCGTGAAGTACATTTTGTACGACCAAATCCATTACACGTGTCCTGTTCGCGTGGACGCAACACGGACCAGCCTATAGATATCGTAAACGGTACCGAGCGAAACAGCTTGTTATTTATTATTATATTACAAATACGAATACTTTCCGGTAAATCTTAACCAAACAGCTTGTCAAAACATCCGTGACAATACGGTTTGTCGTTTTGTTCCTTAAAAGTACCCTTGTTCAATTGTTTCAAACAGAACGCGCACACAAAATGCTCTGGATGGAACTTACGGAACATCGCGGTTATACAACGACCTGAAAGAACGAAGTTTATCAGTACGATAAACTGCTATTAATATTCAACGGTACTGTAATTGATATAAAAACCTGTAATTGGCTTATGACATCCCGCGCACAGGGATCCCCTCTTCGCATGATAATGGGTTTCGCAGTAGGGTAGGCCTTCGTGGTCGAAGAACGAGCCACCTTGGAACTTTTGTCTACAATCCTGTAATTTGAAAACAATGTATACGTCGGATAAAAATGTTTAAAAAAAAATGATCGTACTCGCGTCCAGCGACACAAACACAAAAGCATGATCATTATTCATCGATCCCTTTGCATTAAATTATGAATGACTCTGCAACGGAATATTCCCAGCACAGAAGCGAGTCATAGTCGGTGGGAAGCTCGAGTTACGTACAGTGCGTGTACGCGTATGTGCGTGTATGCAAAATCTATATGTACAGTTAACAGGTTTTGCTTTTCAAACGAACCTTCCTTCGCAGGTGATACTTTCTCATAAAGTAAAATAATAAAAACATGATCAACGAAAGGGTTGACTCGAAGTGCAAAACCTGTAATCGCGTGGAGCGTTACACAGAACGATGGCGTACGGCCAGAACCGTTCTCGACAAAGACACGTGACAAGAGCAGTATCAGAGTCGGTGAAGGCCAACTCCTGTGTGTCGTGTCTGTTTTTGTTTTGATTTTTTTTTTTCTCTTTTTTTTTTTTCAATTTTATTTTTATTTGTCATACAATACTATTAGCAACTGTTACGAAAGCTTGGACGGTCGGTCGTTAATCGCCATCGATATCCTAGACTAAAGAAACTTGATCTGAATCTGAAAATTAATTCCAATATTCGGACAAATTTTGCGATAGTATACTAATGACTCTCAAGAATGCCCTAACTGTTACGCGTGTGTACTGTAGGCCTATGTGTGTGTGTGTGTACGCGCGCGCACGCGCACGTGTCGCGTACGCGATCGAGAATTTCGAAGCGGAATATGCAAACACGACAACGAGGTCTCGTCGATTTATTCCTCCGTCGGATCACCTAAATCACCTGTTGAAAAGGGGAAAGAAAAAAAAAAAAGAAAAAAGAACGGGGGGGGGTGGCGCAGGCTCCGCATTCATGGAGCCTGATAGCATACACAGTGGGAACAATAGGGCTTTTTACATAAGAAAGTGAAACAACGCAACGCGCGGGACCGTCGCGCGTTGTTTATGCTTCCTCCTCTTCTTCCTCCTCGTCGTCGTCGACGCCAACGCATTTCGGACAAACGGGTTTGCCCTCCATGGCGTAAAACGACTTTCCGGACACCGGCTTCTTGCAATCCTGCAAGTTTCGTAGGATTTAAAGCTGGTTATACATATTATTTAAACCTCGGAATGGGGCTGATAATCCTCGAGAGCGTGGCTGTAAATTGAAAAGCAATTAGACGTATCAACGTTCACTGATCGCGAAACCTACCCTGCAGACGAAACAGTCGGGGTGCCATTGGCTGTTCAAGGCGGATATATAATTTTCCATGATGGCGCGCTCGCAGCCGCCGCACTTCGGCGCGAACATATCAAAATAGTCTTCCCTGCAGTACGGCTTACCGTCCCGTTCGTGGAACCCTTCCTCGCCGAATTGTTTGCCGCACTGGGCGCAGAAGAAGTGTTCCGTGTGCCAAGTTTTCTCCAGAGCGGTGACGCATTTCTGAAAATAACAACGAAACACGTAACGTTGTTCGAGCGAACCGAACCGATCGGCGGGACGGGGCGGGGCGGGTCTTACGTCCAGAATGGGGCCGTTGCAGTAGGCGCAACGAGGCGAGAACAGATTGTGATAGTCGGACTCGCAGTAAGGTTGACCCTCCCTCTCGAAGAAGTTCCGCGTTCCCAACTCCTGGTTGCAGTGGGTACACGTAAAGTGCTCGGGGTGCCATGTTTTCCCCAAAGCGGTGATCACCTGAAACAGGAAATAGACGTGTAACGCGTTTCACTAAATAGCGTACGTGCACACGCCAATGTCTCGATGGTTTCTCAATGTCGCTCCCCCAGCTGTTAAAAACACGTGTCGTTTTACTAGCAATTTTCAACGACAGACCAGATACCTGGTACACTAAACTCGTGTGATATAAGATTGACAAGGCGAGGGCGACACTGCGAACGAGAATGTTTTAAAGGTGTATCATCGGGATCTATTTATTACTTGTCCCACGATGGGTTTCTCGCAGGCGCTGCAGCATCCCTTCTGAGTGGTGTTTACACCTTGACGACTCATGTCTGCCTGGAGGTTCCCTAGCATAGAATCCAATTGATTCTGTTTGGTCTGAGTGGCTGCTGGCGGCGGTGGATAAGGCTCTCCGAGTTGCTGTTGATAATGGTGGGTGGTGTGGGTCTCTGTAATGTGGATACGCGTCTGCGTGCCCTCGGGAGGTAGCGGACTCTGGGAGCTCTTGGTGGCCTTGTTGGGCTTCGCGTACGGCGAGTCGGTTACCGTTTGATGTTGATGGGAACCGCTATTTATCTAAAAGAAACAAGTATTATATTCAACAGAAGTAACCGATTCTTAAAAGAAGAAGCGTAAAGAGTGTTAGCGTTGCGGCAGTAAAAGAGGCAGAGAGGCTTGTGGAAAACCGACACTATGGGATCGGTTAAAGTATCGAGAACGTTCAGCCCCGGAATGTCAAGGTACCGTTAACCGAAGAAACTTTAAGGACCCGCGAGAGTTGACTGATGTCGATTGGCACGAGCGAGCTTGCAGACTGGCTGAAAGCTTTGAGAGATTTTCTGGATCACTATTAATCCCCACCTTCTATATTTTCCCACCCTGGTGGCACGAAAAATCGGAGGAGACGTGGAAAAGGAAACGCCGAAGGAGAGAAGGAGGAGCAGACCGACGGTCGACTGGGTAGTGAGATGGCGGAATGAAAGTTATTTTGGTAACCTAGGGAGCCAAGAATGGGCAGAAGTAGTTTTAACGGCGCTGTTTTCTCATTCTACATCGGCTTTAATAGTAAGCAAACATCAGAAAAGCTTATTGCACCCGTGTCCATTAATCGGCGTGGGTGGTGTCCCGCCGATTTGATTCGAATCGTACCTTAAACTCGGACAAAGAGGCCATCAGGTCGTCAAGCTCCTTGGTAGCGTTGCTTGCCGTGTGGCCGTTGGTGTAGCCTTTTTGCGTATCGCCGCGATTCAACGATCCGTGCTGTCTCGTGGGATAACCATCGTACACCGGTTGGATCTCCGTGGACGTTTCCTGAATCGTAACCTTAACTCTTCCATCGAGAGGGTAATCTCTATATCAAGAAATTCACGGTTATGGGTTACCCTTAACCTGGCTGACGCGAATTTTCTTTAGGAATATCCGCTAGGAATCCGGAGAGTATAATTCCTCCGATAGAAACAAAAAGCTCACCCGTTTGGCACCGCAGTACTTAGCTCCTCGAGCAACGAGTCCACGGTGGGCCTCGAGGTTGACATGCTACTCGGAGAACGAAGCATCGGATTCGAGTCTCCATTCATTCCTCCCGAGGACACGCGATTCTCTAAGATGATCGGTTATTTCATTATCAAACTAAATACTAAATTCCTAGCATACGCGCGTTATTAGAGGTTCTCATATACAAGGTGTTCAGCTGGAAATAATTTTAATAGGAGATTCTAGAGGCCAAAATAAGACGAAAATCAAGAATACCAATTTGTTGATGGAGGCTTCGTTAAAAAGTTATTAACAATTACATTCGAAAATTCCAAATCGTTCTAAAAAAATTATTTTTAATTACAGGGGTCAATTACAATCATTTTTAGTCATTACGCATACCCCCGAAATCTTACCCACTTTTGAGAAAAAAATTCGAGAAGATGCCAAAATTCGATAAAAAAAAAAACTTTCGAATCGTTTTGGAAAAATTATTTTCAATTACAGGGGTCAATTACAATCATTTTTGGTCAATAGATATGCCCTCGAAATCCTATCCACTTTCGAGAAAAAAATTCGAGAAGGTGTGGAATTTTTCGACAAAATAAAAAAATTTCAAATCGTTCTAAAAAAATTATTTTCGACTGCAGGGGTTGATTATAATCATTTTTGGTCATTACACATACCTCCGAAATGCTACCCACTTTCGAGAAAAAAATTCGAGAAACTGAAATTTTTCGAGAAAATAAAAAAATTTCAAATCGTTCTAAAAAAATTATTTTCACTTACAGGGGTCGATTACAATCATTTTTAGTCATTACGCATAACCCCGAAATCCTACCCATTTTTGAGAAAAAAAATCGAGAAGATGTGGAATTTTTCGACGGAAAAAAAATTTCAAATCGTTCTAAAAAAAAATTATTTTTGATTACAGAGGTCGATTACAATCATTTTTGGTTATTACACATACCCCCGAAATCTTATCCACTTTCGAGAAAAAAATTCGAGAAGTTGTGGAATTTTTCGACAAAATAAAAAAATTTCAAATCGTTCTAAAAAAATTATTCTCGATTGCAGGGGTCGATTACAATCATTTTTAGTCATTACCCATACCCCCGAATTCCTACCCGCTTTTGAGAAAAAAATTCGAGTAGGTGCCTAAGTTCGATGAAAAAAATTATTCTTGATTTTCGTCTTATTTTGGCCTCCAAAATCTCCCATTGCAATTTTTCCCAGGAGTGGCCGAACCCCCTGTATATTATTTATATTATATTACAAGGGGTATTGTTTATATTCCATTTGTCCAACCTGGACAATTCTTTTTCTATTCTTGAACCCCGAGGGCACACGCGTGCTAAGAAAATCTGGCTGCAACACGGTTGCATTAAATCGTACGCGAGTTTAGAATGCTAACCCCTTTCCTGATAATCCGCATTGTAGCGCGCGTTGCTCAGATCTTGCAACAAGGTGTCCAGTTCCGATAGGTTGTTGTTCAACGAAGGCATTTTCCCGCCGCCTCCGCCGCTGCTGCTGCTGCTTTTAGCAATGGTCTCCTCTATAGCTTCGCGATTCTGGTAAGTCGGCTGCAACAATCCGTCGACAGTGACCGTTTTACCACACGACCAACATCATCGTGCCGACAATTATCAACGGATTATAAGAATTTCTATAAAACTAACGATCGAATTTTACCGTCGATAGCTGTTAAAACAAACCAGCACGGCGTAATTCTTTCCTTCGTAATAGTAAAAACTAACAGAATGGTAACAAATGCTTACCTACCTAACCTGTAATAAATACATTTTTCACCGAGGCTGTTCAAACGAACACCTACATCCGCCTATCGTATCGTTAATATACACGTTCGACAGGGTTAGTCTCGTTTCGAGTTAATGATAATACATGTTCGAAGGACAGACAAATGATCCGTTGCCGAGCGTGACGCGTAAATTTAGATTCATCCAAGTCTCTTCGAATCGCGCACGAAGAGAGAAAAGGAAAAGAATGGCGGCGGCCGATGGACTCCTTCGAGCGAGCGCCGTTGGCTTCCTCCATTCGAGAAAAAACGCTTTGAACGCCCTGCCAAGATACCGCGAAAGCATATTATTTCAAAACATGATGTCACTAAATGCCACACGGCTTTTGTAAATACATTATCGATCAGGTGGACGCGCGCGAAGGACAGAGCGTCATACACTTTTAATAGAAACCTACCCGCCAAACAGACACCGCGAGATTTTCGAGTTTCGTTGCAAAATCCTTGCCACGAATCGCCTCGAATCTCAATAATTTCGACGGGGTACTTCCGCGCGATATACATAACGGAAGACTGTACACGGTTTTAAACAGCGATCGATAGGGGATCGGAAATACAACGATCTCGCGATAACGCGTTACAACGATACATTCTTTAAGCGAAACTAGGTTGCTCGGTGAGTTCCGTTGGTCCAAAAATATCCAAAGCCAGAAACGTATCTCCGGAGAATATGTCGCGATACATCGAATCCTGCAAACATCCTGTTTAAAATCTCTCGCGCGATCTCGTTCCTAAAATCTTCCGAATCTCGAAACTACGCAAGCTCGGTGTGCTTCAAGGTTGCTGGATCGAAAAATAAACACACAGAGCTCCTGTAACCGCGAAACGCGATAAACCATGGGTTCGCCGGAGAGGCGAAACTTGATGCTCGAAACTCTGGAGTCAAAAATCGCACTTTGTGCTTGTTTCATGCAACGAATCGTGCGCCGGGCGGATAATGACACGCTAAAAGGTAGTGTAAAGGCGTATTATTTCGATTCGACCCAATAAAGTGTTTTAACCTTCTTTTAATATTGATACGTAAAGAGGGCGAATATGGTCACGTTCGAAAATTACACTCGAAAAATTCAACAGCCTTTCGTCCGCTATTTAAACGTCTAAGCGTTGGGTCTTTTATAGGGCTCACTTATGTACGAGACCGGCTGTAAATACGAAAGCGTATCGTAAGGGTGGATATTATACGAAAAGTCACAGAATCGAATAGAGCAACTTTCCTCGACCGAACGAGCGTGTATGGTACGAGAAAATCGATGCATTGTGCAAAGTTAATACGACGTCCACGGAAACGTATCGTAACGACGGTTCGCACGAGCGCGTAATCGTTTTCGCTTCGTGCTAAATTCGAGTCGTGGAAAATATCTGATGGGCTCGAGTTTCACTGACGCTCGCGGTAACGCACAAAACAAAAAAATATATATATATATGCCCAAGTCCCGGCGTGACATTCTTAACGTTTGGTGAAGAAATGTTCCACGGCACCGTGAATCGTTCCAAGAACAGTAACGCGACACAAACGTCGCGTGTTATGATTTACGCCAAGAACGTTCGTCAAACCGTGAAAGCAATTATCCTGCCGGACGACAGACGACACGCATAAATTACGAACCTTGCCACGGTCTTAGACGACGTCCATTATTGCAATGATTTCTCACGTAAACCGCGAAATATTTCACCTAAACTCTATCCTATCGTATATATTGGTTTCTTTTTGTTTGGAGGAGGGGGCTGGGGGGCACATTTAAAATGAATTATTTATAATAAACGTATATACAGGGTGCTCGGTCAACACTGGGGAAAATTGTAATGGGAGACTCTAGAGGCCAAAATAGAACGAAAATCAAGAATAATAATTTGTTGATGGAGGCTTTATTAAAAAGTTATTAACGTTTAAAGTTCCGGCAGTATTTAATTTTTTTTCTCCAAAATGCGCAAGATTTCGGGGGTATGTTTGTTCACCAAAAATGATTGTAATTGACTCCCGCAACGGAAAATAATTTTTCCAGAAGGATTTGAAATTTTTTTTTTTCATCGAATTTAGGCACCTACTCGAATTTTTTTCTCAAAAGTGGGTAAGATTTCGGGGGTAGGTGTAATGACCAAAAATAATTATAATCGACCCCTGCAATCGAAAATAATTTTTTTAGAATGATTTGAAATTTTTTTATTTCGTCAAAAAATTTCACACCTTCTCGAATTTTTTTCTCGAAAGTGAATAGGATTTCAGGGGTAGGTGTAATGACCAAAAATGATTGTAATTGACTCCCGCAACGGAAAATAATTTTTCCAGAAGGATTTGAAATTTTTTTTTTTCATCGAATTTAGGCACCTACTCGAATTTTTTTCTCAAAAGTGGGTAAGATTTCGGGGGTAGGTGTAATGACCAAAAATAATTATAATCGACCCCTGCAATCGAAAATAATTTTTTTAGAATGATTTGAAATTTTTTTATTTCGTCAAAAAATTTCACACCTTCTCGAATTTTTTTCTCGAAAGTGAATAGGATTTCAGGGGTAGGTGTAATGACCAAAAATGATTGTAATCGACCCCTGCAATCGAAAATAATTTTTTTAGAACGATATGAAATTTTTTAATTTAATTGTTAATAACTTTTTAACGAAGCCTTAATTAAGAAATTGATATTCTTGATTTCTGTCTTATTTTGGCCTCTAGAATCTCCTTTCAATATTTTTTCCAGGGGTTGTCGAACACCCTGTATATCGCGTCTCGAATTTTTTTTTTTGTTGGTTTCTTGACTTGGGCCACTTTCATAATCACCGGCAGAGCAGACATACATACATACATAGGTTGTATTACGCAACCAAGGACCGTTTAAAACGATCGAACGAGACATTGGACGCAGAGAGAAGTGGGCAATTAAGTTTGGGATGAAGTTGTATTTTCTAGTAATGTATCGGTTTTGGCAGTTTCCAACTGTGCAGTTGGCTCGCGAGAGTCCGCGTTTCACGCGAATAGGAAAATTTGTATGGCCATAGTCGATCATCGAAAAACCTGAATAATAGATAAACGTCGGGTTGCTTCTAGGTGGACAAATCGATAGCATGGCGGGGAACGTAACATGTGTTCCGCGGGAAACGATCGATTACAGTTTAAATCCGCCGCGAGAAATCGCTTTTCCGTAAAACGTTTCTACGTATCTCCTCGTGTTTACAATTTCCGTTCGATTGCTTTATTTTTTTCCATCGAAAACGAAACGCGATCGCCAAACAACTCGGAGATAAAACACGAACGTGTTTCCGTTGCATTTCTTGTCAATTTTTTTATTAACTTTACCAGGTATTTTTAACGCTCGGGTCCTTTTAAACGAGCCAAAATTTCGTTTACGTACACTACCGATCGCAAGTATTGCCGCACTTTGCTATTTCAATCCGTTACCCGGGACATAATTTGACACTTTTTTTCGTCCAACTGTATCAAATCTTTTCCTCGATTTGACTTTGTCATTTTTCCTATGATCGTTAAATTAATTTAGAGGTATCTTTTTTTCACCCTGGAAAAGCTGGTCAAGGACAACTTGGCATGCAATTATTCACGAGACTCGAAAATCCCTAGTATCTGCGATTGCAAAGGAACACGAATTGGACACGCGTAACCTGAGCCTACTCTTTCCAGAATATCCGATTTCTTTTACGAGCCCCGGGGTTTCTCTGCTTTCAGCGACAAAAAGTATCGATTCTAATTTTAGTTCATCCTTTGCGTCATCTGTGCTTAATCTGGAATATACATATATCTATTTTGCACGGTTCGAGCGCGTCTTAATTTCCTGTGAAATTGGAAGAAAAGGATTTTATGTTCGAACGTGTAAGAGTGTAGTGAGCTCCGCTTAGCGGTCGACGCTAAAAACATTCTTACAAGATCGAAACGAAATAAGGGCCAACGGTAATAGAAAAATTAGATTCAATTAATCCGGAACACGTTGTTCTATCAAATCGAGAAAATCGTCAACGTGTGTTTACGCGCGATGCGTCTGATTTCTGCGGATGTATTCTCAGCGCGCGTTTCGCGACCAATCGCACTATTTCGAGACATTATGGAAAATTGCACCAAGGTCAACGCGGGATTTAAAACGGTCCCGTGAATATAGCAGAGCACAACGCGAACTACGTGTCGTCCTCGCCATCTATCCTGAGACGTTACACTTTCGATATGCAAAACTTCCGAATATCCGTCGATAAAACAACGTCGGATGTAAGGCAATTCCCACGATCGATTCGACGAAAAGAAATGTATCGTCGTGATATTCGAACGCGAATCGTTTTTACCGACGCTTCCCTCGACGCGTTTAAATTTAGAATTACGACTACCCTTTCCAACAGCAGTAAAAATATCACTGAAAAATGAAACTTTTGTCGACAAAGTGTTGCACAACACTGTTATAGCATATTTAATTCCATCGTTTGTACAATCAATCTTGATTAATAGCCCAAGTTTTTGATTAAACGTACAAACGTATATTTCTTTGTTAACGAAAGTATTTGTGTAAATGGTGTTAGTAAAACATGAAAAAAACAAAATCTACGTACCGATTGAGGCGGCAGAGGTGAAGTTCGATTATCGTACGACCTGTATGGAGTCGTTCGTGCGCCGTTTAATGATCCATAACCAGGAGTCGCGTTACTACCAACATGATTTCCTTCCGAGGACACGGTATTTTGCAGGTCTGCCAGCAGGGCATCTGAAATCAACAAAATCATCGCTGCAAACAACGCTGGCAAATATTTTCGATTAGAATCGGTCTCCATCGAAACACAACTATTGTTTTATTAATCGCAAGAGTTATAAAAATTTTAGTCAAGTTGTATATTGTCGAATGCAGTTTACGATAAATACGTGGGTTGGCAATCTGCACGAGAACGTGAAATGAAAGCGCGTGCGATCCATTTATACGATAACGTCGTGTTCTCGTAACAGGTGTCCCGCAATTTCGCAATTATTTCTAAATTTATCGATTCTCGAATCGCGATATACTTCTAAATAGCGAACAAATACGTTTTCTTTTTAATTTCTAAATAGAATATGCTCTGATCGAGCATGCATTCGTAAACATTTCCGATGCCTCGCGACGGTGCAACAGGGGGGAAAAAACAATGACGCAAGCAAGCATTATTTAGCAAGCAAAGCTTCGAGATAAACATAGGTAGCTCCGACGAGAGTTTCAAGATTTCCTAGAAACCCAACACTCGAATCAACATTTACCAAGGCTCAGAAGATTTCTTTCCGTTTTCTCGGTGTTGTACACCTGGTACAAATTCTCGATTTCCATCCGAGATTCGTATTCCGCTTCCATCGCGAGACAAACCACACGACACACCCACTAGGTATTCCGAGAACGTACAACTCTGACGCGAATTTACGAAAACGAAACGTAGAGATGCCACTGTATAATAACCGATCGAGAATCACTTACGATACACGAAAACGAACCGAATAGCGACGACGACGACGACACTGAATCGACGATAGGAACACTCCGCGTATACCTACAAAAACTTTAGCGATTCTCGCAACCAAACATTCGATGGACGTTGGTGTTGAACGATTTGCATCGAACGAACGACCAAACCGTCATGGTTTCTTTGATATGTTCACGTGCCGATGAAAACTACCCGAATAGACTGAACAACGTTGTCACGTGTCGACTAGAATACCGAAAAGATTCGCGCACGTCAGCCGCGATCGGCAAAACGATACTGATTGTCAATAAAGACCTCCGCAAAGTGACCGGCCGGCTAGCCGGCTTCGTGGCCGGAGGATAGAAGCCTGGAGAAGGAAACTTGGGCCTGGAGAAGGAGAAGGAACAGAAAATGGAGGGAGTAGAAACGGTCGTGCGACGTACCGTCATCTACCTACTACGTGTGTAGTCAGGCTTCGATACGAAGAAACGCATAGTATCGAAACCTGCGTGCAGCACGGTAACCTCAAATCGAGCAACTACAGACGGATGGCTTGGCTGGCTTTGTTTGCTTTTCGTAGAATCGATTATTTTATGAAATCCGAAACGAACAGCTAGGATCAACAGTACCTACTACGAGTCTACAGTTTTTCTCCTTCTAAAAAATCACCTTTCTTTTTCGCATACATCGTTTAAAAAGTTGATTATTTCCACTGATTTTAGTAACATTGAGATCAAATACAATTCATTTTTTCCGTGGCCACTACTTTGAAGGTTAAATTTGTGTTCTTGGGGTCCTTTTAAAAAAATAAAAACTGTATATGTATAAGCAGTTGTGAACGGAGTCTTTACGTTCCCCGACTATTATTTTGGGAGGAGGGGCAGTTGTTCTGCAACTTCACCGAAATATAAATATATTCGGAAACTGTGCAGCTGATAAAAAATGTCACAGGACTTTACTACTTATTTTGAAACACTCCGTTTCGAATACATACGCGAAATTCGTGAAACGAACAGTGATCTCAAGCTTGAATGAGACGCAACGCTAGCGGGAATCATGACGAGTTTCCTCGAGACTATTTTTTACTTGTGAATCATAAGCGGTCAATTCGGACATTAATATTGGGCGGCGTTACGCGTAACACGTTTTCGACGTAATTAACCTCGCTCGACACAATTATCGTTAGTGTTCTTACAATTGTTAAATGATATTAAAATAAAAAGTTTCGGGGTTATGTTGTCGGTTTGGTAGACTGACGATTCGTGATATTGTTAATTTCGATCGGTACATACAGAATCAGAGTTCGTCGATCTGCTACATAATTAGTATCGTAATCGTATAATCGACAGGTATTAACTCGCCCTCTGCAGTTACTTACTGATGTATTGCTCCCAGCGTGCGTGTTTTTGAATAGTCGCCAAACGAACCGGTGCGATCGGCGACGCAGGTCTCACGACGTCCGTCATATTACTATGGGTATCGACAATAAATTTTACCCGAAAAACACTACGAATTTTATTCCCTCGAGCTACGAATCCGAATTAGAACAATTAAACGATAAATAATTCCAAACAGTCACACTTTCGACTACGAAACTCTTCGAATCACCGGACACTGATTTCCGTGGATCTTACGACCGGAGATATAAACACGGAGGAAGGTTAACGGCGATTACGAGATCGCGATTCGGACAGGGAAAACGTTAAAAATAAATCTCGTTCGTTGCCAATTACGTTTACCATGGAGTTTGCGTTAATAATCGAAAAATCACGACAACGCGTATTTCCACGACGCTCACCAGATATTATTAATGGTTTCTTTCGAAAAATCTATTCCTGAACGATCTCGTTCCGTTTGTAAATATATGTAGTACGGTTACAGAGAGTCAACGAGACGGTCGCGAAATTAATAAGCTACGTAATTACCCAACTCTATCGACGACTGGAACTTACAAGGTTACACGGTATTTTGCTGCGTGCGATTACCAAGGGTATCGAGATTAATTGAGCTCGCGAGTCGGATCGTCGATAGAAGCCACGTAAGATATGTGTTGCGAGATCGGATGGACACTGGCAGCACGTGTTTGTTTCTTGAGCGCTGCCAGTGTTCGAGAATCTGTGTTACGTGAATGCATCTTCTCCTTCCCTTTCTCGCTGTTCGTTTCTCTCTCTCTTCTCATCAACCTTCCTTGCACCGTCCCCCTGTCCCGTCGTCTACCTTCGTTTACACGCAACAGTTATATATGTGTATGTATAGTTTGCATTTTCACCTAGATATTCATAATGACGACAAACTTATCGAAAATAACCTCGATCGTCGGGGGCACTACTTGCAGCAGCTGTCTCTCTTCGAATTGTTTCGTCATCGTTTTCATTTCATCAAATTTTCTCAAAATTGTGGCGCGTTTCGTCAGGGCCTGATAGCAGACTCGTCATTAAGACTTTCTAGCCCTGCCTTAGACGACTGAGATATTGGGAAGTCGGTCGAGGATTGCATATATGCAACCGAGGGGTCGGTCGAGCGCTTACGAGAGCGCGACCCCTCTGGTGGCGAGCACGGGAGGCGACACCACAAAATCTATCGCTTTCGAACCTCCTGATCGCTAATTATTCAACCTTGAACAAAAATTGTGATTCGAGAGAAACAGCTGGTTCCAATTGGACGTTGCAATTTATACGAATGCAACGGGTCAAGTTGACTCTGCTCGCACAATATTGCGAACGAACATGTAGGAAGTAAAATTGTGCAATATGTACTCCGTGCCCGATATGGACGTGTGTGTAGATCGGCCGACGTTCGATCGAGAAAAAAGGGATGCCTACGCGTGTTTACCTTGAATCACTGAATGATCTTCAACGTAATTATATGGACGGTAAACAAGTGCTGTTTCCGTGCACGTCCGAACGAAATTTGTTTGAAACACAGGAATTCTCATCCACGTATCTATACAGAGTGTTTCGTCTAAATATCTCCAGCAATTGGGAATATAAAAAAAAAGATATTTAATATACAATTTAAACGTTATCGAGAGAGACCAATACGTTGCAAATATCCGTTTCATGATTCCTTTATTACGATTTATTTTCCATCCTTTATTTCCAAAGTATCAAAACTAAAAAAATTCATTATTTTATTAAATATCCTTGTAAGATAAAGTCTAATAAAAAAGAATGGTTACCGTCGATAATGTTGCATTCTCGCATCGATAAAGTAGCACTCTGCCCTAGAATCGATATTAATATATTAATTCAATGGATGCCACTACTCCGAGAATCGATACACGCTGATCCACTAATTTTGCCAATAATTAATGGCTTTAGTGGAATTAGTGGCTTTCTTTGCATACGGCAAGATTTAATGGATCCTTATACGTACATAAACATCATTCGATACATACAGAGACCAAATTGATTACCGCATTCGTCCAAGTATACATTTCCATAAAAAGATCGCCGCAAATAATGACTTGAATTATTTCAGAAGGTTTAGTGTCAAGGCAACCCACGTTGTAGGTGAAAGGTATTCCAAAAAAAATCGCGCAAACTGTTGCATGAGTCATCGTTTCGAAGAGGATTAAAAGTGCAGCTTAAAAATAATTCAGAGATAAACAATTTCCACGATTCTCCTATGTCGATAAAAATATGCATCTTGCTATAAAACCTGCAAGTTTTATAAATCGCGAGAATGCATAAATTGGAATGCAACTACTTTGCCCGATAACCTTTGAAAATATGCCAGAAATATAATTCCGACGAAAGGTTCAACAACATTTAGAATAAAATTGGACAGTCGTTCAAGAAATCGTAATTTACGCTGAATCAAAAGGTATCGCGTTGCTATACCGGTATTCTTATTATGTATGCAAAGAGATCGCGTATGTGTAATCATACACCTACAACCGTTAAAAACAATCCACCGACGTCCGTTCTCTTTCGTGACTGCGTTAAAAAAAAAGGGGGGAGAAAAGAAAATGTTAAAATTCAGTACAATCGTTAAACGAAAATATAAATAGTCTCCAACTCACATCCAGGCGGCGAACCTTTTTTTACTGTGATTTTGTAGGGTTGATATATTGCGCCCGGATCAACTTTTCCATACATCGTTCGATCCATCGCCATAATTATTTCCGTTAACGCACCACTTATAAATTACCACACTGATATCCATCAACTTGTTTCACACGCGCGGCAATCACGAATTCGCGCGTGCGTGCGCAACCGTGTACTACGTATACTACTATGCAGCACTTTTATCGCGGCTTATGGTTCCCGACGCGGTCTATCGCGAGCAGACCGAGCTGTGGAGACGATCGATTGGTAGTGGGGAGGGAGGGATGATACGCACACCGAACCGGCCACTTGTTGAATGTTGTCTGCGAATTTTTCACGTATACGCGTAAGCAAGTACGTTGGTCTCTTCGCTAGTCTATTTGTTTGTAAAAAAAATAAAAAAACTACACGTTACGCGACGAACAGTGGTTACATTCGATCGACCGTTATTCTACCGGGATGCTCTATCGATCTTACGCACTTTCAAACAATTTTTCTCACGACGTACCAATTTCGATTTTATTCTCGCATCGATTAAATTTATTTTATTAATTTATGATCACCGTCCCCGTTCAGGTGTAAACACGAGATCCGCGTACTATCGACTGTCCGTGATTGACCGTGCTCGACCAAAGGAAAATGACAAGTTCAAACATGCAAGTGTATTTTAGGCGCTCGTCCGCTTCCACGGCCCGTCGATTCTCTCCTCGCATCTTCAAAAACACGAGGACAACGCCGCCATGAAATACACTAAAAATACGTAGAATAGTTGGCAGGGCACGCTTCGCTATATTACGCATGTCTTGGGGGCAGTTTCTTCCGGTATAGTGCATCAACCGCAACATACGCGTTTCTTTAATCCTCGAAACATTCTTTACCGACGAATCGTTTGTAAATGAAAGGCACAATGGAAATTTTAAATACATAGCACGACACATTCTAATCAAAATTCGAAAGGAAATATCCACTCGACACTGTGGTCGATTCGTCTTAGAATAACGATCGATGGAATGAATTGATTATATTTATCAGGACCGAATTTTTATTTCTTATAAATCCACTGTGAATATGTACGACTGTGACGAATACGCAGCACATTCTACGATGAACGATCGACTGTTTACGCGACAATTGAGTAATTGGGATTTCGGAACATCTTGAATGAAGCAATGAAAATTAAATAAAATTTAATTTCTTTAAACAAATACTGAGCAATTAAAGCGCAACAAAAACCGAACTTAACTTGCAACGTGCGTAACGACGAGGCTACGACGATGTCACCATGAGAATTTAGATCCAATAGTTACGCGTTTGCACTTGCCTGTTTTTTTTTGTAACTTCGTAATGTGCCATCTAGATTTCGCAGTTAAACTCAACGCTAACTAATTTTAAATGAAATCCTTCGCAGCTACACAGTTTAGGACAATATTTACCGAACGCTTTTGCAACTAATTATGCATTATTCGTATTCTCAATATTCTGGAATAATTCTCTTTCATTTTATATTTAATGAATACCATGTTGCCAATATATATACACAAAATTAATTCATCGATGTCGTGCTAATGAAATTTCAACTTGAAAACAACGACATATCGCATAAATATTATTCAGAATTTTTACAACGGCTTTATAAACATAGACGATAATAACAAATATGAATGAAACGTATGTCGACGTAATAAATTATTTCTGTAAATCAAGTGTCATGATAATTTTGACCGACCGAACGATTTGAATTTGAGGTTAACTCGTAAGTTGTGCGATTAATTTCAAACTTACTCACCTAAATCGTCCATGCTGAATATATATTAACCATGCAAGCACTGTTTCACAAATTATGTACGAATTTTAACGATTTCGATTCCAAGTAACGGCAAAACACTTGAAAATTCAATGTCCAACTTGTCCTGGGGTTGGGCAAACTAGCTATCAAATATGGAGAACCAGTCTTCAGCAATCAGTAACCAACTCTCAGTAATCTTGTCTAACCTTTACAGAATGCGACATACATTTCCGGTAGATCTGAAAAATATATAATATAACTTATAATAACGAAGCCAATATAAATAAAACAATTATTATAACAATTAATAACATTGAACAACAGTATTTAATTTATTTACATTCACGTACACGCACTTGTACATATACATACTTTGTTTTTTTAACGTGACGGTAATAGCGGTAATAAATGTAATCGGTAGTTTATTTGTCGTACAATTTGTAATACATAATTGCCAAAACATTTTACATTTTTAACAAAAAATTACAATTAAAATTCATACAACTATTCTACCAAGAAGAGAAATTACCAAACGAGTTTGCCATGAACTTTTTCTTTTTTATCATAGGCTCGTTGTTGCTCTCTCCTTTGCCCATTCTGCAAGGAAATTTAAATAATTAACGATATCGTAAAGTTCTTTAAATCGGTAACTCTACGCGCGATTCGACATTACTTATCTTCTCCTTGGATCGTTCTGATGTATTTTCCTACACCAGATCTATACACTTTTAACTCATTTTTCTCCGAGTTGTCGAGAGATTTATTTTTTATTTCTTCTTGCGCCAATCGCTCTGCTTCAGCTGCACGTTCAGCGATCAACTGCTCGTCAGCTTCTTGAAACGGATCCACAAAAACTTGAGCTTTCTGTATCGTTATGTCTTCTATCGGTCTATCCTTGTTGTCTACTTCGACCTTTTCAATGGCATTTAACGTTTCTAGTCCGCCTACTATTTTTCCAAAAACAGTATGTTTGCGATCTAGATGTCTACACGATCGGAACGTAATAAAACTGGAATAAAATAAAATACAATTAGATACTGTTATAGCTGTAATTATATATACACACATACAATTGTGATCCATTTGTGTTTGGTCCAGAATTCGCCATAGATAGAATACCCCTTCCTTGATGAATCAAATTTGGCTTGAATTCATCTTCAAATTTTTTACCCCAAATAGATACTCCTCCATTACCAGTGTTCGTGGGATCGCCTCCTTGTATCTAAATAAGCAGATATTACATATTTTGATATTGCTTACAATTTTTACAGGATCAGAATTAATGTACGTGCCATGAAATTTCGTATGGATCTATGAAATTTTGTACCATCGTAGTATCCGTTCTGACAATGTTTTATAAAATTTTCGCAAGTTTTTGAAACGAGATCGCAATGTAGTTCCAAATTTAAAGCACCATAATTGGTGACTATCCTGACGTATCCTGAACAAAAAGTATCAGATAATTAAATTAAACATAATGAAATACAAAATATTAATCGTTCACCTTTCTTTTTAACTCTCTCGTATCGTACTAAATCTTCCGCGATAACTGCTGCCTGATGCATGGTTTCTGTTGGCATTACCGTTGATGTAAAACCAGCTGCTACAGCACCGGTAGAATAGTGTGCCTATAAACAAATATCCTCGTACTATGAATCATACTTGTTAATGCTAAAACAGAATATATAGTCCAATTAATATACAAACAGCATTAAATTTATCTGCTTTTGGTTTAGAATTTTCATGCTTGGTTTCAGCTTGTTTATAATCTCTATCCAACTCTGCTAATATTTCTTTAGTTTCCATAGATACGGTTTTCAATTTAGCATTTGGGTTACTTCGTTCCTTTATAGTTTCTGAAACATTATTTTTCATTCTAACATATGGAATATAATTATCGTTAAACATACTCCAGCGTTTTAAATATAAAATGTTACCTTCGTCTTCGACTCTTATATTATTCTTAATATGATGGAATGTAGACAAATTAAATTTTGTTGCATAGTTTGGATCTTGGATTACAATAATATCCTTCCTCGTGAAAGGTTCATCGTTCACTAAATCTTTCCAATTACGTGTTTTTATATTTAATTGTTCTACTGCCTAAAAGAAACCAAACATTGACTAGTTGCCAATAATTATTTGCAAAGAATTAGAAATGATATTTATATACCTCGTATGAAAACACATTTCCGGTTGTTTTATTAGCAACGATATGAGAATGTTTAGTAAATAGTTTAAATAATACCGGACAGTGATACTGTCCTTCCATATTCTTAAAAAATTTAAGTTTTATTAAAGTCTTTGGATCTAATGTCTTTCCTGTAACAGGATTATGTTTGTATCTTTTTATGTATTCTAATATTGCTTCTAATTCAAAAATATTTCCATCTGTATCGCAATAGGGATGCTCGAAGGGTTGTAAAGTTAAACAACAATGATCGTAAGGCAAACGACGGAACGTTGTGTCTTCGCTCGATTCATTAGTTCCAGTCTTCCTTCCGCCATATAATGTTGTCCATTCTGTGTATGTTAAATACCTGCAGGGACAGTACATTTGTTTTTTTATGATCAACTTTTGTGTTATAACCTAAGTGTCATTTTTGCATCTTACATTTTATCTTTTTGATGTTGACGTTTACCCATTTTGACGTTTTTATTTGATGCTTTCACAGATCAAATATCTTATTTAATATTGTTTACGCGACACAATTTCTGGAAATAAAAAATTAATTATTTACAATAGTATCATGTAAAATGTAAATGTATTATTTACAAACAGATCATATAAAACTATGTATACAGCATCCACTGATCGTATAACCTCAAAAAGACATTTCAATGAAATTATTTACATAATTTACGTTCCGTTTCTGCTGTTAATACACACGCATACACTAGTATTAAACTACTGCAGTACTGCTAATGGCGTTCTAAATTTCCGCTTCCGACTTCCGAATACTTTCGATGCGGACAGTAGACACACTGCGAAAGTAAGTACTCTGTCTTCTTACATACTACGTATTACAAACGTGTGACGTCACTAATTTTGACACTATCTCCTGCTGCGACTACTATAGCAGAAATAGAAATCTAACACGATTCAAGGTGGCATTAAAAAAAAATACTAGGTACTTTGTTCAGAAATAAAAAGTAAAACTACAACTGAATGCTTTTGGAGAATACACCATTGCTAATCTATACAACTAAATTGTTTCTATTCAAATAAAAAATGTTATAACTTCAACAATCATTATAGAGTACATAAAAAAAACTTGGACGATGATTCTTACATCAGTAATCACAGATAAATAATAACTATCACCCATTGTCATAATGAATTATAAATACATATTTAAAAAGTAACAAAAATTTTCCGTTGAAAAAAGTACATAGCAAATTTGAACGGCTATTTAAGCGATCGAGTACTTAAATTAAACTCAAATGTATGGGTAATTTGCAGCAGTTAGAATTAGAAAATATTCTAAACATTATACGACTAATTATTATATTATTATCACTACAAAATTTTTTGCTATCGTAACTCTTTTCACAATTATGTCTATTATGACTGTAACATTGTTCATGATCGTCAATGCGATTTCCGCATATAAAATTTATTACAACCATAGGAAACGTATAATACAAGTTTAAGCATTCTATCAAGCATAATAAGATGGTGGCATCGTCAAATCTTGTAACACGGTTAACTGTTCTTCCGTAAAATGTTGAGCATACCCGTTCATGCCTTTCCATCCATTGTAATGCGTTCTTTTAAAATCATCGAGAGTCTTTCGAATTGTCGTCTGCAAATTAATAGACTTGTACTAGTAAATGATACAGATGCATTTTAAATTTATGTACTAACCGGTATAGGTTGTGGATCATTCATGTGAGGACTAAGATGTTCAAAAATTGAGGGGACGTATTTTGGTATATCATACGGATGAGCTTGAATGAATGCACACATTCCTAGGATAGCTGCATGACGTAAACGTATAGCGTCGATTTTTAAATTTTTCCTCGTAGTCTCCGAATTCCCATAATTTGAACGTCCTTTCTTCCATAATTTGATTTTTGCTTGCTTCTTAAATTCGTCCTAAAAAATTACAAACCTTTGTACAAACTGTTCTTTATTTTTTTAAATCCCTTGGAAATATTTTGAGAATACTTACCAACAACTTTTCTTGTTCAGATATAAATGTACAATGCAACAATCCACTAAGTACTTGACCAGCGCTTTTTCTTACTTCCAATCGTTCATCTTCTAATAAACGTAGAACTATCTCTTTAACGGAAGCGACCCACGTTGGATTGCTCAGTAATATACTCATATTATGAAATACCAACACTTGAAGGAATCGCAAGCAAGTGAATCGTGTCCACCAGGATGTATGTTTCGACATTTTTATCACTGCGTCCAAAGCAATTGGCATATTATGCGACAACGTGAATGCCTCTGCAAGTATCGCTAACGTAGATTTACATAACTTCATTAACTCTTCGTCTGCTTCGCAATTTTCCAATTGACATATCATCGGAAATACCCTGTAAAATTCTGGCTGCAGACCGTTCTGCGAACGAATCACAGTGTTCGTAATCCATTTGCAAACTGTCTTAAGTAATCGAATTGCTGCCTCGCGATCTTCCGTATTTATCTTCGAGTCCTTCAAAGAATTGTTACATTTAACATCAGCCACCTGCGAATCTAAAGATTCTTCCTTTTTGTCAACTATTGTACTTTCATTCACAAGAGATTGCAATCTTGGTACTATTTTATCGATTAAATCTTCAATTCGTAGCGTAAACTGATTATTTGGAGTTCCTGGAAACTTTAAATCTGCAGTGAACACTGTCACTAAAACGGAACCTAATCTTTCTCTGACATTTTCCAGCGGGCTTGCCAGCAATCTATCTTCCGTACGTTTCAAGAGACGGTGCAACAATTCCGAAACCCGCCATGATTGTTCGTTCAGGATCATTTGCAGAACAAACAAACGTCCACATTCGTTGAAAGATGACTCCGATTCGCCAAAACGAACCTCTTCCATCAGACATTCCAATAACCAATAATGCTTATTCGGATCTCTGTCTTGCTGGGCCGAAGCAAAACACGAGCCCCAATCTATTACAGAATCTACAGTCAAATTAGCCAGGGCAAGCTTGATGATTGGTAACAAAGAATCCCACATTTCGCAAACCATGTTATACGGCCAATGTTTCGAGCCGTTAATAATCCCAGCAATTATTTCTGCAGCGCATCTCTGACTACTTTCTTGTTTATCCGTGACTAATTTACGCAAATGTGGCAGAAAATGTTTCAAAAATAATATTCCGTGATTACGAAAGACACCTTTGAATAGAAGAAATTTGTAACAGTTGAATTTGTCTTTGCCTTTTTTTTCTTCGAGACTGAAGTATCTTATAAGTTTCTCAATGTTCTGCGGATCGTTGAAAAAACGAACGACTTCTTTCTCGTGGTCTGTTAAATTTCGTATATTTGGATCTAGACACGGTTGTTCGGACGAAGGTGCATAGATCTCTATTTTTTTCGGCCATGTATAATATCCCATATACGTCTCATGTACAAATCTAGGTTCGTCCCACTGTTCCGCAGTTACAGGACGCGTTTCGTAATTATATTGAAGCCAAACATTGTCCGATCTTCGTCCTGGTGTTAACTTCTGAGACTGATTTTCTTGCTGTGAATTTTTGCCCAACATTGGCGAGTCGATAGTTATCTTCGGATGTTTTCTTTTTTGTTGTTTCAACATGTACGCGACCACTTTAATAGCAACTTTTCTTTCCTGCAACGAATCGTGTATTAACGCTTCTAGGAAATAACGCACCACCTTTGGAGGATACGTTTGATCTGGATGAATCAGATCTCGAATAAAACTCATCGCCATCAAGCGATGCCGCCAGTGTAAATTTTTTTCCGAGAGAGCACGGAACAGATCGCCCACCAAACCATTGTACGATACAAGATTCGATTCCCCGGTTTCTCGTAATATTTCTAAGGCTTTCTCAATTTCATCTTTAGTAGGCTGAGGTAGATTAGGTTGTGGATAAGTTGCCCATAAATCAATCGCGAGCGTTGCACACGTTTCTGGTAGTTTGTGTTTAATGGTAATTGTTGGGAAACGTTCGTTTATAATTTCCACTAAATGTTCCTTTAAACGGATTACGGAGAGTTTCTCAGACGTTTTAGAAAGTACTATAGCTGGCCACAAAGATCTCAGCATGTTCCAGTCGCGTTTCATAATGATGGGATCAATTTTCGAATGAAACAAGATATATAAAACACCCTGTTAAAAAGAAAAAAAATGTTAACGAAAATTCTAACAAAAATTTACCTAATTTTTTATTGCTATTATTATTATTATTATTATTACCTTATACGCGTCATGATTTTCTTCCGTGTCGTTTTTCAATACATCGAGTAATCGTGGAACGATAAGCTTGTAAGAGTACAATAAATGTTGAAAAGCATGAGAGAGACTGGATTGAGCCTGCGATCGCACATCTGCATATCTGCTGATAGCCAATACAAACAATTCGAATATGATTTCTTGATGTGTTTTTGTTAAGATAAAACTACGCGAATGGACACGCGTTTCGTGTTGAATTTCTGCAGATTGCAATACAAAAGGTCCTATTAGCCCTTTGTTTCCTCTTAGACGATCCTTCATCATCTCGATTATAGTATAAAAGTTTTTGCGTCTCGCTTCGTATGCATCGGACAAACGAATCTTTCCTAATAAAAGACTGCTCCAAATCTAAAATTGAACGTTTAAATTTGCTTTAATTCTTTTAACGATTGTTACTCTGGAGCAGTAAATTAAAATAAATACCTTTATTAAAACAAATAAACTTTTCGTGTCGTCTTCTGCATTTTTCAGTATTACTTTTTGCACATTGCTCGCAAGCGTTGCCATAGAACGTCTTACGTTACTACCATCAGGCATCGATATTTCTTCCTTCGTACCAAGCGTTGGTGCAAAAGGCACCCACTTCAAAGACGATTTTACTGGAAGTAATGGTTCCTCTTCCCATAGCGGTAATACAGATTCGCAAGCTTGAATAATGCTGTTTACAATATTCAAGCTAGTCAGCAACTCTTCTCTGCAATTACATATATTCACGATGATAGTTTTATTTCGTGTATTAAAAAGGAAGGAGAGATCATAGTAATAGCAAACCTCGTCAGTGTATTCCAGTCTTCGCAATATTTTTCTAATCGATTTATCTCGGGCAATAAATATTTAAAAAATATTCGATTTAACGAGGCCATTTCATCTTTACCGGGAATGTACCATTTAACAGTCAAACTATTAATGTCCAGAGTTTGACCCCAGTGCGTAACCTCGGTAGATTCAAACTGATACGGCATCATATTGGATAACGAAGAAAGAATAGATTTCAGTAACGTGCATGCTAAATTGTTTCCTTCCCTTGATTTTAAGACCAACACGCGATCAAGAACGATTTCCAACGTATCCACGTGCGGTAACAAATTCTTCCCTGATGTACAAGTGATCGCAGACAAAAGCAGCATCGCGTACAAAAGACGACCGTCTAAATTTTCTTCCTTAACGATATCGTTACTTTCGCCAGTGATGTCTAAGATAGTTTGCGAAAGTACAGGTAACAACGAATGTAACGTTTTCTCACCATTAACGTAGGCAAATACTCGGCACAATACAGCGACAAGTTGCCCGGCAACTTTAGTTTCGAGAATACGTTCAGTTATGAACGTGCGTAATTTGTGCAGAGCGCACTCAAAAATCTTGTCGTTCATCTGAATCAACAGTACCGTGAATACTTCCCTCATCACAGACTCTGTAACTTTTTCCAATTTACTTTTCTCGTCACCGGCACGAGTTTCCAGTCTGACATTTTCCAAAGTAAAGGAATCTATCAGAGAGAATACTCTGTCCAGAAATTGTAAAACAAAGTCTTCAAATCTCGACGCTACTGTCTCGTAAAAGACTCTTTCTTCCTCGTCCTCTATTTTACTTAGTTTAGAAGGGTCCACGATAGGTATGTAAGTAACATAAATTGTAATAAGTCGAAAAGCAACAAAGCATTTTTCCATATCGTTCGGATCGATGCCAGGTAAAAGTAAAAACAGCAATGGTAGAATATGCGTTGGTCCTTCTGGATACGTATAACCTGAACAAAGCAGAAGAAAGATTAACTTTCCAATAATTATTTTAAACATACAACAAAAGTACAATCTGTACCTTCGTTTATATTTCTAGCCCCTTCTGCCATTGGTCTAGCTATTGCTGCCATGTAACTCAATGTAGCATTCAATTTATATGGTTCTGCTGTAAGAGAGTCCAACGTAGAGGATACTCTCTCTAAAACATCTGGGATAACTAAACTGGGCCTGATACTGGCAAGATGTTGCAACGCTCGAGAGGCACTGTTAACACATAACTTGCTAAACATAGCCGTCATAGTTATTGGCATCATGCTTTTGACAAACGCATCAATATCGCTGTCCGTTAATTTGTACTCGTCGGGAACGGGCGTTTCCCATGTTTGCTTTGCATGTCGTTCCCTATAGCGTTAGTAAGATACAATGTTGTTAATTTCTGTAAAAACATTGTAAAAAGTATATTTTAAAAAGTACAACGATCCTTACTTGTGCAAACGTGTGACAAAGTGACATGGAAGCTCTACGAGGATCTCCTTTAATTTCTCCAACCAACGACCAGTGTTGGCTGGATGAAAATATGTTTCAATAGTTTTTAAAAATTTGTCAAGATACATTTGCGTAGACGAACCATGCCCCTAAAAATATGACACAATACACAAAATAAAATTTAATTCGTTTAAATGTAGTTAGTAATCGATGCTTAATAAAGTCCTACCAGAGCTGCTGCTATCCATATGGCTATACAAGAAGTATCTATTTTGTGATGTTTATATCTTTGTACTTGGTTGTACGACACTGGAAGCCTCAAGCATCGCACGAACCTAGTGAACATTAATGGAATATGCGGTTCCCAATTTATATATCCAATGTTATGAGAAGCCAGTCTTGCCATTAACCACATCATATCATTTTCCCAAATTGGTGCATTATGACAAACTTCCCATAACGACATAATTTCATCGAACCATAGTTCGTGTCCCATCGAATGATATTTGGGAGGTAACTGAACCGGTAAGAACTTCTTTAATGTTTCCAAACTTGTAGACATCGTTATGAAATTGAGGGGGAAGAAAGTTGGTCTCAATTCGTCTAATATTTCCTGCGTTGCGCTCAACTATTACGAAGAAATTAATCTCTGTTCTTTCACCGACTTATTAGGAAAAAAAGATAAGAACTTACAGGAAAATAAATCTTCACAGCATGTACAAGTATGTTCAATTTATCTGATAAACAAGCGAAAGAACGATACATTCTGATGAAACTTTCTTCATTTTTTCTCACGTGTTCAACTAATTCGTAAAGAGGTCTCCATGGAAGTTCCAACTCCTCGGGAGATATTAACCTTTTCTTCCTAAAAATATAATAACAATGGTAAGCTTAAGCGTCGAAATCAGTGACAAGATTATATGTAAAAATCCAATCGAACTTACTTTAATAATAAAATTAATGTAAAACTAAATCGACTCACTAAAAATGGTTCGAGTTTTGGAATTGTAACCAGTTCGTACATTAATTTTACAAATAAAATATGATCTTCTTTACTAAATTTCATTCCGTATATTTTTATGTACCTATAATAAATACACACAGAATTCATATTTATGTAACGTTTTATAATCGTATTAGATAATGTTCTTATTGAATCCTCATGCTTATTAAGACAAACCTGAACAATAAGAATTTGTTAAACTTACTCGCGTAATCTGGTGACCCAAAGAACACAGCCTGGTTGCATTTCACGAAGAATAACAGCTCGTCCTAAATTTGCTTTAATCTCGGCTAACAAAACCTGCGATTCCGCCTCTAAATCATTTACGTAAGGTAACAACTTATTGTACTTGGATTTCCTTTGAAATTCAATCTTGACATGTCCAGTTGACGAACCCATGGCTTCTTTATTTTTTAAATTTTTGTAATTAAAAATATTTTCACTGTCTTCGTTCATAATTATTTAAACGTATTATCACAAGGATATGATATAGGTTAGACACATGTATCTCACAGGAGAGCACACGATATAATGCAAAATCATGTACGCTGGCGAGTCAGTAACAACTTGCTGATTTTTCTTCATTTTTAACGAGTCATGTTTTGCATTCCAGTGGCCATATTTGATACATTAACTCTGAAAGGTCCGAAGAAAAACTGTTGGTAGATATATCCGCCAGTCGCAACATGGAACTAGAAAATTAATGAACGATTGCAACTGTCAATACAACGATGTCCTCCACCACATAGTAATTATTACCGTTTAAAATGAAAATCACTGATGATCGCCAATTTCAGTACAAACCAAGATTAGAAAACCTTAATTCAGAGAGATACATGCACTCTATTGTCGATTGTGACATTCATAGGTGTACAAGTTTAGAGCGATGATTAAACGATTTTCATGCGTATAAACGGTATAAACACGGTCAATATGGGCTAGTAATTTTTTGTTTTCTTCGATACAATATTGCTTTATGACAAATATAGAATGACACATTAGATTATGTGGCTCTCAGAACCATTCAATTTTTATGCGAAACATTTTTTGATATCATCAAAATTTGAGTCGATTAAATGGGTCAGCCTGCAGAGATCAGTGAATCTGGCATATCTGGTAAAAGATTTCGTAAAAGTTGGGGTCGTAATCTGGTGAACATACGACGTCCCCTACGATGTTGATAATCAACAGTTGATGGAATTTTTCGCTGAAAAAATGCGTATTTCGTTTCTTACTTCACGCTATGTAAACTAATTTTGGAGAACATGTCAAACCAAGAAGTAACGCTGAAAATAAATGAATGTATACTGTCGAAATTATGGTATACATCTCTTATTGTTTATCAAGAAAATGCTAATGATAAATCTCTTTCATCTCAAAGTGACGTTGTAGATTTTGTTGAATCCCAGACTTGGTTTAGAAACTTAATGTAAGTATAATAATAAGTACAATATAAGATGTCCATTTTATTTGTTAAATATTTTTCAGTCATCTGCAGAGCAAAGATCACCATAAATGGATTACCCAAATATTATTGCAGAAGCTTGTCGACAATGTAGATTTTACAGACATCGAAGATATAAAAAAACAACGTAGTTATGTAGAAATGATACACGCTTTACAATTATGCGAAAACATGACGATGCATGTACAACAGGTATTTTAAAAATTGATTCGTCTATTTTAATCGTTAATCGTATTTCTGTTATATGTATAACATGTTTTATTTCATGTGTTTTATAGGGATTGTTATCGATGTACCAAAGTAGTTCGGAACAAACAAATTCAGAAATTTTTGCGAAAATGCACGAAGAGTGTTTTGCACTTTTACGACAAAATATTTATAACAATTCGACTATCGTATGTTGGATCATTAATGAATTATTATTCGCATATTTTAATAAATCTACTACTATTGTTTGCAGTTTACAAGATTTATATTTGTCTCTTGTAAAAGAAATGTTAGAATCGAAATTAATAAATGACAATTCTGTTGGATGCGTATTATGTGTTATTTCGAAAATGAACATACTTGAATCTAATACAATTGAATTGTCAAGATCGTATTTTCCTATGCTTTTAAAAACATGTAACATCCAAGATATTGACCTTGTATTATATTCAAAACCGGAGATAAAGCTTTTTAACGAGTGGTGCAGCTTTCTGAATGAAATTTATGCACATTCTAAAATTGTTAACAATCTGAACGATGCATTAAAAATTCAAGAGGGATTATTCAATTGTAGTTCTAACTCTACGCCATTTATAAATAAGAATAATCTTATAAAAAGGATAACTAACACAAAACAACACTGGGTTACAGATATTTTGGTAGGTGATAACATAATAACTATTTAGTTAATATTATAATGGAAATCGTAATACTATTTTTATCTAATATTATCTTTCTTTCAGGACATGTGTTATGTTTTAATGACGAACGAAAAGTATGATAACATTTCATCGATATTATCCTATAAACTGACAAAGACTTTCTGGGCTGCTTTATTATTTAAAATTTTAAACGATTCAGTTCAGAATTTCGTATCTTCTGATAAAATCCAAGAAAATGGATACTTCATATGCGATTCGATTAAATTTCTAATGTCCAAGTGTGATTTTAATATGTCTTACGAGCGTACGCTACAAGAACTCGACATCGCATTAAAGAAATATGTTAAAATTGTGGAATATATCTTGAATTGGACGAAAGAAAATTTTACGAGAGATAATGACACTGAAATCGATGAGACAATTAAATCCATTGGCGCATTACAACAGAAAATATCTATGAAACAGATATTTAATTTTTTACTAGATTTTAATAGTCTTTCGGTATTGAAAATGACGACAGACATACACGAACAAGAGTACGATAAAATAGAAAATTTATTAGAAGACCTATGCGAATCTAAAAATATTTTCTACGCATACTATAGCATGCTAAATGCTCTGAAAGCTATTTTATTATACGATACTTACACTGTAAATCAAAACACTATTACAAGTCATTTCTCCGATATGAAATGTTATGTACAAATTTTGTACCCTCTCAGTTTGCGTCTACAGGTTGTAAAAAATATATTTTCTTTACTTTTCTTGCGATACGAAGACTTTGATCATACTAAAAGAAATTATGACAAGAATAATACAAGTACTTCGAATAATCAATTAAGATTCGAGAAGAAACGAGTCGAACAGAGCTTAAAAGGTTTCATTTGTAATAAATATGCCATAAAGGATATGTTATTTCATTTAAAGGAGATTATTTCAGTCACAGAAATTGAATTCATGAAAATGAAAAATGAAGATGCTGTATGTACAGAAGAAGAAGAGCAAATTCAAAGGGACATCTCTTCTATCGATGCAATAATAACAGATGCTAAATGGAGATTAGAAATTTATACAAACACACAGTTTACAGAAGAGGATAATATATCCAAAGTTGCAAATAAAAATGTAACTAAACCTAATGTTCTATTAGATGGAAAATTGATTTCAAATCGTTTCAAAGAAAATATACTTTTTTACCAAGAGGGTAACACTTTGGATGAAACGAAAGTTAGATCTGATAGTAGCTCTGAATCAGAATTAGTACATAATAACACTAAGTGGCAAAAGCATCCTAAGAATATAACATTTACAGCGAATACCACAGCAACCAAAGATGTCATATATAAACCATTGTTTGTTAACTTTATGTTAGCAACTAAAGAAAGCCTAGTTATACAATGTTTGTGGAAAAATGATTATACAACAGCACAGGATATTATCGAGGTAATCTGATTAATGGATATGAATTTATATATTTCTTATTCTGGCTTCAAATTGTTCGAATGCATTCTCTTCAAATTCAGTAGGTTCGTATGTAATAAACTGTTGCGTCTCTTCGTTCTTTTCAACTTCTTTAGCTAATGTTCCAGGAGGATTAATTGCATAATATTGTTTTGCAAATAAAATCCTTCTTCTGGGAAAACAGAACTCGCAACGAAAACAGCAGCAACACCAACCTATGGAACGGCACACTGTTACTGTTGTAAATTATTACTAAAACGGCTTTCGTTGGATAAAATCATTCAATCGTGCGCACTACCTTTGTGACACCAACAAGGAATCGCAAGACATACATAAATTAGAAACCATATTCTAATGATCAACCATGCTTTCTGTACAGACTTTTTCACAGTTTGATCTTCAGATTCATAGTTGTGTATTAAACAATCGATAGCTTTGATACCAAATTTTTTTGATGTTTTTGTACAATTTTTGAAATCAAGTAACTTTTGCAGCGTTCCTTTGGGATATTCACTTTTCTCTGTTTCTTTCGATTTATTCTCGTTAGTATAATTTGATATTTTGTCAACGATTATATGCTGCGATATTTCTTCTTCGTATTCCTTTCTAAACTTTTCGTAATCATAAATTTCTTCGCCCGATTCTGTTTCTTCTTTATAACTATCAGTATTGGGAATATTTTTAACAGTATCCCACATCGAAGAATCGATTTCTTCATTTTCTTCCAGCGGTATTTGGTACAGGTGTTGCTCATTCTCGCGTTTCGTGCGAAATATGTTTTTATACAAACTTCGATTATTATTCTTTTATGATCTAGAAATAGGTATTGATTAGAACTAGAATTTTATTATTGTACAAAGTTTATCACTTAATTATGAAGCACTTTGTCTAGATCTTCTTTAAAACCAGCAATAAATGGTTTGTCATTTCTTTCTATCATGTTAGGGGATTCCCATACGATTGGTTCCAATTGAGTAAAGACATTTGCAAATTGTATTTTATTCACAATTTCACGTTTATTGTAATTTTCGACCAAAGAATGTAGCGGTTTGTATCTACTATCATCTTTCATGTAAAGTCCCATGGTTGCAAGATCAGCAGGCTGAATCATTTCATTTTCACTTTGTTCATCGTAGTCTTTATTATCAGATGCAATCTCAAATACTTTTTTATCTTGTAAATTGATCTATACAAAATACAAGATATGGTAGTAAACTTGTAAACAATAGCAGTTAATAAAACATTATTAGTCGTTAATACGCAACTTTATATAATGGTAATGAAAAAATAGAAACATTTAATAACATCAAGATAATTGATATTTTCTGAAATAACATATTCAATTGGTTCTTGCTTTATTGTTTCTTTTTATGTTGTAGAAATCTCGCATAAAGGATTCTCACCTAAATGGAGAAATGCAATTTTCAAAAGCGCTACACGCGTTCAGAGAAAACATTTATAAACAAACAAGTACATTAAAAGATAAAAATCAATCGAAAGAAAATGCACAATTTTCTACATTGGAGGTACAGTCTACAGATTAATTAATTTTATTTATAAGCAAAATATTTGATACTAAAATAATCATATTTTCACAGAATATCAGATTAATTGCACAGAAAGGTGTACACTCTTCTAAACAAACCAGCCAGCTTGAAACATTTTTGGCATCTCAAGAAATTAATTTGCGAATGTTGAACACAGACATTGTTAGTGGCAATGAAATGTTAACGATATGTGTATTGGATCTGGCTTTAACTATGAGCCAAATTTACTCCAGCTCGAATCAGTTTTTCGAAGTTGCAATGAAGTATTTGAAATTGTGCAAAACGTTTGACAATACTGAATATGCACATTTCTTTTCCAAGATATATCAATTGTTACATGAAACAAAAGAGAAGCTCTCGGTAGAAAATATACTTTGCGACGCAAAGATTTCATTGACCATAAACGAATATAAAGAGAAAGATGACTTTTGGAACGATATTGTGATTAAATACCACGAATTTAAAGAGACACAGGCAGATAAAAATACAATCAATAAAATATTGAAGCACAGTAATTATTTACCGGGTTTAAAAATAATTGGTAAAATGGCTGTTATTTCCAATGGAACGGAGAAATATATGCAAAATATCTTCTCCCATTTGCAACTTCTGCATACAATTATTCCAACCGATCAATCGATACTTACGGTTTCTGATTTGTTAAAAATTTCATTACCTTATTACTTTGGTTACCAATTATTTGAACTTAAAATTGAGCCAAATAAGCTTGAATCAGTTGCACACAATTTGCAGTTTAATTTAGTATACAGCATTCTTACAAATGCTTGTCCTAAACTGTTTTATGAGAAAAGTATGAAGTACACTATCGATAATAAAGAAAATGGTTGCATCATTTTAAATAAAGCATCATATGAATCGGTATGTATCAATTTTTGTATGTATCAAACAATTATAAAGAACACAAAATAATTATTGCTATTGCAGGATTTAAATTATAAAGTGGAAGGACCAAATCGATGCGTTTCAGAGATATTAACGGAATTGCTGGAAATTTTACAGAATTTAAATTTGGATCAATTTTATTTGAGCCATGACATTTGCAAAACTATTTCCAAACGTTCTGATATTCAAGATGTATTGAGTAAAACGACTCGTCTCATAAATCTAGATTTGAGCGAATTATCTATGGGCAATGAAACATTAACTTTTCTTCTGAACACGTGGAACCTCATGTTTTTACATACTACTTTGACTATCTGGGCACATCACCCTCCTTTTAATAATCTACAACATGCAATCTCATTGATGTCGATTGGTTATTTGATCGGCGATTTAGGTCTAGTAACGCTTGCTGCGCTTAGATCAAAATTGCTAAATAATATTATGCTAAACGATAAATTCTTCCTCCAACTCGAAGAACTCAATGAACCTGTATGGCAAGATTTAGATATTACCCATGACCCAAGAGTGATCTTTATGATGGCTAATGAATTACATGGAACACCTTGTGTTCGAGTAAGTTGCCGTTCGTTTCATAATTACGTCTTATAATTAATTTATTAAAATACTTATTTTCCTAGGTCTGTAATGCGGAATCGTTGAACGAAGATCTGAGCAATGCTTTTCACGAATATCTTGATCATTATTCATCGAATCATGAAAAACCTTTGGAAAACACAGAAAATCAAAAAATAATTTTTTTACCCGATATCACGAAACAATATCAAAATTTCGTATCTCAAAAATACAACTGTAATTCAAACGACATCGATAACGGCGATAATATATTCTCAGTAGATGATTACTTTAAGCTCTCTAAAAGAGACATAGTTATACAATATACTGCGCCTTTCTATTTGTACGATATAATATTGAAGTATACAAATTGTTCGAACGTATGTCGTAAAAAGCAGATCAATCAACAGAACGATGTATGGGAAACTCGTATTTTAAGATCGAGTTTGTTGCAATACTTGGAAGGACATTGTTGGGTTGTTTCTTATCTTTTACAAAGAATATACAACGAGAATCCAACTATTTTAGAAAATAACTGTGATAATCTGAAACGTACTGCTTGTCTCGAAAATCTTTTAAGTTCGTCATGGATCATCGAAATGAAATCGTTGTTTGAAAATAATCAAACTCTCGCGGCTATACTCGAAACGATACCGATACAAAAAATGTGGTTTCATTTTGAAAGCGCGTTGGAAGAAAATGAATGGTATAATTGCTTGAAGCTAATAAATGCCTTGCCAGATAATCTGATCAAAAGTACAGAACTTGAATGTTTTAAAGACAAAGTCCTCAGTTACATAGTTTCGAAGGAAGATATTGAATTGGACGAAGAGATATTGCAATACGTGTATCAAATTAAAGATGTGTATGTTTTGTGTCAAACAGTACTATATAATATCAATAAATGGCATATAAATGTTTGTGAAAATGCTTTACTTTACGCAGTACATCATGCTGACAGGCACAAATTACCTACGCATTGTAGATCACAGTTAAATGAGATCCTACACAGGGTATTTGTTTTTCATAAAATGTTTCCGTATTGCGTGATGAAATCCAATGGTAATTGGTACGACGTTGCTTACTGCACAGAAAAAGTTGATGCATTTGAAATTATCAAGATATTAATAAACGCAGATAAATTTGAACTATGTTTAGAGTGGTTAGAGTGTCAAGCATTCTCTTTAGAAATACACCCCTCTGTGATGCAAGATTTCTTGATGGGTCTTTTAAAAAATGAATCTCCAAACTTTAAACAGACGTTAAAGGTACTTTGAAGGACATTCAAAAAATGAGTATATTTACGATTGCTTTAACTAATGCAGTTTTTCCTTTCAGTTTCTTCATGCATTACCTTTGAATCAATCGGTCAAACTATGCAAAACTGTGTTAAAAGAATTAGAGTCTATCGACTCTCTTCAATTTATTTGTAATTATTTGTTAGAGTATTGTAAAGCAACAGAAACCATAAAATACAGAAGAACCTTAATAGGGATCGATATTTTACACATGTTAAAGTCTCAAGAAAGATCATTATACATTCACCTTATAAAAGAACCATTGTTAATGTTAGAACAGTTGTTGATGAATTGTAAATTTGAAAGTATCCAAAAAATATTGAACAGAATCCAAGATAAATTGCAACAGGTGGATATTTCAAGAAGTAGCTTTGACGAAATAATAAAATTCTATGCTCAAAAGTCGTTGGATTGTCGTGTATCTTTACAATGCGATACCATTGAAACCAAATCAAAGAACGTACAACATTCCGTCTCAAAAACAGAAAATATTAAATTTGTAATGCCTATTCTAGTTCCCACTAAAGAAGAATGGATACCTAATGATAAGGTACAACACAAAAACGATGTGCAAGCTTTTTGGTGTAGCTTGGTATTTAAACTTGTTTAAATTTTCGTTGTTTAACAGGCCACAGAGTGCAGTTGTTGCAAAATCGTTATATTTTCGATGTTTAACAGACGACACCATTGTCGTAGATGTGGTCGTGTTATCTGTGCCCAATGTTCTCAACATCGCATGCACGTGTCTGGATATCCGCCTTCTGTACTTGTACGTGTGTGCAATGATTGCAAACAACAGACAGTGTTACAAATGCAAGTCCATCACGGAGCACAGTCTACATCGAGCAGCGAAATGTTTGATTACTGGCAATTAACGAAAGATCAAAAGCATAATCAAACTATCAGAGAAGAATTTTCGTTCGAGTATGCACCAAACATTTCTCTGTGCTTGGCTATCCTTAACTTGTACTCTGACCATAAAACATACACTAGGTAATAAATATTTTTACACATATATTTATATAGAAATTCTGTAAATATTTTCAATACAAAAATTTATTGTTTCAGCTTTTTATTAGATCGTTGCGACGAGATAAAACATCTCTTACAACCTGTAAGCGGGGGAAAAGTAAATCCAGAGGTAGACCATACTGTAATAATTAAAATGATACGTTCTCTGTTAATTGCCGCAAAAGTGAAATGTGCAAAACTTGGTCTTAGTACTGGATTAGCACACTGTGATCGTTTTTTGTCGCAAGTAGATCTTATTGCTAGTTTTATCCAGTCCGATTGTTTGTACCTTGTGCCCTCTGACGATTTGAAAGAACGTACCTTGAGACAGTTTAGGGATCTTCTAATTGAAAAAGAACAATGGATTCTTGCCCTAGACGTAAGTACTAAAGCAGGATTGGATACACAAGGTGTTTGGGTAACTTGGGGCAAAGCATGTTTGAAAATGGGATACTTTGATCAAGCACGAGACAAATTTTCCCATTGCCTTGACAAAATTCAGTTCGACGACATCGACGATTGGGTACTATTATCATATTCCAAAGACTCGACTACGTCGGACAAAAGAGAAAATCGAAAATTTACAAGGGAGAATAAAATCGACGAGGATAATGAATTTACAATGGACGAACTATGCATAAGAAGAGAATTTTCAAAAAGTCGCCCGTTAAAAGATCCACCATTGCTTTCAGAGATTTTACAAATGTTGAATAACTTGAGCACGTACAAACAACATGTACAACATTTCCATCAATATAAGTCTATGGCTTTACAAGATGTATTGAATAATTTTGGAAATCTGAAAATGGCGAATCAAAGGCAATTAATCGTTAAAAATGCATCTTCGGTCATGCAAAACGTTTACTACTACGAAAGTCTTTATTATTTATTAACTTATGGAAGCTATAATTCGATTTTAGAATTCTTTCTGAAACACGAACAATTTGACGAATGCCTTACTTTCACTTTAGAGAATGATTTAGAACCCGATTTATTCTTCAATGCGATCTATTTATATTGTTTGAAAAACGGAACTACTGGGAAACTTCACGAGGCTATGAAAAACAGGGATCAAAATTTACTAATTTGGAAAAAGTATTTGATATGCGTGTGTCACAGTCTGGAAAGGAGACAATACTTAAACATTCTGTATCAGTTGCAATTATTTATGAAAGACTCTATTCGAGCTGCAATGACATGTATTCGTTTTTACTGCAACGAAGTAAGCAATTATACAGATTTCTGTATCAGAGAGAGTTTCTTACACGATGCCCAAAAGCACTTGGAATCTGAATTGCAAATCGAAACGTTGAATCGGAAAAGAAAAAAGAGCACAAGTTCTATGCATAGCAATCAAGGAATTCTAACAATGGAAATGGAACCTTTGGAAATAGATAGACACATTAACACGATCTGTAGACAAATGGAAATTGCAAAGTATTTAGCAACTTGTGAAAAAGAAGGAAGGTCTCCCACTCAGTTTTTTAATTTATTTCCAGGCAAGGATTGTGATAATGGTCACACGTTAGAATTGCCAACTTTATTTGGCAATCAACAGCAGAAAATTGATTTAACTGTACTAACCATACTCTGCGGACATAATGTCGAAGAAGGATTCGGAATAGCGTTTAGAATAATGCAAGGTCTTTTTCAGTTATTTAAACGTGATTTAACTACCTTGTAGATTATACAAATAATTTGTATTATTTCAGATTATAATCTACCGCAGCAAAAAGTGTATTCATTAACTGGTCATATCTTGACACTTGGGAACAACATTTCTGCAATAGAGCAATTAATTAAATGCTGTCATACATCTGGTATCCAAAATTCGTATATCATATCGGATTATGTTTTGACGCATTGTGTGAAATTGTTGTTGAATAATTTGCACAGTAAACCAGAATCGAATTTAAAAAATGATGTCCAGAACCTCGTCAGATTAATAACCGACATAGAACTAAAAGTAAAATTCTATACTATACATACTAATTTGTTAATTTTTTCGATATACTTTCTTATTCGTTTTATTTCTAGATAAATGCATATATTGAATGCAAGCATCTGAAAGCTGCGTACCTATTAGCTGTTAAGCATTCACGAGCACAAGATATAAGAAAAATTTTAAAAGAATCCGATAGGCTCGGTCAAAATGCAATTAAAGCAATATGTATAAAATGGCTTCAACAAGAACCAAAGTCATAATTTTAAGATGTATTATAGAAGTATGTTAGAGGCAATAAGTTCCTCCGTTTTTATTCATTACTATTACGAGATATTTATACTATAACTTTAAAACTGTAATTTTAGAAATTTTATACAAGTTCTTAAAATGATTCCAAGTATAAACTAAAAACGTTGTCTTTCTTATTGCATTCCATAACTACTTGTCTAATTAAATATTATAATTTCGAACTAATTTTTACCTTAATTAAATACTACAATTGCAAAATTTAATAAAGTATGCATAACATAATTATGAAAGTAAAAAGTGCAATAATTGCAGCATTTGGAAAAGTTTATTCAAATTACGAATATATATAATAATAATAAATAACATTTAAACACTTCATAAAATATGTCTATTTTCATAAGTAAAATAATACATCTTTATTAATTATTTGTAATTATTATACTTAAATCCAAACATAGTACTAATACCTCTTTCCTTACTTAGAAAAATGCAAGAATGAAATGAATATTATCGGACACTGTTGAAATGTATCTATACACGTTACAAATTCTACATTATTATTAAAGTTGTTATAAAGTGTTTCAATAGTATAAATTATCTTTTACGTTATTCTACTTTCAAATTCAATAATATTAAATATATAAATAAAAGTAACAAAATCTATTATACTTTGATCGTTTGCCTTTTCATTTAAAATGTAATTTTCTTTTATTTGTAATTAAATAAATAAAAGAAGTTTACGTTTTCCACAACACTGTAAATTATAATTATTCTAGGATGTTTATTTGTGATATTTTTTTTTTTTATAACTCACTTAAGCTGATAGTTTTTCTTCATATTTTTCTGCGAATGCAGGATCAGTATTTTTAATCGACAAAAGCAAAGAATCCTTTTCTTGTTGAGACCAATTATGGCTCCACTCTTGAAAGAGTTTTACTCTACATTGAAACAGACTCGGAGGTCTGTCGGATCCTTCCACGTGCCCCAAATTTTCCATTCTGGATACCAGTCCATTAACAAGACCCGAGGGCTCGCACTGTTCCAATAGTACGCTCAAGAAGTCATTCCTTTGCATTTCTGACCACTCTTGAAACCATACTATTACATAACGCAGCTGAGCTTCGTTCGATAGCACAGTAGACATGTTTTATCTTTAAAAAGAAAAATGAAATTCCCAATTAACATGACAAAAAAATTATAAAAATAATAATTTACAAACATAATGAAAATTACGAGTTAAAAACAACAACTTTTTATATTTAAATATGAAACGTAAGAGGCAATATGATAATTAATAAAATACTGTTAAAATGTTATAGATACACGATAGCGTGCCGATAATCAATAAATATAATACATCAGTCTACATAGTACAGAAATATTCTCAATTTGTTATTATGGTTGTATTAGAATAGATTTGTACAATACAAGAAATTCATCTTTACCTGTCGCGTTTTACTTTATTGGCGATATAACTTTCTTCCGCTGATTTTCGATTTGTTGCTTTCAATCATGACAAAACATTCTGAGAAACAACGCTCATCGACAAAGATGAAATGACAAATACATCATATCATATAACCATGATATGTGTGAATACTTTATTTCAAAACAGTATACAAACGTTCTATAGCGATAAAATATTATTCCATACAATTAATCGATTAATTTGCATTTCTTAGGGTTAACTTCGATCTCTCCTTCAAAATCCGAATCGCTCTCCGACGTTAGCCGATCTAAAATTGATAAAAATTGATTAGTTCCCACAAGTTTTCGATCGTATAATTCGTGCAATTATCTTTAACATTTTTCTTTTCTTTTTTTTTCTCTTATTTACTTTCGTCGTTGAGCGAACCATCTTGTTTTTGTACGAGGCTCGTTATAAAATCGTTAATTTTAATTTGCATGCCTTTCAAACAAGAAATCACGTCGGTCAAATTATTTTCACTCAGCTCTACACTATTATTATTTTCGTAAATGCACTCATTATTTTCACAAATTTTTACACGCATGATCGTGCTGTTCATCATAATTTTCTATTTTCAATTAGTGTTTCATCGGTATTACGAAATATTTCCTTTCGCAAGTATGTAAGTTTTATATCGGTCAATACCCGCAAAAGTTTGTACAATTTGCAAAGCGCGCTAGGTATTCATTTTATTTTTTAACAGGATCTCTTAACGCTATATAATTTTTCAAAAAAGAAACTATACATTATAAATTCATTGTAAAATGCATGATATTTAAACAATTTTCAACGTTATCGATAAAAGTTTGGAATGCGATAGAATTTTAATGAAATGTTTATAACTTTGAGCATAGAGAATGCATGCGTTTCGTCGTCTACATATAGACCCGCCATAATATAAATGCGTCACATAATCACGGTTGTCATTTGTTGGAACTAAATATTTGAGGATAGCTATAGCGGTGTATCGAACACTATCGAACACACGGCGTGACTGTACGAATGTGTTTCTCAACCTATAAAGTAACAAACAATACTTGACTGCCAAGGCATATGTTGGATTCGGCAAAATGGTTTTGCTGGAAAACGATTTGGTAATTTTTAATATCTAGAATGCTTAGTGTTTTGAGAGTTTTATATGAATTTTAGTTTTAGTTTCTAGTGGAGCTGACACGTCTTTTTGATAAATCTCGTATATCTGGTTCTGTAGTGCTCACTATCAAAAGATGTAAGTATTCGTGTTATTATTATTAAGCAGTATTAAAATTGAAAATACTATCAAAATATTATGATGGATCTTTTTAGTTAATGGACACAATAAACCGACACCTAGGAAAGGTAAACCTCCCTTACCAACGCCAAACGAATTTCTTTGTTTAGTAAGAGCTAGTTTAAGGTCCAAAAAAATTTCTACCATTGTACGTATCGTTCTATGAATTCGTACTTTGTTCTTTGCACGATCAAAGAGGAATAAAGCATAAATCGTATATATTTGGTATTCCAGATTCATTCCAAGGATGTAAATAAATTTCAGCAAGCGTATTGGAATCTATTGAAATCGAACATCAACGGTCTTAAGAAATTAAAGAAAATAAAATCTGCGAAGCCTAAAGTCCATTGACATAGTAATATAAATTAACGCTTATCTGTAATATGTTATTATTAACACTTTTGTATAATGTGAAATACGTTTCCTTTAATGTACAACGCGATACTAAGAATAAATTACGTTTTATGTAAATAATACCGATACAAATAACTTCTTAAACTTTTGTGTATATTCGTTGGAATTTCTTGTTATAAAATATCTGAAAAGAGTAGCCTTTCATAGAGAGGAATTATCTTTACTTGAATTGGTCCACGTTTATTGAAACACCTTATAGAAAATTCACCATCAACAAGCGACATAAACAATACATCTACAAACGATGCTTGGTGATGCGAGATTTAAAAATATCATAATTGCCTCTATCAAGTAATTACTTACTAAATGTTACTTATTCGATAACCGGTTGAAAAATAATTACAGCAATAGGATATTGTTGACGGTCATGCATTATTAAATATTACGGAAGTAATGAAATTATTTTTTCTAATTTACTAATAAAACTAACGATAAAAGTTTATTCGAATAGAACGAAATAATGTTTGCACATTGGAGTGTTTTTAAATTAAAGAATATTTATCCTTTGGTGGAAATGTAGAAGGCGTGCCCCTTGACGTAGGCCATTTTATTGTGCGTTCGGTGTTACCAGACGGTAGACCGGCGACCAGAGGAAACTGCCCCTCTACTTACACACACTAATGCACGTGAGCTCCGATGCTTCGTACAGCTTCGAGGATTCGAGAAAGAAGGCGAATGTGAACTGTTAAACTCGAAATCGTGTGCCGGTTGACGCGAATCAAGTTTCAGCTGTTTCAAGGGCGAGAAGAAAAGGCTGACAGTCGCCATCTTTTACAAATTCCCGAAGTTATCCGATGCTACCCGAAGCGCAGGAGCTCACGTACACGTGGCTGTGCATCGATGTGCGTATGTAGAGGGGCAGTTTTCTCTGGGTACCGGTCTGCAGTCTGGTAACACTGTTCCAGGGGCAGATAGAAATGATTGAAAGAAGCTTCGATCCGTAGTGTTAAATTATCATAGGACTACCCGAAACCTTGGCTTTGCTCTTGCCCTTTTTTAAAATAATAATTCTTCTTTCCTTGGGAACATAATTATCGAAGTGCAGATAGAAACGTTACTAGAATATTACAATTTACGTATGTACGTGCATCTTGGTCGTGAACGACGATCACCACGAGTGTATGTAATTTTCAAAATATCTGAAAACAAACGTTCGTTGACCTCGATCACAAGGAACAAAATTGATGGAGGAAATAATGGGTACTCGTGTTTATTTTCTGTTGAAAATATTATACTTTGTATATCAGTCATTATGCAGCATATAATGTGTATCATTTTTGTTATAGACATTGTGAAAGTCGAGGACACAGTGTTAATGACAAGTACAACGTTAGAAAATTTATTTGGTAATTTCCGTACATAGTTATAATGTACACGGATCTTTGGTAATAGCTTTTATTGATATATGATTGTTACAGATCCACATAATGTTCAAGATGCTATTATAATGTCCACTGAACCAGAGTCCAGTGATATGAAAGGTACACGTAATGGGCATATCTTTTTATTTAATAATATGCAAAGAAAAATGATTTTGCAAAATTGATTATAATATATTATGTTATCTGTTCCTTTTCTTTTAATTTATTACAGCGCTTTCTATTATGTTTTTACAGTTATTGCTCAAAGTGATCAAATTATACAAATTGTAACAGATTATGAGTGTGTAACATGCCATCGTGTCTTTCAATCTCAGGATGTAAGAGTTCAACTAATTTATTTCATATTATTTTATACGTTGTTTTAAGAATAATGTTACTTTTTTATGAAACTATTGATCATTTTAATAGATGTTAAAGGAACATTTAGATGTGTGTAGAGACGATAACTCTATCAGTTTTTTACAACTGAATCATATAGAGAATTATCAAATTGATGAAGATGAAAAAGATGACAATTCAATTTCCACTGTTGATCATAATACAAAAGGTATATGTTAAAACCTACGTATAATTTGTTTTTTAAATGCATTTAGCAACTGTTGTTGTTCTAAACAGAAAATAATAACCACAGATTCTAGTTCGAGTCGTCGGAAAGATAACAATTATAAACCATTAATTTTGCCTGTATCTGATACCCGATGCCATTGTTGCAATGAACATTTAACTACTGCACACAGTGGCGGCAAATATAAGTGTTCAAATTGTGAACTTACGTTCAAGAAAAAGTCATCTTTAGAAAGACACATTGTTGTAATTCATTGGCAGTGTCGTTCCTGTTTTTGCAAGGAATGCGGGGAAACATTTAACGACAAGAAATCATTGAATAAACATCGTTATACCACTCATGCTGATCAAAAAATTTACAAGTAAGTGTATTTAATTATGTTACAAAACTGCCATGTATCTTGTTTATTTATCATATGAAAACATTGTGAAAGAACGATCAATGATAACAGTATAATTTAATAAATTTAAGGTGCGAACCCTGTGATACTTATTTTTCTCGAAGCTATCATTTAAATCGTCACATAATGCAGTCTGGTTGTCATGGCAACATTCTTAATACATTTAACTGTCAAGTGAGTATTTCTGTATCTATATGATATATAAACATAATAAATTAAGTTTGAATTAATTAAACACGTATCTTCATAGGTTTGTGAAAAAGTTTTCACGCGTAAGGACAATTTACGTGAACATTTACGTACGCATTCGGGAACCCTAGGTAGACAAAAGAAGCCTTGTAAATATTGCCCTAAGGAATTCCTTACTAGCCAACAATTGTTAATTCACGAACGTATACACACGGGAGAGAGGCCGGTTCAATGTGACTTATGCCCAAAGACATTTTTATCATCTCTCGCGTTAAAGAAGCATAGGCGCGTGCATACGGGGGAAAAACCATTTGGATGCAAATATGTAAGTATTGATTTTCAAATAATTAATTTCTTTCATCAGAGATATAATTTGAATAATAAATAAATCATTTTTTTATTCAAAATATAATTATAGATTTGTTAAATAGAACTTTATAATAATTATCTTGTATAATTTTATTGCAAGCAAGCATTGTGGACAGAGAAAGTAGTGTAAGTTTTTGCCGTTATAAATAAAATGGTTTCTTTTATGGTTATTACGATACATGTAAATACATAGGGGGCTGAATCAACACACTAAAAGAAGTAAATAACGTTATATGAACATATGTCCAATAGTCCGTTGATGGCATACGAATTCTTAATTATTTTAGTGTGAAAAGAAGTTTGCTGCGAGAGAAACTTTAAATCGTCATCAGAGAACTCATACTGGTGAAAAGCCACACGCTTGTCAGTATTGTGGCAAATCGTTTATACAGGCAGCTCAATTAAGAGAGCACACGTTTCACCATACCGGTGAAAATGGCTATTATTGCGACGTGTGCGGTAAAGCATTTAATCGGAAAGCTCGTTTGAATATCCATAAAAAATATGTCCACGAAGGAGCAACCCCATTCTCGTGTACAGCTTGCGAAAAGAGGTTCATAAGGAAAGAAGATCTTGTCAAACATTCGTTACTTCATGCGGGAGTTAAACGTACAATATAAACATTCTAATATTATGATTTTAGTAATTATACGAGTTGTAAAAGAAAATATATTCTTTATTCTAGCATTTAAATGCGATAAATGTGAAAAAGCATTCTCCACGAAGTCTTCTTTGCAAGCTCATTTGAATACTCATAGACGAGAACCACCGCAATCGTGCGTCGAATGCAATAGAGTGTTCATTCGTCAAGATTGTTTAATGAGGCACATCAAAGCAAAACATCGTGAATTATTGGAAGATGTCGTGAACGAAGTGGAAAAAAAACATTTGCAGTCGCAAATGTATTATATTGCTACAATTGCCGCTGAGAAAACAAAAAACGGAGAATCCAGTAGACTATCCACCGACGAATTACTAACAGCTATATCGGATCTTTTAAAAATATTAATTGACGATGATACCCTTCAGGTATAAATTATTATAAGGTATAATAATAATATATTATGAAATTGTGTTTAATTTAGCTTATATTCTGTAGTTGTTTGGTTGGCCCGATGCTCCTATTCAAGATATTTTAGAAGCGGTAATCAGAAGATGTGGTCATTTACCGTTAACGCCAAAAGCTGACTTACATTTCACCGACCGATTAAGAAAGAATATTCGACTTTTGTTTAGTGTTGTTATAGAAGACGACGCGGTGAAAGCTCTCTTAACAACGAAGACTGTGGACGATGTTATTCTACATGTTTTAGAACTTTCAAAAGAATATGCATCAAGTTCGTAGCTGTACGAGGAGAAACAAAATTCATTAATTTTCTATTCATGCATGAAGTGTTCATTTTTTTCTTTTTTTCATTGGTATTGGAAAACATGGAATAGTATAATTTTCGAACAGGAGAAGGGTTTCAACGAACATGGAAGAACAATACCAATAAAAGTTGAAAATACATAGTATAATTTACTGCATTATTATTGTTATAATGTACTATATAATATTACTATTATTAAAAACTTGCATATAAATATAGTACATTGACTCGATAAATTTTTTATTACGTTTATTTTTCTGCTTGCATTCGAAGTTATAAATTACACGCGTCTGATTAATTATTATCATTAAACGTAAACACACTGTTCACTTGGCTGGGATATTATATATTAGAGTAGTATATTTTTTATATGATACACATTATTTACAAACTGCATTTATACAACCTATACGAATGTATATATTTTCCATGGTATATAAATGGTGTTCTAATTATTGTATACAAAGAAGCAAATATTTATAAAAAAAAAAAATACTTATTCCCTGTCTATTTTACACCTTCCATCTCTATATTATTATATTGCATTGTAATCAAATTATTGTTTGATAAAAAGTTGATTAATTATTTTCAAAAACGTAAACTCTATTTTAAGGTAACATCGTAATAAACCATTTATGGTTAATAAAGAGTAGTTCACATTATGCATACGATTTCCCGTTATTTTTCATAAGTAATAGTTTTCTAAAAGAATTATTTCATTAATAGTTGCTTTATTAAAATTTTTTAATACGATTGAATATCTTTGGTCAGTATTTCATACGATTAAAATACGTATTAGTATATTTCGGTAATTATCGTAATCAAAATAGGTAGCACGTGAAAGCAAGAGACGGAAAGTGCGTGTACTTTGATAGAATTTATAGATATTTTTTCATATTTTAATTGTAATCATGATCGCATTAGACATTACCGCAAAAATTGGAAAATCGCCGAAGAAACCCCAAGGTACGAATAAAAAATCTATTTTGGTATTATAAATTTTTCTGTAAGAAAAGTTTTACTTTGTTTACTTAACCTTTCTAATATTTTGATCTCCGAAGAGTCATTATTAGAAGTAACTCTATAAAAGAGCGTTTGTTTTATTTGATTTTATGCGATGTACGTACCAAGGTTTTGACAATAAAATATTATTGTAGTAGAAATCAGGGAAGACAGCGATGATAACGAACAAGATAGCGATGAGGATACTATGGAGTCCGAAGCACAGGAATTGGAAAGCGCGGATAAAGGATTTAAAGAAATAGAATTTGAAGAGGATGAATTTAACACTGAAAAAACCGAAGGAAATCCAGGGTGGGCAGATGCTATGCAGAAAATTCTGTGGACAAAAAAGCCCAAGCGTAAAAAGATGATAGTTTTATCCAAAGCGAAAAAGTTATGCGACGCGAAGAAAGAAAAAAGCGAAGATGTATCGTTTGAAATTGAAACGATAAAAACGGAAGTTAAGGAAGAACAGTCGGACAAAATTAAAGACCAAGTAGAACAACCGCTTACACAATTGATAGAAAGGAAAAAAAATAATTTAGGTATCAGGATAAAACCGAGAATAACGGATAGAGATCGTGAAAGAATATTACAAAAGATTGCTACGAAGTATGTTATTTCAAATAGAGGATATTTTACTTGCTTGTTAGAAACGATTAAAAACAGTTGAATTCTTTGCAGAGGCGTAGTACAATTGTTTAATGCTGTAAGACAGCAACAAGGGGATATTAGTGAAAAATTATCAGAAGCCGGCCCGTTGGAAAGAAAACGCGAACAAGTACTTAAAAGTATTGATAAGAATTCATTTTTGGATATTCTTATGGGTGGAAGTAAAAGTATTAGGGTAGATAACGATGTTAAAAATGAATCTCAAGAAAACGATAAAAATAAGGAAAAGGTAAATATGTCTGATTTTAAATAAACGTTATTCTAGTTTGAAAAAAGTAATGGTAATAAAGAAGAAACAATTTTGTTGAAAGGATACGGGTGTATGGAGCGTATTGAGGGATGATTTTGTTATGGGAACAAAGTTGAAAGATTGGGATCGCAGAAGCGAAAACGAAGATTCTTCTGCACCAGAAGATATGGATAGCGATAATTAAGTTCTATAAAAATATAGAATGTTTGTGCACGCGTCAACAAATTGTATGTACAAAATTGATTTGAAAATATGCTACCATTGTGTCTGAACTCGCGATGGCGCAAAGTTATTATTACTGAGCGTGTCAGTAAAACTAATTAAAAATCATTTTTAATACATTTTCTGTACTTGATACTTTAATCCAGTCTTCACCTTTGTATCGAGATCTGTTGAGATTTGCTCTTGCTTTTTTAAAATATTTGTATGGTTTGTAAACACGGAGGAACGAAATAGTACATTCTTATTAAATATTTTATTTAATCAATAATTTATATTTGAAATATTTTTGAACTACGCAACAACGGTAATAATAATGTGTACAATGCATAATTTATTATACGTTTATACGCATACACGATTTTATTTAAAATTAATCGTTATTAGTATTTTATTTATGCCACGTGAACATGGTTTAAGAATAGTGCCATAACATTTTTTTTGTGAAACGATACGACATACTTGTTTGTGTATTTAAGTTACAGTTGTTTCAGAGTAATGAATTTAAATTTAATTTAGGGGCATACTTCCATATACATGATCTGTACATAGGACAACGTAACCAACAGTTATTCTATACACAGCTTATTTATATATACTTTCTGTTCTCATTTTTTTTTACAATGGCAATTATGTGATTAACGCGTTAATGATTTTATGGACATGTATAAACAGAAATTATAAGAATTTTGAGGAAAGCTTATATGTCGGACATAGAGCTTATTGCATTTTGCAGTAAAATAATATAAAAAGCAAATGTAGAATAAATAGTCTCTAGCTTGGATTACTAATAACGTGTACAAAATATTTAACTTGATTTATGATAGTTATTTCTCTTAAAATTTATTGAACTTAGTACGTAGATTAACCCTTGGACGGACTGAACTAATTTACCTCATTGTTTCCTCTCAATTATTGTGCCATAATTAAATTGATTGTACACTTGTCACATATAAAATTATTTTTAAAACTTGAATCATATAATATTTGATGATTCTTCCTGCTTGTTTTGGATAACAGCTAACTAGATTAGTTCAATCGTTTGTACACATTCTGGTGGGCTTCTTCGAACATTATAATTATTATATAATGTTTTTATTTTTCGTGTAACGTAAAACCGACGAGTATTTTAAAAATTTTTCAATTTATTAAATTCACTTTTAATCTTTCTACATTTTTATTCCATCGTTAAACAAAAATTAAAAGCCTAGTTTTTACTTTTGTATCTACAATCGATATTTATAATTAAAAAGATTAGTAAAAGTAAGCACCATAGTACTGAGAGCCACACGGAAACAATATACATATACTTCTATCTTAAATATACATTTTACCATGTGGCACGATTAGCAACATACACATGGTAAGAGAATTTCTCTGGTGTAGTTTATAGATCCTTAAACTTGTCGTTATACGCGACTCTCACGGATATCGGCAAGAGCCCCAAAATTCCTGGTCTCCTCGTCAGAATAGTTAGACTCAGTTTCTAATCTTTGCGATCTACTAGCATCGTCATTGTTTCGGTTTCTAAGGTAATATTCCGTTGGATTGCATTCGTTGTTGCGATTAGATTCGTCGGTTGTTTGAGCATTCTCAAAATGTACACTTCTAAGGCTGGACTGATCCTCTTGCGTTCTTGACCTGTTTATTTCGTTCGCGATAGTGCACCTATTCTGCAAGGACTGATCGTTGCTACGGTCTTCGGACCGAGATAATCGAACGTAAACAGCTTCGTTCTCGTGATTATCCCTCTGCGAATTCTCTGTATTGTTCCTGCTCTCTTGGCTAATCCTCGACATGCTTCGAGCAAGATTCCTTATGTTCATTAGCTCGTTTCCCGTAGCTACGTCTCTAGATATCTCTTCGGTACTGTTCATACGTATTCTTTCGTTGTTTCGTACAGAGTTATCGAGCGCACAATGATTCCCATTGACGGACAGTGGTTCGCCCTGCCGTTGGCTCTCGTTTTCATTCGCTACGTGGAACAGAGTCCCGTCTTGATACGTTCTAAGGGCCTCGAAATTTGCGTTACTGAACACTCGTGGTACCAAATCCTGGCTCATTCGATACAATTCTAATTCGTTGTCTACGTAGTAACTGTCGAGTGGATTGCTGATGATAGACGGATTCCTTGTGACGTTCCTCCGTGGAAAACTCTGGCTCGAGAAGTTCGTCACCGTTGTTCCATAAGGGTACGCCAACGCGTTCATCGGATTGCCTAGTATGTGCGGACAGCCATCCAGGCTTTGCATCTCGATCTCCTCTTTACCGTCGTGGCAATAACTGTGTAAGTCTATCTCGTGGGGAAGATTGGCGAATCTGGAAAATAACAAAAATACCAGCAAATGGAAACAAAATAATGCAATTTTTAAAATAAATTTACCTGTGCAGCAAGATATCCGAATACGAAGGCGGCATGTCCGACTCTTCCTTCCCGTAAATGCTCTCGTACGTTGGAGGTGGGAAACACCCTACGGATCCAAGACTATCCTTGCTAGGCGTTTCTGCGTCCATCTCCAGTATACTACCCTGGCTGTTCTGAAGCTGATGGCGATTTATGCTTCGCGGATTCCTCTGCGCGCGTAGGACGCTATCACCGAGTTCCACCAGATCCAAACCTGACCAAACGATGCAACACACACCTGAGGCAGCCAACTCGATTCGATCCGACTAAGATTGTTCGCATGCTCCCTTCGTGCGAAGCTAAGTAGACTTTTTACAGTTTAAATCAAATTTCAATTGTATCAATCTTTACATTTTTTTAAATCTTTTTCAGCGCGTTTCAAGTCTCGATCGTGTTGGAACGTAGAAGAGTACACGCTACAAACTGTAACCAAATAACTGCTTCTACATACATCGTGAAAAGTCTTAAACAGCGCACGCTAGAAAACCCGAAACCCAGAATTTATAGCCGCGAGGATCTCAGACTTTTGGCTAATGAAAGCACAGAAAAGCTAGTTTATCCAGTTTTGCGATCTCACCAGTCGGATCGGGTTGGAACTGCGTGAAGATTGTACCATCCACAACGAGCATCCTACCGTGTGGCAAGAGGATGATCGTCGGTGTTGCTACCATCGCCTGGTCGCTATTACCGAACCGCGAGTCTGGCTCGGGATCCTCTAGCCGACAACAGCAGTGTCGTCTACATAGGGACCTGCAGAACGGCGCGCCCCAGCAACAATACGCGAAGATGAAGCAGAGGACAGCTAGCATCACCAACAGAGCAGCTACCCCTTGACCCTGTTGAGCGGCTGCGAGGGTTGGACCACCGGCGACACCGACACCAACGCCGACGCCGAATCCTAACCCTCCGCTGCTACTCATCTCTCCTAAAACGTTACACATTTCCTCTAGTGCGCTTGCTTCTGTTAATAGTACTTCTTTTTTTTCTAAAGCATATTTTTATGCATAAAACTGAACATATTACATTCAGTCTATGTAAACGATCTCTACTCTTTTCCTCCACGAGTAATTTATACTTGTTTATTCGTTCGTTACACGTAAACGTTCTCTTTATGCAATAAATGAATTGCAATCCGCAGTGCGGAATTAATAGCGACGCTATATTGCTGGCCATAGTCCAATCTTGTATGATTAATTTTTCTAAGTTTCATCTCAACGTTATTAATCAAATTGTAATAATATCTGCGTTCTTCGTCACACCGGAATATTTATTTTTGTGTCCGCCATATTTGGTAAAATGTTGATCTCGTAAAAAATTCAACGAATTTGGTCTTGCAATCAACGTGCGGTTACGAGAGATTATATTTTTAAAAATGTTACAAAGCTATAAACTTTAAACTTACTTTTATTTTTACATGAAAGCGAGCGTAATTTTGGACATTGGTACGCTCTCTCTTATGTTAATAGAATGAATGTCATTCTTCGTCCAGAAGAAAGGTAAAGTGAAAGCGGAAGGTAACCCCATCGCGTCATAAGTCTTTTCAATGTTGTACGAATCGCAGATTACTCGTTTCGCCGTAAAAAGTTTATACATACATATATTTATTCGTAAAAAGAACGCACAAAATAATATTGTACCCTCTTGAAGTATAAAATGTCTCGAATGATCTTATGCAAATGTTCAAGTGTAGCAAAAATATCTTTTCATTTACAGAAAAATTTGTTAGTACGGATATTAATCTGGAAAATTGTTTCTAATGTAATTCGGATTATTTTTCAGCCTATATATATATAATAAGTATTTTTATTAAAATTTTATCAACTTCTCTGATGTACCTATTCTCTTTAAAAAAGACGGGATCCGCGGGTAGATCGGATTCGTGTCAACGTGTTAAATAATTCCTATATATTTGTATATCAAACAGACGTACATTTCACGTATTTTAAAAATTAATTTTTAAAAAAACCACAACATGAGAATCACGACTATTTAGATATTATTTGCATTAAATGTTCAGTTTACCTTGAGTGGTAATATTGTACAGCCAAGTGGTCCCCGTGGTGGTTGTTGCTTCCGTTATCTTACGAGGTTGGTAAACCATGAAAAAATTTTCTTGTACCTTTTAAATAGATATTCTTATTTTCTTCGATAATTTCCAAATGTAACGCGTCGAATCGTGCAGCTTTATTCAAGTTTACAACCGAACAAACGGCAAAGAAATGTAACCGAATTAAATATGGGACGTCCGTCGGGGCAACGATATAGTCATTTTTTTAAAATGCTATGTTTTAGAAATTTCCTTTCCTTTTCCCGCGACGTTGCTCTCCCGTGGTTAATTGAAACTCTACGAGTTTCGAATCCGTCGTATGAACGATGACATTGCAAAAGAACGATGGTGTTTACGGGAACAACGGCGTGTACTGTGGTCTCAACGATACTCGTGACGGATTCGTTGTAGGATCTCTTCACGGAGACGTCGAACATGAAGTCGAACAACGGATACTGTCATCGCGAAGATACGTTTGACCCATTTAAATATCTCCCCACTTTACATCAACCTGCTGCTTTTTTGCCTTCGATATCTATTTCGCAATCGGGAACCTCCTCGTTCGCTGACTCGATATATTTCTCTTCTTGTCCCTTCAGCGATCTCCCTTTTCACGACGAGGGTAGGTTTCTTGGCTCATCTTCAACTTGTACCGTTACGTCAGTTGCTTTGCATCGACGCAATAATAATTCTTCTACATTTTCCTTTTTTATATTTATCGTGTACCATCCTTCTCTTTCTTCGTTCTAGTTCGATAGACTTGTTTTTATTATTTTTATACCGATTAAGGACTTTCGTCTCGACCGTTGTAATAAAACCGAATTTTACAAAGGACAATTCGACGATCGATGCTGGCGCGGTGTTTATATAATCATGGGGTTAATAATGACTCTCGTCCTTCAATTGTTAGAATAGAATAACATTTACTTGTCACGCGATAAACTTTATGAAACATTCGATAACGTCATAAATATCTCTCAACTACTCAACGTATTAATTACCGCTAAACGTAATTCCTTAATGTAGTTTGTTATAACAACCGGGTAACATGCACTTTCTTTCACTGATTATCCAACAGAAACTTTACTCACGTTGCGTTAGGATTTCACGCATCCTGTTCGGGTCTTAAATCGAATCACTGACATCCCCTTCATTTCGTGACTCTGACGTCACGGACTGCAGATGAAACCGCGCCATATTATTTACTATCGATGCATTGTGCATTCACGCGATGTGTCTTGGAACTGTTTTTCTGTTCCGCGACGTTCTGGCATATTACTGTCATTTTAGAAAATTCATTTAACGTTTATCGGTACAGATAATTGGCCAGCAACTTGTCAAATATTAAAATTGATTAATCACAATATCGAAACCATCCACTCTCATTCTGAACGTAATGATCGAATAATACGTTACATATGATTACGATCGCATTACTGTCAATTACGGGGGTAAAATCACATCGATGCATGTAACACGTATTTATATCGAGGACGAGGGGTAGGTTTTATGTTCATTGCGATTAGTATGAACCGTATCTTCGTACGTTCACGATTTACAAATATTGATTTATAAATAGTCCACTGATAACTTTGACCTTAACTTTTTATTCAACGTTTGTATATTTTTGTTTGTTTTAAGAACGATGGTCGTAATAAATCCTGCCGTATTTTCGTTGTACGCTCGTTAATATGTAGATCACACGAAATATGCGAGGCCTGTTCGTCGAATGTACTACTACCCTCGAAATTCTCCGCACTTTGTGGGACGCAGCAACATCTTCACAGCCCCTCGAGACACTGGCCAATGATTTGTCGGTGGTCTACTCGGTGGCGCTTGTTTTATTTTCCCACCCCTATGCATAGAATGGAAACGACCGTCACTGTACATACTTCTCCAACCTCTTTCTTCGTCACGAATTAAAGAAAGTTGATTTAATGCATCTTATTCGAGAAATATTACGAAATTTTATTCACGAATACAAATTTCTATTAGAATTTTGGTTAAACAAATATACGGGGTGCTCCACAACATGTGGCACATACTAGAGCCAGGCAAATTTTAATTTTAAACAGAAACACCAGAGAAAATAAAAGCAACGAAATAGTTTATACAAATATGACCCTTATTTAATTTTATTCCCAAGTTACAGTCATTTTTATACTCTGGTAATTCTTAATCGCAAACTTTGGTAGAAGTATTATCATGCAACGTTCAATAACTCCATATTTTCTTCGATGGAAGAACAACCATTACATATTTTACATTACATGTGATTTATAAAAAACAATGTAAACAATAGACAATAATTGTTTATTCATTGCCTATTACTAGCATTGAAATACTTTGCAACATATAAAAGCTTGTCAATTTCCATCGGGAAACGAGTAAAATTTATTCTAACACTAATCTTCAGAATAATTCTATTTTAAGTTTAGTCAATTTATGAACTACATTATTTAATTGTGTAAATTATGTATTAATTCCATGTTCTCATAGGTCATAACGAGTTTCTTTTCCCATCAAATCTGTTTTGTCTCTGAATTCACTTTTATTGGGTGCGATAGGAATCATATTGTAACTGATAAAAAGGTTTATCTCGTATACATTTTGTATATCAAAAAATCTGTTAAAAAAACTGGAGGAAATAAAGTATCCAGTTAGAGATGGTTTATTTCCATTAGAAACCATTGAAATCTATATTTTTATGCATTGAATGTGTATAGATTTTATCTCTTCAGAAAGATTAACAATTAAGACGAAATAAAAATTATTTTGCATGAATTATCTATTTTCATTTTATAAATAATGTCACATACACAACATTGCTGCATTACTATTCTTCCATACTTGGGAGTACAAGGTTAGACAAGCATACAAGGATAAGTAACACAAACGTTATGTGCGTAGCATTTACAATAGAAATCTTGGTAATTTTAGCAATTTCCATCACAATTTTTTATCCATTGTTGTATAAAAGCGGTCGAAAACTAAAAATTAATAGTGGAATTATCACGTTTATTAGTACAGTGTTTTAGATTCTTATAGAACACGATGTTCAATGTTTGGAGTATAGAATTCCTAACTGAACATAGCCAATTATTCCTATCCTTTAAGGTGGTCCTCACGTTTAAAGCGCGCATTCTGGTTTTCAAAATATAATTCTCAATTACTGGTACATATCATTAAAATAAACATAGAATGTTCAGCGAACAATACACAAAGTCGATATGGTCTATTTCGAATGTTCCATTGACAATCAATAATACGAATCGTAGTACCAAAGTTTCAGAGACAATGTTCGTGTTTATTATTATACTTATTTCAATTCAACGATACGAAAATTGTGTTAATCGAAAATATTGATCGAAACTGTGGGATTACGATATTTAAACGATAAATAATTCATCGTACATCCGATCGCCAAGTTTGAATCAGGGATTCGAATATCTATAACAAAGAAATTTCGTGTAAAGGCGGTTGCTCTGACGATCCGTTGTTCGTGGAATGTCATTGCGCCGTGAAACGTCGGTGAACGGTTTTCATAACCATATTTCTGCGCACGCATGTCTCGATTTCCATTCGAGTCTCTTGGAGATCGTTTGAAAACACATGCCAGACAGACTGTCCGACTGAGTTAAGGTACGAGTGCACGGGTGCGTGATAGGCTATTGGTGTCGCGTCGATGGATACGTCGGTGGTTGTCCGCTAAAACTTATCTCACGTTGTTCAATCGGCAGAGTTATGTTTAATGAGTCGTTGTAACGATTCGCCGGAACGATGCAGAGAAGTGGTAAGTAATGGAAAGTTCATTTCGATATGCGGTAAACATGAAAATTTCGATGAGTCGCGAGGACGACCATTTTGAGGGCGCCAAATTTTTGCGTCAATACACAGCGCCGTGACTGCCCGGTCAATACGGCAGCCGACCTAACCTACCAACTATTTCGCGAAATGGTCTCAACTGGTTTAATTTAGCCACTTGAACCGTGTTACTGTTTTTTTTCTTCGCTTTAACGCAGACTAATACGCCCTTGAAATTCAGATTTACTTTATTAACCGTCAGTCTGTATTATATTTTTTTTTTACAATTATTTTTTTCTCATATGTAGTGACAGTTTCTTTTCTTGCGAAGCCTGCAATTTTACGCGAACATTGTACGACGTTTATGTAGCCGTAACATTTCGATGACACATGAAATACAGTTAGATAATAATAAATGATTTCCAGTTGTCACGAGTGCTTGACAAGAATATTATACCATCGTTTAAATTTCGATTAGAAACATCACGTTTGTTCACGTATGATCGAAGATAACTCCGTATGATTTGACGATAACGATTTAAATGTATTGTTCGTCGAAAGTTAGAAATTTAGAAATATTTTTTCGTATCTCACGAAGTTTCCCACGATATTGTTTTTATTTTCATCGTAAAATACTGTGAATTTGAACAAGCATCAAGTAACTTGCTCTCATTTATCACAGCCATAGCAGACAATTAATCTAAATAGCGCGATGTAGATTGTTAGTTCTAGTTAAACAAGTGGGAAATGAGAAGAAACCTTTTCCTAGAGACGATCTCTGTAGTTATTTAGAAATTGTCAAAGCGAATATCCTAACAATAAATATTAAAAATATAGTGTCGTAGTATATCGGTAGATTCCTTCTGTTTCACATTTTGCTAGTTGCGTTATGCGGTATCTTGTTTTCTTTGATACGTGTAATATTAAACTATTATTTTACACAGGTCGGTGAAATCATATCTGTCACATATATATACATATATATATATATGTATACCGGACTTTGAAGTGCCGTGGTAATAGTACATATGACATCTTGACTGACCCTCTTTTTCTTTTCTTTTCAAACTCCGCTCTCGTTCGTTTAGTAGCGGAAGAAAGTTGCAGCTACTTTTTCTATGGTTGTACGATAACGATACGACAGATTTTAAAACGATTTTAATTAGTTTTGTCGTTTATGACAATGTTGTTGATTTATTGTACATTCATTTGTCCGATCTCGAAGGTATGAATAAGGTATTGGTAGGTAAACCCATCCCTTGTTATACATATGTATATATATTATATAAAATAGTTCAGTTTAACGTACATATTTCGTTGGTTGAATGTAACAAATGTAAACGTTTGTATAGTTTCGTGTACATAAACTGGCAGGAATTTTGAGTGGTTTAAATCGTATCGCTATCGGTGGGCAGGAGCCATCGGCGGTACCTTAGAAGCCGCGTAGCACGGTGCTCTGGCCGTAAAATAGAAAGAAGGGAAAAAAGAAAGAGGGAGGCAGCAAGCCGTACATTTAACATTATAATTGTCTTGCGCTCGGAACAGTCGAGAACTTGGTCGGCACGTGAAACACGCGTAGAGGCTCGAGAAGCCTGATTGTGAACCGCGAGAGCCTCATCAAGATTTTAGTACACTTTCTGTATTCGACTTGTAAACACGCCAAGAGCAGTTGGATCGATCCGTCGAATCCACTCTTTCCTCGCGATCTACCTCTCCGTCGTTCGGTTTCTGCGCGGATCTGCTTGTGTGGATTGTGTTTTAAGGGACCATCGCGATTCAACCGAATTCCACGCTTTAAAGATCACCGTATTCCATCGTTAGTTCGTCGCGAAATGGTCCATGTGCACAGTTGCCCGCCGGTGAAAAAGAATCCCCTTGCGTTCGTGTCGCGTTCACAGTCCGAAGCGGACAAAGGGTTCGCCGAAAGATAAAGCGTAACTATACCGAAAACAGATGTACCGGTCCCAACCGCTGATCCTTCACCCACCTAATCGTTTCGTATCGACACAGGCCGTGAGATTTCTAGCTTCCTCTTCTTCTTCTTCTTCTTCTTAGCTAACGGCAGAGCAATCGTTGCCTCGTTCCTAATAAAATTTCAAGTTTTCCGCTACTTTTCTGGCGCTGCGAAATCTTGGGAATATGTATCCCTCGAGCGTATCGATTTTTCCCGAACGCAAGATTATTCGGTGAATTAGAATTGAAAATTTTCGTTGTTCGCGTTCGCGAATTTTCTGACGCTGTAATCTTTAAAATACGCTTTCGTCGTGCAACCGATGATCAAATGCAAGGGGAATCCAACGATACTTGGGATATCCGACCACGGAATTTTCGCGCTCCTCTACTTTTTGCGGTATCTATTTTCGGTTCGCGACGGATCTTCGCGCGGCGTTCCCCGTGATTTCACCACGCCCGGAGAAAAAGTTCGATAGCGACGATATAGGGGGATCGTTTTCGATGATCGAAATGGAAACTTCTACCGTGCTGTTTATCTCGCAGAATACACGTAAGCGCCAGCTTCTGATTTCGTTAATTACTCGACGATTAGCTATTCTCTCGGGTCGAGTCGGTATGATCGATCCTTAATTTATAACGGAAATCGGTAATCGATTCGATGGTAATAAGAAACAAACGGAAATACGGTTACTCCCGCTCGTGTTCGTATGTATATTATAAATGAAAGAAGAACATATTTCTTGTAAATGTTTTATGCAAACGAACGTTGCGGTCGAAGGGATATAATTGAACGAATGCTACGGATTATTTTAATTTCATCTTGCTAATCGAGAATGTTAACGTTATTGCATTTATCCTGGGCGAAATATTCGAAATGTTCGTTTTCCGTTGAAATGGACAAAGTGCGATTAGATGGGACATTATTGGTCATTCGCAGTAGCGTTTCGGACCAACTATTTAATTGGATCGTTACATTTCGAAAGATTGAAAATACGAGCTAATTTTTTCATTAGATATATGTGTATACCATACCTGCATCGCGATCGATCGAGATCGTCACCTTATCGTAACAATAATAATAATAATCGAGTTAACTCGGCGCCAGTAGCGACGTGTCCTCTTTCGAGGCAAATTGACGAAATATTGTTTCTTTTTTTGCCACCTGAGCATTATCGATCGGTTTTCGAATGGGGGCATTACAAGACTGCACACGATGTACTTTCACGAGGCTTAAAATAATTAGTTCGCCTCTTGGATCGATCATACGATCGGTTCGTGAAAAATTTGGCGCGAATTTTGGCAATTAACTTTGATTCAAATCTTCAAAGCACACGGTTACGGCGTGAAAGAAATAATTTTTAAGTAGGCAGTTATTAACAGGAACTTGATGTTAACGATGGACTAACTTAAATTGGTCTTTTTATTCCTTTTTTTTCCGTGCATCTTTTCTCTTATCCTCGTTCCCTTTATCGTGCTCCTCCTTCCTCCTTTTCCTCATTTTGTTTCCGGTTTCGTGCGGATGTTGGACGACCGCATTCTTCACGATAAACGCTTCTACAATGACGACGATGATCGCGGCATCGATGACAACGTCACATCCACAACGGTCACTTCGGGCATCACGGCAGCGGTAAGTTTCTGATAAGGCTAGTCGCATTCCGATTGTCGAGCAACACGCATTGAAACGCGCGTCGTGTTCGCCATACTAAAATCACGGGTCTATAGTACGTTCCGTCGAGGCTCGAAGTATTCGGATCGCGCAATCGATTTCGAACCGAATTTGTTTTCATCGTTCCCCTACAGTCAGTAGCAAAATTAAATCGCCTATTCAATTCTATTAATTTATTATTTTTTTTTCCATCATAGTTTGTATCATACTTTTACGTAGAACAGACAGGTGTTGTTTACTCGATGTTCGAATTTGAAACGACGAGCGGTTTCCGGTATACCTGGCCCCTGTCGCAATCACTGCCAGTTTTCGAATCCTGCGCGTGGCGTTCTGTTTCTGTTTACATACGCGATTCACATTTAACAGTGTCCGTTACATTCGATGGCACGTATGATTCACTCTGCATCGATGCGTAATCGAGATCACTGAGTAACGCGCAAGGGACGCAAGGTGTATTTCTTTTCTTTATTCTCGTAACGTAATTGCGATAACGAGGGATCGTCGCATCTTTGGCGCGATAAAGAACGGTGAAATGTAGCTGTACCGCGAGTGTTTAAGCAAAAGAGAGTAATAGCGGAAGATCAGTCAGAATTTGATTACGGGATCGTACGGGTGTTTGGCTAGCGAACCTAGAATCACTCGTACCTGTATTTGCGTCACAATTTCCGATTAGATTAAACACGATTGCTAAAAATGTTACGGACGTTGGAAGAGATCTGTGAAACCTGATCGACTGTTTCCGTGGTCGAGAGTGAGAGAGAGAGACGATCCTGGTGAAACTGTTGGAAATTAATAAAAGAAACGGGCTCGGTCGTTTGGATCGTTAAAATGTTTGCACCGACGGCGCCGAGACAACGTCTGAACCCGGCAATTCTTGCCAGATACAATAGCCGACAGGCCGATTCTTCTCAACAGGTAGTTATGTTACTCGAATTATTTTTCTAGTGTGTTTGTAACCTCTTATCCGGAGTATTGCGTTTAGGAGGTATTCTGGTCTCGACCACCAATTTCTAGCCCTTACATTGGCACTATTGACAAATTTTAACCTTAAATTCGAACCCTATAAATATACAGTTTGTATACGTACGTCGAGTATGGTAGGTGGATGGAACGCTTATGTGCACCGAGTGCACGTTTACTTAATTATCGTGACGTTAACGATTCTTTATCGACGTATCGGTATTCGGATACAACGTATGCAAAGTTCGATGTAGTAACGATCAACGGTCTTTCAGCGCCCTTATCTGTGTTCGTGTTACGTTACACGAATGAATATTGGGTCAAAGAATAAAATGGTGAACGATGGAACTAGGTTAATGTTATGTCTCGGCGGATTCATTGATTTAAAGTAAAATGAGAAAACAGAGTCCGGCAACGTTTCGTTATCTCGAAATATGATTGTTCTTCCCAAGGGCTCGTATCACGGCTAGAATGTAACAACAGTGATCTACGCATCTTCTCGCGCGACTTCATTTTTTTACGGTGTCAATGATCGCGGCGTCGACTTAACCCGGCTGTCATGCTTGGTATTCTAACACGACACTAGGAAGTACGCGGCAGAATGCTTCAAGTATCATTGTGACCTTAATTGGACTACGAACTAATAAGAGCATCGAACTATTAAACTACATGCAGTGAGTTGAAAAATTATTCGCACAGGTATATACATATATTTAAAATCGATCGAATTAATTGCACAACAGTGGAGCTTATAATTCGCGAATGCGTATAATTTGTTACACGAGATCGTACAAATGTATATTTATAACTTCCATACGATTCACTCTGACAATAGCCACTAAGGCAAAGAACGAGTTCATGTTACCGACAAGGGAACATACCCAAGCGTCGATCGTAAAATTTCATTAAATCAACGATCGACATTTCCCTTGTAAGAATAATCTATTAATTTCGTTAAATTATACACTCCTAGATCTTACAAAATTTGTATCCCTTTGAGAGTGGAAAGAGTGGAGAGATTCAATGTCAAAGTCAAGAGTTAGTTTGACAGTTTAACCTAGAGAACAACTGTTGCGGTTTTTTCTTCTTTCGCGAAAAATTAAAATTTACGTAAACTGATAGGCCCTTTCATTATTCGTATGCCACGTATTGTTATGAATTGTTCAAACTTTGAACCATATACAGTTTTCATTCCGTTAAAAAACAAAAGAATTTCTGTCTCGTTTCTTCCTGCGTTTGTTTCTATAGCCGGTTGGTAACGTTGCGAGTGACACGAATGTGGTAATGGGGCTCTAGAGCCCTAGAGAAATGGGCCGAAAAAATCGATTGGATCCAACGTTTACTCGTATACCTCGTCTGTGGTAACTTTCGGGAAAAACCAATGCTTCTATATGTTTATTTTTATTATAATTACTGCTCAAATATACTATATTTGACAATACTGTTTTCCCGGCGGTGCTAGAATAATAATTTCTGAAACCCTTCAAATACGACATTCGTACTACATTTATACCAATCCATAAACCATTGAAATTTAATCATCTAAAGACCGTACAGTAGATGTCATATGTACCACTTATTCAACATAGTTTCTGTGACGTAACTCCTTCAAAAATCGTATCGCTAGAGATTGAAAGTTGTGTCGTACTCGAGGTGTTAAATAAACATTTCCATCAAATCTTTGGTAAAAAGAATCGATACGTCTGGTTCGACAGGTGAAAACTTAAATGTTGCTGTTGCTTAGACACGGTTGGCATAAGATGGATTTTCGATTTCGAGCGGAGAAAAGCGATTCGGAATAACGCAATTCGTCGAAACGCTAAACGAAAACTCGTACCGAGAACAATATATTCGCTCATCTGGCAGGATGTTCGTGCGGTTGGTCGCGATTGGTCGTCGTTATACCGTGGAATACATGCGCAGAGAAGAAAGGCAGCCACGTTGGTTATCCGAGGAGCACAAGCGGCGATGTAGTGGATTTACCCCCACTACCGGCGGTGGCTGCGTCAGGCGTGGTCGTTCGTTAGGCATCGCAGTGTATTCGAGTCGGGCGCGTCGTGTGTGTCGGTCGCCGTTGGCTGTCAACTTTCGTTGGCCGAGTTGTGTGCGTGTACGCGCGCGACGGGTGTGTACAGTGCGTGTGTGAGAGTGTGTGTGTGTCGGCAAAGGTCGTTTAACTTTTTCCCCCCCTTCGTTGTTTTTGTTTTGCCTCGCGATCGGCCGAACGAAGAATAACGTCGTTTAAGTTTTCGTGCACGGAAAGAGTTTGTCGACGATGAAACAATGCACAGAAAAGTGAGAGTGAACGTGGCCACGTTCGGCCGGTTCGCCGACAGCGTGAATCACCAGCAGCACCGGCGTTCATGAGCCCACGCAGCGCTACCGATGCACAATTTCTCTCTTTATTCCGTTTATGCTATTTTTCGCATCCTCTCTGTTTGCCTTGCCTCGCCTCGCCTCGCGTCGCGTTGTGTACGTATCTTTGTTGCACAGGAGTGCTGTTGTAACACGCGTACACGAATTTTTACTTCGAGCCTGACAGATCTAGCGTGTAAAGCGCGTACAGTGAGTACTCGTTGTTTTCTTCCAAGTAATTAACCCCCGACGTGGTCGTAGATCTATGTGCGTCTGCACGTTCGTTGGTAATATTATCAGCAACGTCTATGACCGTGAGATATGGTTTCTGCTGATTCTGTGTAACGAAGGCGTTTCCGTGGATAAATCATGATTTGGTCTACGAATTTAAATATCTAGTATTTTCGTACTGCTTTTCTTATTCACGATCATTTCGTCCAAGAGATCTTTGTTCGTTCAATCAACCGTTTGAATTCTCCGATGAAATTAGGAAAAAGTTTATTTGTAGAAATACTTGAGAATTTTGTATCGTTTACTGATACATACGTTGTACCCACGATTCCTTTTGAATCCACGGTTTGAACGCGTTAAGCAACAGTCTCTTGGATCGCAGAAACCAATATCATCAAGTCAGAGAAGCAAAAGAAGCACGACATATATTCGCCCGTTACGAAAGTATACACCTTTTGTGGTAGGCACGCCCGTTTCTCTTTTTCTTCTTTTTTTTTTTTTCTTGCCCGAACTCGATCGTATTAATTCACGATCCCCCTTGCATTCTTAGATAAAATATGACTTAAACCTTCATTGTCGGTTTGCCTGGCGATAGAAAAGACCAATATAAAAGCTGCATCGGCGGTATAGACGGACGAAGGAGAAAGACAGAGAGGATTGCGTTGACCAAGTAAATCGCGTGAAACTCTAGTGGAAATGTCGACCGAAAATCAAAACGGTTCTGCCGCCGGCGCTCAGAGCAATGGCATAAAGACTTCGATCAGCATGTCGTCGTCTACGCGATCTGCATCGAACAATTCGTCGTTTTTGTGCAGCAGCAATTCGATGCTGAATCGTGATAAACCGCGTCAAGTGCCTCCACCAACGTTGCCAAAATACACGTCCAGCTTCAACGCCGGTTCCAACGGCAGCGGCACGGCCGAACGATTGAACAGAGATCGCGAAGTCGGTGGTAGTTACAGGCTGGCGAGCCTCGACAGGCTTGCCCTCAGGCAGAGGATACTAGACGGGGAAAAGGCGAACGGCGACACCACGTCGGTAAGCCCGTGCTGCATCTTTCCTTTTTTCGACGAATTATTTTTACGAGAGACTTTTATCGAAACATAAAATACCGATATTATTGTATATCCTTACAGACACTGAAATTCAGGAATACCGGTATATTTACCTACATCGGTAGACAAAATTCTAAGCACCTTGAGATTGTTATAATAGTCCCTATTTTCGAAACTTAAAATGCGCAAATTAAGGTTAATGGAATAAAATTTCGTTAATATGTCGAGACAATGGGGTACATGGAGTAGACGTAATTGTCTTAACAATTGTGATTTTCAATCGTTTTAACTGCCTGTTTGACGCGTAGATTTAGTCGTGCGAGATCACGGTTTCCCATGGATGTCGTTACAACTTCCAGATGGCGGATGGAGGTCTGTCACGTACCTGATGACTGCGTAACCCAATCTCGTTTCTCAAAGAATCAAATTTTATACCTCTGACACAGTGGAGGTCGCTCGTCTCTTCCCACCCGGAGACTTAAAGGACCACGTGATCGTTCCATTTATTCTCTTTTCTGTGTGACTCTGTGAGAAAACTGGTTGACTCGCAGAGTCCAGCCGAGTCGAGTCTCGACGACGCACACAGTATATGTATGTCCAGCGATAGAGAAATATAAAAAAAAATAGCGAATTGTACGTTTTCTGAAATTCTTATATCTTGAAATATTAGGTCCGGGTTAATATCGAATTGGTAAATTTTTGTTCAAGGATCTAGTACACTCTATTTGATCTTGTGTAGTATGTTGTTGGTGCAGAAAAGTGTACGATAGGGAGTAAAGAGCGAGAGATTTGCTATTAGGATGCGCACGAGGGCGCGTGGAGTAATAACATTGCGAGGGTGATACATATGGCGGCGGGGGCAGCGTTCTTATCTCCATTTTCATGGGCTTTCGCGAGAGGGACTTCGCTTTTAATTCCTCTTTAATGCTCTTTTGCGTCAAGCATGTGCTTTCAATTCTTTATGCCACGTCCCATCGACGCGTTATTTTTAGCCCTCCCTTTAACGACCGAATTCCGTGGAACTTATTGGTAACATTAATTACGAGTAACGACGTATGCAATTACAGTTGACTAGAAGCGAGTAAAAAAGTTTTGTTTCCGTACGGAACTCTGCAATTTATTCGAATAATCGAACCACACGAAATGTTCGTGTAAATACGTAGTGGATTCGTTTTACCGACTCCCGGTTAGACGAGATATCTGAAAATTTGAGAATCACTGTGGAAGCGCACATGGTCACCCCTCGTATATGTATTTTGAAAGAGGGCCTAGGCTCGTGTAACCACGGGGGCGGCTTAGTCGAGGGTCCCACCCTCGTGCGTCATATACAATAAGAAAATATACTGTAATTCGTGACTCAGAACCAAGAAAGAGATACAATTCGGGCAGAGTTTAAACGAATCGAACGCCTTTACGTTCATCGTCCAACAAATGTTTAACGCACGCGTGCAAAAAATTATAACAATAATTTGATTGCTAGTTGAATCGTGTTTTAAAATCGGCCCTTGGATATTGTTATAATATAGGTTTAGGTTTTTTAAAAAATTACCAAACATTTTTATTTCAAATAATTATTATAAAGTACCTAAATTTTGGGCTATATCTAACTGTTTAAGTTCTTACATTAGCTCTCGTATCGGTTGTAGTATCTTTTAATCTGTTTATTTTATTACTGATAACGTTACAAAACTTTCGTGGGTTCTAGGTTAGGTTAGATTAGGTTAGGTCTGTGTTGGGGTCTTTTATAGGTAATTTCGAATATACAGAAGGTTCCATTTTTAATCTATAATTTGACATATTTTCTAAGGTACTTTTCCAAGTTTATGTTTGGTTATTAACAAACGTAAGATTGTATATACCTCTATGGTATAAATGTATATCGAAACGACCCTAGTAAGATTCCGTGGAACACGAAGGGGAAACCCACCATCTGCACACACGTCCGACATACAAAGTACCCTTTCAGAAAAGCAGGGCGCGTCCCAGTTTTTCACCCCGTTTTTTTTATCCCAAACAACGTCCGTGTTCCTTGTTCCTTCCGTGGACATTTTCAACCCTCCGCGTAGCATTTTATACAAATAGCTGAGTTTAATTTAAACAAAGCAAAGAGTGAGAAAAATGGTCGAGGAATAGATGCAGAATGTTTTTTAGTTTGTTATCTCAAATATACAGAGTGTTCGACCAACCTTGGGAAAAATTTTAACGAAAGATTCTAGACGCCAAAATAAGACGAAAATCAAGAAAACAAATTTGTTGATGGAGGCTTCGTTAAGAAATTATTAACGTTTAAAGTTCCGTCAGTTCTGAATTTTTTTCTCGAAAATGCGCAGGATTTCGGGGGTATGTCTATTCACCAAAAATGATCGTAATTGACCCCCGCAACCGAATATAATTTTTTTAGAATGATTAGAAATCTTTTAATTTTGTCGAAAAACTTCAGTACCTTCTCGAATTTTTTTCTCGAAAGTGGGTAGGAATTCGGGGTTATGTCTATTGACCAAAAATGATTGCAATCGACCCCCGCAACCGAAAATAATTTTTCTAGAACGATTAGAAATCTTTTAATTTTGTCGAAAAACTTCAGTACCTTCTCGAATTTTTTTCTCGAAAGTGGGTAGGAATTCGGGGTTATGTCTATTGACCGAAAATGATTGCAATTGACCCCCGCAACCGAAAATAATTTTTTCAGAACGATTTGAAACTTTTCAATTTCGATGAAAAATTGGGCCACTTTCTTGAATTTTTTTCTCAAAAATGCGTAGGATTTCGAGGGTATGTATAATGACAAAAAATGATTGTAATCGACCCCCGCTACTGACAATATTTTTTTCGGAATGATTTGAAATTTTTTAATAACTTTTTAACGAAGCCTCAGTCAAGAAATTGATATTCTTGATTTTCGTGTGATTTTGGCCTCTAAAATCTCCTATTAAAATTGTTTAATGGCAGTGAACTGCTGCTGGTTGATATTAGGGATTAACAATTCGATTTCAAAGTGACTCGATGCTTAATCTTGCCCACCGTGGCTCGTTTGTAATGGTGAGCTCCTAGGTAATCAACGTTAATTGAACGAAATCAGCTAGAACGTTGTGATGGCACGTGCGAGACGCAACCTCTCGACGGTTGAATTTCACGAAGCCGTTCCCGCCCTTACGACAGAGCATTAATTAAGGAGATTCGTACGGGTCGAGGACACGTGGGTGCCATGTTGGAAGATGCTACCTTTAACGAACAAATTTCACGCGAAATAGGTTACGAGTAGGTTCGATGTTCAAAATGTCAACTTTTTTTTATTTTCATTTTCTCCTTGTCGTAAATTAAAACTTTATGCCAAGTTTCGCTATTTCGAAGTTACACTCGTCACGAAGTTTCGTACATTAAAATCGCCATATTTTCACGTTCACGAGGTTCGATAAAACCCAAGGAATCGAAAAGACAAGGCAGTGTAATAAATTTTAAGAACTTGAAGAATGAATACAGAGATAGGACATTTTAACTAAGAACGTCAGATGAGTTACCTGAAACTGGTTGCTCGGCGACCTTTAATAGCTACTTGATACGTTAAATACGATACGGCCACGTTAGAAAATTACACATTTTATAAAGGAAGCCTCAAGAGGCGAGGGAATTTTTTTAAAACGATCCCTAGTTTCGCCATAATAGGGCGAGAGAAATACTGTTGGTATAGTATTGAATTTTTCATTTTCAAGTAAACAGTAATAAATATTGCAACAGGTTTAGACTGTTTTATGTTTTCTCGTGCTCGGTAGCGATAAATCTTGTTTATCGTTTTTATAATTTAACAGTTTACCAGTTGATGCAAGGCCGCGTCGAGTGATTCAGACGTGTGGGGAATGAATTCAAACGCGAATCTATCCGTTTCCGCAGACTTGTAATATAAGTGCGGACGGTGCGGCGTAGTCGGCTCGAAAAGGGAGAAATATTTCTCTTGTACGGTCGCGGTATTGTATTTTGAAAGCTGCAAGCATGCCACGCGTTCACAAGTACGGAAGAAGACACTCCGACAAAGAGCTCGATGTAGAACGCGGTCGACCATTGCCAGTATGAAAAAATCCAGGTCTTGTAATCGGTTCTACGATTCCATCATTGGTATGCAAAAGCGTGACGCTGTAACGCAAATTATGTGCCCAGATAACGCAGATTAGACACTCGAGCGGAACGTACACGCGCTTGTCAACATCTCGCCTTTCAAACTACCATTAATATTATTTTATTTTTATCTCTACACTTGTCTATTGCATTTTATTTAAAACGATACTGGACGATAAACTTCCGAGAACATTAATTTCTAATGTGTGTATACCGGTCCGGGAAAATAATAATAATAATAAATAAGATAAGTGCACGAAACGTTGCCGTTCCGAACAAGGCGGCTTTGATCTATTTTAAAGCCGTGCCTAGCTTTGCTAACAAGCCACGAAAAAACGCATGCTTGATAGAGTAAAACCGACAACCGCTCAAAGCGTCTATCCCTCTATTAAAGTTTATTCTGAACTTTATTTCAGAATTTATCGAGTCGTTGGTCACTTGGTATCGACAACAGTTTCGAAGACATTCGAATAATTTTTCCAAAACGATTTCAGATTTTTTAATTTGGCAAAAAATTTCTCCACCTTCTCGAATTTTTTTCTAGAAAATGGGTAGGATTTCGGGGGTATGTCTATTCACGAAAAATGATTATAATTAGCCCCTGAAACCAAAAATAATTTTTTTAGAACGATTAGAAATTTTTTAATTTTGACAAAAAATTGCACACCTTCTCGAATTTTTTTCTAGAAAATGGGTAGGATTTCGGGGGTATGTCTATTGACCAAAAATGATTGTAATTGACCCCTGCAACTAAAAATAATTTTTTTAGCACGATTTGAAATTTTGTAATTTTGTCGAAAAATTTCACACCTTCACGAATTTTTGTCTAGAAAGTGCGTAGGATTTCGGGGGTATGTCTATTGACCAAAAATGATTGTAATCGACCCCTGTAACCAAAAATAATTTTTTTAGGACGATTAAAAATTTTTTAATTTTGTCGAAAAACTTCACACCTTCTCGATTTTTTTTCTTGAAAGTGGGTAGGATTTCGGTGGTATGTCTATTGACCAAAAATTATTATAATTGCCCCCCGCATCAGAAAATAATTTTTCCAGAATGATTTGAAATATTTTTGAAATTTTTCTGTTTTCTGTTTTCTCGTAACTTGTTTATTCTCTTGCGCGTCGAAGATCGACCGAAATTTCCTTCGACAAGTTGTTATCAAGGGTTCTGTTCGATACCAATCGTTCGTATGTATATCTTCGCTGCGCCTGGAAACTGTACTTGACACAGAAACGGTTCTTATCAACAAATCATCCACCCATTCCTGGCAGACGATCACAACTTTACAAATATAGCACAAGATGTGCAGGGGAGCATTTCTCGTAGAAGAATAACGTTCGAATTTCCGTTTGGAAATCAACAGGATACCGAAAATACATATTTTCTTTCGAGATACCCATAGAAGCTTGAAACTTGTAGTTAATGTGTCCGTGTACCGTGGAACATGGGTAGCAACGTTGGGCAAAAGTTGTCTCGAATAGTGTACAAAATCAATTTATAAAAATAACGACGAGTCGGTCCAACGTCTGACCTAGTGAGCCTGCGACCTATCAGTTATCAAGTCCAATTTTACTTAAGAAGCTATTATTAATAACGATCGGTATTGTAAACAGTGCACGCTGGCCAATGATTTACTTTAATTCGAGAAAGCTTAGTTAACATCTGTCTCAACACGGTAAACATCTGCCGTGAAGAGAATCGCGCGTGTCCTTATCTGTGCATTATCAGTGCCTGAGGAGAAGAAAGAGGACAGGTGTTCCACGGTCACGGAAACCACCTGCACTTTACCGAGATGGTGTTTATGTTTCTATCGGTCCACGAAACTACGTTCCAATGGAATTGCAATAGGAAAATTACTTTGTCTCTTAAATTAAAAGTACAACGTTTCTAGAATAAGCGGCAAAAATTTTCGGATCGAATTATTAAAAACTATAGCCTTGAACGATGAATATTTTACTATAAGATAGAAGCAACAATTGTATTTTCCGTTGGTGTTATATGCATCGCAGTCGCCTCCGTGTGCACGTGATCTGTATTACAAATTACGGGATGAAAAAAATGCGATGCAACCACAGCGACCGCTAAAAATGGACGCAAACGGATATTTGAAACTTGTGTGGATTCCGCAAAGGATCGTCTCGAGATCGTCTCGCTGATCCGACAGACCCTCTATATAGAACAGATTATTTTCGATTCTTAGTATTGAGATAACAAAGATCCCCATTATCGTGAAATGCCAATTCAAACCTAAAAGTTTAAAAGCGAAAATCACAGTCGTACGTGTAAATTGTCACTATTAACTTTAGATTTTTCAAGGGATTTCGGAACGAGGCACTCGCGATACGGTCTTGTGCGCACTGGACCGGTTTTTCTTTCTGTTCCATCATGCTGCGTTGAATTCGTCCAAGTCACCGGCTCCCCAGAGACTTCTCTCGAGTACAACGCATGTTCTTTATTACATCGCGTTATAATCAAGGATTCTAAATCAAACTCGAAACTTGGTTTCTCAGTTTCCTAAAAAACCTACTTCGATTTATTTACGGATAGCCGTGATTTAATCGCTTCTCGAGCATCGAGTACCGAAGAAAGCCGCGGAACGAGCATATAGAAAATCTGGCACGTTATTCGTTTCCGCCTTGACCTTACGCACGTTCCGCCGCGCCTTAACGAGCCTGAACCAGCTACAGAGTTTATATTCCGAGCAGTGTTAGGATCGAATGGTAACGGAACGCACGCGCAACATATTACGATTCCCTGGGCGCGTTCTTTCTCTACGCTTCGGCATTAAACAGCGGCGTAGCAAAATTGTTCGCCGCTTTTGTTTCGTGCTCGCGTAGCTGCGAGAGCGTACCGCCGCCGCCTGCCTCTCTTTCACGTCGCATAATGCAACGAGATCTCGCTGACGATTTGGCTGCGCGCGCTTCACGCGAAAATGCTTTTGCGAACGCGCGCTATTTTCAGTCTTTTGTCAATCTCGTTGAGTCACAATCCAATTTCCTACTCTTTGTATAATTAATTTTTGCTACCTAATGTTGCGTTTCGCGCAAGCTATGTATATACCCCGATTTATCAAGCATGGCGATTCTAACCTGTACTTGGTACTTTAAACAGTGGCCACTTCCGACAGGAAGTTCATTAAGACACTGCAGCAGCACTCGAACCTAACCATAGCAGGTTGTTGCTATATGCAAAGCGTATCGATCGTTGCCGAACAACCGATGCAACGTATCTTTCCCCTGTTTGTGTTTTTCTGCGCGTTTGTTGATCTTTTCGGGCGATACCGTTACACCGAACACTTTGATGGCTGCACGTTTCACGCGAACGCCGCGGTGGCTTGCCGCCAGCAATTTTCCTAACAGTTTCAACTTGATAAAAGTTCCCTAACTGCTTTTCGATCGAAAACTCTTTATGAATTTCATCAATTTATATAACAGATCGGTATCGCCTTAAATATCAGTTACTAGGAACGGTATTATCAGGAATTATAAATATAAAGATAAAGCTTGACATTAAAAAAACAAGTTTAATGAATGATGACACATTATGGTGACTCAAACGGTAAAGTCACGTACACGAAGCAGCGAAAATTTCAAAATAAAATATAGAATAAATTTTTCAGATAAATCCTCTACTACCCCCCTCCCCCTCGAGTTACTAATCGGTCGATCAAATTCCGCGCGGTTGGATCAATGATCGCTGTGAAACTAGTTTAAAGTTCCACAGTGGTCTAGAACAATTGTATAAGCTTGGGCGCCAAAGAACGCCATTCTTTATTCGGTATGAAATAAAACCGGAATCGAAACGCAGGGGATCGAGTAGGTAATTTACATATCCGGAGTACAGACTGCGTGTCAGCCACGGTTATCAGCATGAATATTTCTGTCTCGTTCAAGTCGGTGACATAATACGAGAACAAAGAGTTAAACCATGGCGAGATTAGAGATTAGAGATTAGAGATTAGGGATTAGGGATTAGGCCTCGTCCCGAATTATTATCGTGTTCCACGAGCATCGAACGATTTGCAACCATATTTGAAATAGAACTTTTACGATTCAAATTGTACGAATAAAAGAAAGAAGGCGAGATAGCTTAAAACCGCTATTAATAGGACATATGTGCGTCTCTGTTTATTTTCAGATACAGGCGAAGCGCGAGCTGTTCTTCAAAGGCGACAACCCTGGAATAATATCGTCGCCGTCTGTGCCGTCGGTACCGCCACCTCAGCCGCCGTCACAGGCACCGTCGTCGGTGAGCACGACGTCATCGACGACGACGACGACTACGACGACCACGACCCTCGCCTCGCCCAACACAGCGCCACCTGCTTCCTCGACCGCGTACACCAGCGTCACGTCTTCGGCGCCTACCTCCAAGTCACGATTACCCCCGACTACGGTGATCTTGAACCAAAACGATGCGTCGGAAGATAGCAATAAACGGGAGTCCAGCAGGACCAACGATACCAACAAAGAGGCCACTGTGCTGCATTATCCGTGGCCAACGCCGCCGACCAAACCCAAAGAACTCGACGGATACGTCGGGTTCGCGAACCTACCCAACCAAGTTTACAGAAAAGCCGTGAAGAAGGGTTTCGATTTCACTCTCATGGTTGTCGGTTAGTTCGCTTATTTTACCAAACGACCAATCCAGTTCCTTTTAACTTACAACTTGCAATATTGTTTATGATAGAAGAACCCTAATATTAGCACAATTGTAAATAAACAATGAGACTTCGAGTAGGAATATTTTTCACATTGTAATTTTAAGAAATGTCGAGGACATTCGCAGATATGGAAAACTGCCGTGACAGTGTCCATTGTCCATGCACTCTGCATTCCTTTTCTTCTTAAAAACTTTTTCTGTTCAAAAGACAAAGAGATCCGTTTCTCGCCGATTGCTACTTGAATTTTCGAGGGGATATTGCTTAATATAAACTTGCATCTGCTTAACACGTGCTGTACATTTTTTTTTGCCATGGAGCAGTAGGGGTTCTCAATTGTACTTTCAACGACCCCCTTAAATGAACCTTATCGTTCGGTTTATAATTACTAAATATTACGAATATCTTACAGATAAATTTAAGATTTTCTTTTCTTTTTGTTTTATTTCAAAATTTCCGTGTTAGCCTATGAGCTCTTCGCGAGAGTTATCGCGAAAAACGTTCGTCGAGACGAAAGTTTGAGATTTCAGAATACAGCCCGAGTGTCGCTAATATTAGTGCCGGTATAAATAGACATTTCTCCGTAAATAGAGCAATTGAAACGTTTATCCTTGAAAGAGAGGGCGCGGTACTTTGACCAGTTCAAAGTACACGACCAAAAGGTCAGAGTACTCTTTGTTACTTAAAATTATATGCACGTCTTCTGTAACTGTTATTGTCTGTACATTGCTATTTTAATTTTCGTTTCTTCAATATGTTTGTTTAGGGGAGTCGGGACTAGGCAAATCGACATTGATCAATTCGATGTTTCTCGCTGATATATACAGTGCCGAGTACCCTGGACCTAGCCTTAGGGTTAAGAAAACTGTAGCCGTAGAAACTAGCAAAGTGTTGTTAAAGGAGAACGGTGTGAATCTTACCTTGACTGTCGTTGATACGCCCGGTTTTGGCGACGCAGTCGACAACAGCAATTGGTAATTTTTTATTTATACATCTATTCTCTTGTGATCAAAAGCAATAACGTATATTCTTATTTTAGTTGGGTACCAGTAATTGAGTATATCGAATCAAAATACGAGGAGTTCCTAAATGCCGAGTCTCGTGTAGTGAGAAGGCAGATACCAGACAGTCGAGTACATTGCTGTCTTTACTTTGTTGCACCATCTGGCCATGGACTAAAACCGCTGGACGTTGAGTTCATGCAACGTCTTCATGATAAAGTTAATATCATACCTGTAATCGCGAAAGCAGACACCATGACACCAGACGAATGTGCTCACTTCAAGAAACAGGTACGCGTTTCATAGTGAAATCTCTGTTAACACTTTAAAGGCCGCAAGTATCACGCAAAAACCGTTGCCCATCGATGAGATACATGAAGATGCTAGGAATATTATTATAAGAAATTATAAATGTAACCTCAACAAACGTAATAAGTTGAATGTACGATGAAATGGTGGCTGATGCATTAGATCACGCGCACGTGACAGTGGCCGACGTCTACTAGCTCGCGAAGTCACGTGTACGTGACAGCGGCCGTCAAAGTGTTAACCATTTACGGAACATGCACCGTTTAATTTCATAGAATTTTCCCAACTGTTCACCATTTTCATTTTGAATTGTACAGATTTTGAACGAGATAGCGCAACACAAAATAAAAATCTACGAGTTTCCAGAGGTTGAGGAAGAGGAGGAAAGTAAACTGCATAAAGTTCTCAGAGACAGAGTGCCGTTTGCGGTAGTGGGCGCAAATACTGTTGTCGAACACGACGGTAGGAAAGTTCGCGGTAGAAAGTACCCTTGGGGAATCGCGGAAGGTGCGTAATTATACGAATTCAGATACGCTAAAGTGTAATTTTGTTTAAAATTTTTAAATAGCGTGTCCTTTTTTCTTCTTTCAACAGTGGAGAATTTGGAGCATTGCGATTTCATTGCCCTTCGAAACATGGTAATCAGAACGCATTTGCAAGATTTGAAAGACGTGACAAATAACGTGCATTATGAGAATTTCCGATGTCGCACGTTAGCGGGTGTCGGGGTGGATGGAAAACCAACAAAAGTCTTGAATAGGTAAGTGTACACTACCGTTGTGAATCTATAATTTATTCACGTTGTTTCACCGGACACAAAACCATCGTATACAGTGGCCCGCAAACGTGTTTGTACACGAGAATTAAATTTCTTCACCTTAATCTTGTAAACAGCATACGAGCAAATAAAAACAAATAATGTACGAACATTTTCGCGGACCACTGTACGGCATAATTACAATATGAAACTATTAAAAAATAAATACGGATTTTACGAATTCAAAGTAGAATTTAAAATGTGCATTTAGGTAATCGATAAGTACAGAAAAAAAAAAGATGCAATGAACACGTAAACAATAAAAATCCTGTAACAAGTTAATTCTATCGACTTCCTTTTCTTTCTTTTTTTTTCTCTCTCATTTTTTTTAAACGCAAATAATTATAAAAGCTAGTAGCATTCTGGTTTTGTTTTTACCACGAGAATGTAAAAAAAAAAAGCTTGTGCATGCAAACTATCGAAGGACGAAGATTACCTTTGTAAATCATATTTTAAAGTCAAATAATGTCAGAAAATCTCGTTACGACTATGTTATAGTTTAAGCTAGAGACGGGAAGTGATCCTGAAAATACATTTTTTAATAGTACATCCTCTACTTGAATTTTAATGCTGATTTCTTATTGGTTAGTTTGTGCCCCCCAGGAGTGATGAACAGTTTCATGACAGTGTGGTAAGTCTTCTAATAAGCCCAGGGTCGTGTAATATAGTTTTGTGTGCACAAGCCTTGTCAAGTTTCTATTTTACTGCGCATTAGTTTTTTGATGCATTTATTTAGTCATGGGGGTTCACTCCATATTATCCAAATATGTTAATATACAAAAAAAAAAAAGATGAAATTACCGTGTATCAACTTCTCAAAGAAGAACCGTCAATATTTGTCATAAAAAGTTGTTATCAGGATTGATAGATGAATACATTTCAATCGGTAGTGAACCCTCTAATTAAACATTTAGTTTTTGTGAGTAGTTTGCAGTATAAAATATTTTTTATGTCATTTGTACTTTTATTTTAACAGAAAACTATGCTATATTTAGTATTATTAGGTATACTGTACGAATTTGCTTGCTTTTTAGTTCATTTTAGTATTTTTTTTAACGACTACTTATCTCTGATGTTGGCCCGAATGATACAATTCTAGTTCTTTGTTTTCTTGTCACGTGATACCGAGTCCTGCGTCTAAACAGAATTTACATTTTCATTTTGCAGTTAACTATATATGTAGATAGTGTATTAACAAAAAAAAAGAATTACAAACTATATGGTTAGCAAGAGAAAAAAAAAACATTTATATACAGCATTTGTTTCTGTATCTACTTATACTTTGCGCTGATACAATTTTCACGTGTTTTTTAGGAATCCCCTGGCTCAGTTGGAAGAGGAGAAGAGGGAACACGAGAATAAAATGAAAAAGATGGAGATTGACATGGAGCAAGTGTTTGAAATGAAAGTTCGGGAGAAAAAACAAAAACTGAAGGATTCGGAGGCAGACGTAAGTGTAAACATTCTTTTAACAAGCAAATTTCTGCTATTATTCCAACATGAAAGTTGCTTGAACGAGAGAAAAATCTGTGTTCGCAGTTGCAAAGAAGACACGAACAGATGCGACGCTCTTTGGAGCAACAAGTGCGCGAACTGGATGAAAAGAGACGCGCGTTCGAGGCTGAGAAACTAACATGGGAACAACAAACTGGACAGAGTATCGAAGAATTACGTAGACGCAGTCTGGAGGCGAATTCAAAAGAGTAAGTATCGTTTGACTGTAACAGATCTGCTTTCGATCGTTTATATTCTTACAATCATCGTGTTACACGTATCTTACCGCGTGAAGAATATTAAAAGCAAAAATTTTTGCACGAATTTAAAGGTATTTTATAAAGAGTATTTTATTATAATCTACTGCTACCAATCTCAATAATATTGGTTACAATTTATTCGTATTCTCTGACTTAAAATATTCAAAAGCTATTTAGAAACGAATGAGAATTCTGCAGAAGCTAGCCTCGTAGCATAGTCTAGTTTAATAGCAGGAAATCACTAATAATTATTAATAAGAATGTACATTGTGACCGTCTTTTTAAACTTGATTGAATTCAAGCCAATTCAGTGAATATTCTCATACAATGAATGTTGCTTCATTTTGAGGAAATGAGCTAATCAATCAATTCTCGTTGTAATATACTAATGCCAATTAAGTCTGCACAAAAACTTTACATTATAAAGTGCTTTTGCTTTTCTACATTTCTTTTTTTCCTACAACGAATGTATTTTCTCATCGCTCTTAAATGTTACATACAAACAAAAAATCATTGGTGTTACTGTTACATTTTTTCAAATATCATTTTTGAATAGTTGGAAAAAGTGCAATTTCTATATGTTCTAGGTTGTATGTTACGTCTGTTCAATATATATATTATCTATCTATATATATATATATATATATATTGATATATTGATATATACAACATGTTTGTGCAAAGCAAAACCGAAAAACAAAAAAAAAACACAGACATGGAAAGTTACATTATTATTCCTTTTCGTAACGCTTCTTTAAAAGTTAGCTCTGAATGTCTAATGCGATGTAACAAGTACATAGATAGTATATACATATTTAAGAATGCTTTACGGACGAATGTTATTGTCATGCTTGCGCTTGTTTGTTTGTTGTGTGTATACCATATCGGGGTGTCCCTAATTTAGGACGGGATCAATGTCCTCCGAGGGATCTGGCGGTGGCGGGGGTACATTGAAGGGTTCCCGAGGGATAGGAAGTCTCCTACGCCGTCACACCAGTTTCAAATCACCTCAAGACAGCCCTACACAGATACAGCTTGTCATACAACATCCCGAGCATCTAGTTTTAAAAAAAAAACTTAACGACGCTGTGTTTAAGGACTAATTCTTTTAATCCGAAATAACGTCGATCTCACATTTTATACATTTCATGCGCGACTTACATCACTGTGGTTGTATATGTCAATATGCGTACGCGTGATTCTAAAAAAACTGACTACACATCACACATGTTTGTATACTCTTACGATTTGCATTTCATGATTAGTTTTGTTTAACAATTACATGTACGTTACCATAAAAGGTAACGTATGCTAGTTACGATTACTACAAAATATATCAGACATTTTTAGTTTCGATATATGTAGCAGGCTTTTTTTTTTTCTTTTTTTTTTTTTTCTTAAACGCAAAAGTATGAACGTATAAACGGTAATAAGAGAACCACCGTTGTTAGTTCACTCATCGATCAAACTGACGAATGATATCTACAATTATCAACACCGATGCTTTTCTAATTGTCAAAGAATTTAATACGAATGACAAGTTTTACACCACACTGACTAATATTTGATAGTTAATGACATTTAATTATAATACTAATAAAGAATAAGAGGAGTAGATTTTACGTTGCGAAAAGATTAAATTTTAGATTAAAGAGTTTGAGGGAAAGGTTTGTATCGAAAAGAATCTTAATACCAATCTTGTGTTAGCCCTGTAGATATATTTAGAAGGGCATATTTTTGGCACAGTTTGATAAACTTTCATGTAAGAGATGAAAAAGATCATTATATTCCTATGAATGGCACAGTTTTATATACATTGCAACGTGCGCGACACTCCAAACATTATTGTCTGTATATACTCAATAACGCCTACATTTTATAGAGTATGAAAAGCTATTGTAAACTCTGAACAAGCTGTCTACTTTATGATTTCATTTGTACATTCCAGTTTGCATGTCTCGACATTCCCATTACACGTAAATTAATATTTCTTTCCTGATACGATTATTTCTGAGGAAATTTTGAATTCAATCGAGAGACAGCTTGATAAAGGGTAATGCCACACACGACCAATAGTCATTACTTACGAACGATTATTATACATTGTTAATTTCATCATTAAATTTGTTTCGCAAATAAACGTACTGATTTACTAAAACATTTACTAACCATTTTCGTCGTCCTTATTTTTAGCCTTTCTGTGAGTAAACATAAATAACATGGACAGATGCCGGAGAAATTGATCGTTTACTATAATTGTGATTATGAATATATAAAACGCAATGCGAACGTCATTTTTCGCTGACACTTTTTAATGTTATGCTTTCTGTATCATATGTTATTACGTTTAATTTTATAAATTGCTGGAAAAATCAATAATTTTGTATGTTTTTACTTGGGACTTTTGGTTTGTTGCAATTCTCTGTACGAATCGTCATGTAAACTTATCTCAGTTTTAAAAATACGTTACAACACTTTGATGACTCGTTAATCGTTATTAACAGATAGGTTTTACCATAGCAAATAACTATCTTAAATATAAGAATTGTGTACGAATATTTCTTTAAAAAAATGTTGAAATATTTTTAAAGTATGATAAGCATCATATTAACATTCAGATAACAAAGATTAAAATTATAACACTTTTGTAAACAGCATGCGGCTTAATGGTCATGGCCATGAAAGTCTATATTTTTGGAAGCATGATTTTGGCATGATTACATTTTACATCGCTGTATTTACACAAGTACGGATGAAAATGTACATTACTCCCATGTTCTTTCGAAATTATAACGTTTTGACAAAGAAGAAGATTCGCGAAAAGTTTAACTTTACGTAACATCGTATGATATTTGCATCGATTTCTAAATTTACCTGCAAAGCAAATATCAATTGTATTTGATGGCAAACTTATATTTAATTTAGATATTTTCATATTCGAAGTAACCCAAATGGTAATAGTATGTAGGAAATCGTCAATACTTTCTATTAAAATAGGGTACAACTTAGGGCAGTAAATAATTGCAACTTGTAATTCTTTAATACTGTAAGTTATGCTGCTATTTAGTAATTGTACTGCAATTATTTCTTTCTACAAATTTTTTAATTGTTTTCAGGGCCGTCGATGGTAAGGATAAGAAGAACAAGAAGAAAGGACTTTTCTAACTCGACTCACGACAGGCAACATGTGGAGCAAACTTTTCTTAGTCAACAGCAATTTTTTATGCAGGCGATCGTACGAAAGATAAGATCATTCCTATAAAAACAATCGAGAGAGTGAGAGAGAGGGAGAGAGAGAGAGAGAGTGAGAGCGCGCGCGAGAGAGAGAGAGAATGAAAAACAATATTTTCCAATGATTAAATTTGTTAATAATCTACCAAACTACCGTGCATCTAATTTTTACATTTTAGCATACAAAATTTCAATTCAATCAATATTGTCAGATATTGGTACACACGATTCAACATTAAATTCGAAACTCATTACGGACAAAGTGTAATTCAAACGATTTATTAACGCATTAAAAGACAAGGAATGAATATATAAACCACAAGAGTTGTGATGTACACGTTGTATATCGTTCTATGTTTATACGATTTTCTCGATTTAAAGGCATAACGTTATTCTTTCAGGAGTGAAATGAAGGAACGTTTCTTCTATCTTGTTCGCCTATGCTTTTTTGCGCTTCCTATTATTACTACTCAAGAAAGATCATACTAGCATAATTCAACTTATGATAGTGTACAAAATGTAGACATAGTTTCGCAAGACGTAACTTTTTTTTTTAACAAGAGTTATCCAAGAAAAGATATTAATAGAGAAAAATAAGAATATCATACCGATACGTGAATTTTCTTTTCTTAATTGTACACGTTTTCGTATCGACTCTTGTCTCTTTGATATTAATACCGATACCCTCAATGTCGTTATCGTATGTCATCCTATTTAATTTATACTTGATATTTACATTGATGTTTTCAATATCACGAGTACGTTGATAACCGTACAATACTAATACGAACAACAAAATCTTGAAAACAAGTCGGTTTTGTAAAAGAACTAGGTAAAACGATGGGACAATGTTTGTCGCTTTTATACAATCGTATGTAACATACATAACCAGAGTAACAAGCTCAGTCGATCATAAATTCGAATACCGTTGCCAAATCATTTCATCGAAGCGGGGGGAAACTCTTTTTACGAAAACTGCGCGTAAAGTCGAAACATGCGATGCGTCATCCAACGTAATATAGTCATTAAAAGTTGCTCTGCGTCCAGAGATTGAATAAAAGATCACATCAATGTCTAAATATATATATTCGTATTATTTGGAACAATTAAAAAAATGGTACATTTAAATGTAAACGATACTTGTCCTAAGGAAATTAATTGTACAAAGGAAACTTTTGCACTAATTATTATCTACTATTTAGTATTCATTGTAATGCTTAATAACGGATTATCGAATTTGGTGGCATCCGGAGACTTTCTAATACGTGGAAATAATACTACAGAGTGTCGCTCGTAATTGATCATTTCGTTTATCGACAAACTCATCATTCTGCGACAGAAAGTTAAATGTGATTTTAAAGTAAAACAGTGGCCATATATATATATATCAATATTATCAAATATTGGTATACGCGATATATATATATGTATAAACATATATTTATGTATAAATGAATTAACGGAATCTTAAGGATAAGTATCATTCGTGTAAATTTAAGTTGTACTGATAGCAAAGGAAATCTATCGCGATAAAAATGAATTGTATAAATAAATCTAAGTGTGAGTTGGAATCGTCGTGATTCGGGGCGGTGCGAGCCATACGTTTCATTTATCGTTGAACAAGGTAATGCGAACCTTTGAGTAATAATAAGTTAAAGATTTGGTGGCAGATGAGCGATGCATAATTGCGTGAAGTAAACGCACTGTCTCGAATCTGTCCAGGTATACGTCGGTATCTATATCAAGGATGGGCAAACCAATGGTATATGTGTTCCTAGAGTATTTTCAGATTTCTTTCGCAAACTTTGTTTATTTGCATTTACCTCTCTGTTGCCTATCTTAGAAAAGGGTAGCAGGAGTTTAGAAAAGGTACCAGTTTGCCCAGTCTTGGGATTCGTATTCTAAGCTAATTAAATTACTCGTGTGCCAAGACGAAAAGAACTAAGCATTTTATAACGTTAATACATGATTCTTTAATTATTGTACGATAAGATACATGCGGTTTTTTTAAAATGCAAACGAATTTCATCTCGATTCATTAGGAATAACCATTTGTCACATTCCTATTTTGTACAATTTTTTCTAGTTAATTCGTTGGTTCATATTCACGGTCACCAACAATTCACGGAAAAAGCTCAAACCTTAATATTTTCGATCGCGTGGTATAGTTGTGTCCGAATATGTGGCGACGAGTTCGTTCATCAACAATAATCCATCCTCCACTTTGGAAATTACAAATGGGGAAAAATGTCTGTTTTATTAAATATTTTCTTAAAGATCAAGTTTAACGAAAGAATATCTTGTGAAAGAGATTCTAATTGTTCGTCATATATCCGGACACCACTTGCATAAAAAAAAACATAGAGCCAAGGTATAAAGCAATTTGAACTGATTAATCAAATGAAGAAACGAAGACTTTGTATCGATGCGTCCATATATAAACGGAATATTGAACAGAAAAGCGCTTCAGATTCGAGCTTTTGATGTTGCAGTAGCAATGAATAATTTTAAGAGCGAAATCTTTATAGACGACGATCGAACAATTTCGCGCGTTTCGCTGTACTGATAATGCTAAGCTCAATTATTACCGTTCGTTCATTAATTATGCATACCGAGCAACGGTATTTTCATCCTAATCGCACATCGCCAGATATCGCGAGACACAATTCTCATTTACATGTATACATTCGGTTTTCGAAAAAGTAATCTCGAACACCTTGTCTGAAGTTTTCATTTTCATAGATGTTCTAAATTCTGATACGACAACTAAATTCATGCATCTGAAGTACAAAGATATAGCAATGGCCATTCTTTCAAAAGAAATAGTTTTTAATGTTATAAGATCGATTACTTTAGCTTTCTGTTTTTTCTCTCCAGAGAACGCCAAGCAAACAAAAAGCTTTGTGGGTAGAATACTTAAATTTTGCTTGAGTCTCGTAATTTTTGATCCGTTGCCAACGATATTGCGAGCGAGAAAAAAAAACGCACGTTTACTTAAAAGTCGTTTATCAAAATGGATTTTCGATGTAGAGATGTAGTAGGTCACAGTAGATTAGGATTATTTGACGGTACTTCAGACTCTTACGTCGTTAAGTAGGAGAAGCGGGAAAGAATTGCTTCATCCCGTCGTTGCAACGATCTTATGCGAACGTAAGACCAATGTACAAACTAATGGTCCTTGTGCATATGCTTAATTTACAGAATGAAACCGTTTATACGGTTCAATGTTCTATCATCTTGCAGCTGTTAAGCTTGCTGCCAATAAAATTATTATAAGATTTTGGAGGTCGTCGAAACGGAAATGTATGAATAACTGTATGTGTACTTTAATCAGTGACGCTTACTGATAATTAATAGTTAATCGTCAGAATCACGTTGAAGAAACGGCATCATGATCTCCAATGCTCGGTTGTACGTACTACGCGTATATAGGACGAGGCATTTAAAATAAGCCATCCGAACGAATTGCCTACCTTTAGCAATAAACAAAAATTCATCGTGCCAACCTTTCTTGAGTTTAAAAGAGCATAATCCAGTGTTTGGAAATTCTTGAAACAGTTACGAAGAACTTTTATTTTGAATAACTGTTCTAAGAAATTTAAATATCGGGCTAATTGTAATTTAAAGTTCTTGCATCAACAAAAGTAGGTAAATTATTCGAATGGTGTGTTTTAAATTCTACAGTCTGTATATAAGTCACAAAGAAGAGACGTAAATAGGTAAAAACAAACACAGATTATATTTTGCCGTGCCAGACGAAAACAAAGCTGCCGCCGCTACTTGTAGAACACGTTGTAATAACAATAATATTCATGAGATCACGATTAGTACATTATTATACTTTAGGATTATGTATTCAGTAAATTATATATAAAATTATTACAAGTGTTGCTACGTTTTATACCCAAGTCAAGCTCGCTACTTTCACTCTTTTTACATTTAAATATTTATTTAGCTTTTATTAATATAATGAAGGAAAATAAATAGTAGACTACACCGGTAAATTAGTTTTGGTCGTGACTTTACTCGTCCGTATGTCGAGTACATGCAAACGAAGATATTAGCAAGATAAAAAAAACCCACAGTATACAATTCTATGCTATTGAAGCTCTCTCCAAGAACTCTATATTTGTGTCATACTTATTTTTGTAAAATATTATTGCTTTTGTTCGTAAACTGCTTCATAATGTTGAGCTGATCACCTGTGCTCTCTGTGGTGTTTATCGTACCTCGATCTTCCATCTTTGTATAGGTATGGAAAATATAGACTTGCTAAAAGTGATAAGCGACTTTTTACGTTCAAACATTGCACTTTGACATAGGTGTTCCATCAAGATAAGTGCTTAGTATTCATCCGCGACAATTTAAATGCAAAACAACACGTGAACTTTAAAACGTTTCTTTACATTTTTAACTTTCATTGAATTTATTATCATTTTCATTGAATTTCATTAAATTTGTATTCAAGGATGCGTGCATTTTTATTTGAACCAGTAATATACAGGGTGTTCGACCACTCCCGAGACAAAATTTTAATAGGAAATTCTAGAGGCCAAAATAAAACAAAAATCAAGAACGATTGTCCACCGTGGACAGTCATACAGGCAGAACTTTAAACGTTAATAACTTTTTAACGAAGCCTCAATCAACAAATTGTTTTATTTTGGCCCCTAGAATCTCCCATTAAAATGTTTCCCAGGTATTAACGAACACCCTGTATTATAACTTGGACGCGCAACAATACGGAGACCAACAATAAAACGTAAATCAACGTTCGTTTATCATAAAAATAATACGAACGTAATTGAAAAACATTTCGTTCGACACCATTCGATCGTTGAAAAAAGTTAACGCGTTAACTATAGTAGTTTCTTTCGTAAACGGTAATTATGAAAGTAGTGCAAGTCATGTTATATTTCGTTGAGAATGCAAAATAAATGAATGTAATAATGAGGCAACAAAGGACTCTGAAATTCTTTTATCTAGAAATACATAATTTACAGTCCGGAATAACAAACCCGTAAAAAGGATTTGAAAATGTATGGTTTATAATTAGAGAAAAACGAGTAATAACAATTCTTAACATTTTTTTGAGGCTTAAACAATTTATTATAAGCTTTGAATTCTAAAAATATGGGAACCACGGTAAAGCACGATATGCCAAAATATTTACAGCACGTGCAACGTTATTTTCATTTTATAAAGTTAATTTTGCGTAGTGTCCAAATATTTTTGTATTACGAGTAACGTTAAGAGCCTAAAAAATATATCGTAACTAGCTTTTGTGCGATTATAAACTAGACTTTTTCGAGTTTCTTTTATGATTTTGTTACATCGAACCGTAAATTATGTATTCCCAATACATCTTTTGACTCGCTGTATGCATAAAAAATTGACATGAAAAGTGAAATTTTTCTCGAGATCGTCCATCAATAAATTCCGTTTGGCTTTCACAAAAATTCAATCCACGGTGCCTTATTTTCATTTGTACCGTTATGTCACTTGAAATGCGAATAGTCCGACTTACGTTGTACGCGAATCTAATTATGTTGTCCCTAATATTTCTCAAACTATAACGGAATAACGTGGAAAAAGTTATGTAAAGTTTCTTACCCATTGATTAAAATTGTTTTCAAACAATCAACACCGTGTTGCTATATTTCAAGTGTTGGTCAACGAGCGAGAATTTAAAAAATAGTATAAACTTTAGCGAATAATCGCAACATAAAAGATTAATTATTAAAACCAATGTGACGAATACAATATTATATTCGTGAAGATAATCGAAGGAATTTGTTACCCCCTCCACGTCATACGGCGACTAGTTGAATAAGTGGCGGCAGCTCGACAAGCAGCATTTGCGTGTGGAACGTTAGTTCGTAAGTTTAGATACTTAGAAGACTGATTTAGACTAACAGGTTCAGAAACGGGAAGGAAGGTCAGACGAGCTTTAAAACACGCGATAGGAAGTCATTCGGTGACCGTAATTTTCACCTGTGGAGTTTCACTTCTAACCCAAATTCATTGTTGGGTTTTCTTCTAACTGTAGCGCGACTGCCTTCGAAGCATACACTTTCTTCGCTTAAAGACACGAATTCGACGAAAGCAGAATCGCGAAGCATCGAAACTTCAGAAGATAACGTTTTTATGTCTCCGATATTACTATCGATATCAATTGTCAAAAATATATTGTATAAACGCAAGAATAGTTGGACAACATCGTTCGACCAACCGGTATCACGTGTACCTTCGAATCGTATTCAAAGTGTTCCCTTTTTACGTATTGTGTTATGAATAGAAAATTTTGAAGACAAGAACAGTACGTTGTACAACATTTCTATAAATCCGAAAAAAAATATTGTGAAAGGATCGCAGGTACGAGAAGGTTGTTTGAAGAACATCGAGATGTGGCCAAAGGACGTTGGTATTAGAGCACTGGAAGTCTATTTTCCTGCTCAATACGTTGACCAAACAGAGCTTGAACAATTCGATGGTGTAACTGCTGGAAAGTACACTATTGGTTTAGGTCAAAGCAAGATGGGTTTCTGTAACGATCGTGAAGATATAAATTCGTTGTGTTTAACAGTGGTGCACCGATTAATGGATAGGTATGGCATAAAACCAAAGGATGTTGGCAGATTAGAAGTTGGAACGGAAACGATACTGGACAAAAGCAAATCCATAAAGTCTGTCCTTATGCAGCTGTTTGAACCACACGGCTGCACGGACATGGAAGGAGTGGATTCAACTAATGCTTGTTACGGAGGTACAGCCGCACTTTTAAACGCAGTAGCTTGGATAGAAAGCAGTGCTTGGGATGGCAGATTAGCTCTAATCGTGGCTGCGGACAATGCTGTGTATTCGCCTGGAAGTGCTAGACCAACTGGTGGTGCTGGAGCAATAGCAATGATAATTGGTCCAAATGCACCCTTGGTAATCGATCGAGGAATAAGATCGTCATACATGAAACATGCATATGATTTTTATAAACCAAATCTAAAGTCTGAATATCCGATTGTTGATGGACATCTATCGATTCAATGTTATCTTGGTGCATTGGATAACTGTTACCAAACTTACTGTGAGAAGGTTAAAAAAAAGTACAAAAAAGGTGTGACCATAGATAGTTTTGATGCATTTTTGTTTCATTGTCCATATTGTAAGTTAGTACAAAAGTCGTTTGCCCGATTAGTCTTTAATGATTTCTTGAATATACCTAAGGACAAAGTGTCAGAGAAATATCCAGAATTAGTAAAATATCACAACGTCAAACTTGAAGATACTTATTCTGACAAAGATATTGAAAAAGCATTTATGAATTTGAGCAAGACAAACTTTACGCAGAAGACACAACCTTCTTTATTTCTAGCGAATCAAGTGGGAAACATGTACACGCCATCTGTGTATTCTGGACTAGCATCTCTACTCGTTAATAGATCTATAAAAGAATTAGCAGGTGCTAAAGTAGGAGTATTTTCATATGGTTCTGGACTTTGTTCCACTATGTATTCAATAACAATAACAAATGAAGCAGAAGAAGGGTCTAGTTTAATGAAAATCATCTCATCACTTTCGTATATAAAACCAGAGCTGAATGCTCGTCAGAAAGTTTCTCCGGTGGATTATACAAAGGTTTTGGAGCGGCGGGAACAAAATTGTCATACTGTACCGTTTAGTCCTCAAAGTAGCATTACCAACATGTTCCCTGGAACCTATTATCTCGAGAAGGTGGATGAAAAATACAGAAGAACTTACAAAAGGGTATGAAACTGATGATAGTTTGCAGTATTTAGCATACTGGTAGTTAATTTACTTAACATGGTAATAAAGGAGTGAACGGGGGCCTCGTCGATCGTTAAATACAAATATTAAAGGTGCATAATTATGTTTATTTATATAATTTAAAAATTTATTATTGAATTGATATTTTCTTTAGTAGCAAGAAATGATACAGCTTTGTACTAATTCGTGCTATTGAAACAAATTATTTTTAACATACATACAAAGAAGATACAATTTTATAAAAAATACAATGTAAAAAATATAGTAAATATTAATGTTATTCCTGCAAGAAATATCTGTTTTATATGTTTGTTTATTATGTGCATTTTCTAATGTATGTATTATGTATATTTTATATTTTTAGTGAAAGAAAATATTAAAATCAATATGCTTTATTATGATGCAAATATTAATACATGAATAAATTTATATTATATTGATATTTATTGAAAACATGCTTTACATAAAGAAGATTCCTAAAATGAAAATCATTTTCATGTGTAACTAATACGATGAAAAAGTCAGTACTTCATTTTTTCATGAAACCCTAACAAATGTTAATATGTTTAATAGTACTGTAGCACGTAATACATTTTCACTTATAGAATCATGGAGTATTACGGTATTGTCAAACTTCGGTAATACATGAATTTGATTTCTGGCTAAAGGGAGCAGTAACAGCTTCCAGAATATCATTCTTAAATTATTGAATTTTTAATAAATAGAAAAAAAAGTCCAGATTTTTATTAAATAAAAAAACCAATGTTATATTGCCAGAGTGGACCGTTCGGATGATAGTAATTTAGTTTTTTATCTTGTTACTTTTCTGGGATATAAGCCACTTATCGTAGTTTTTTAAAAATAAATTTGGCTTATCTTATCTTAAGATAACGACTGCTAAATTTGTTCATCAGTGGCTTAGTAACGTTTTTTTATCGTTTTCAGTATTTCGTGATCGTTCGTATATCGATGCCAGAGACGGGTAAAATTTATTCACGAATAATAAATAAACATTTGAAATTCATTCGTAAAGTAGGCTCTGCCTACGACTTCGTGATTAAAATAGTGATTATTCGTGATTAAAATTTGCCCAACTCTGAATGATATTGGTGACTACGAACACCATTTATGGATAATTTGTCAGAAATTATCACTGAAAATAAAAAAAATTAATATTAAAAATTAGCTCCGTGTTAAACGCGTTAAATCTTGTACAAGTTCTTTTCAAGGAACGTGTCTTACAAATCGAGTACTTTTCATTTTAGGAAATGCTACGAACAAATGAATTTAATATATGTATCTATGTACATAATATTAGTTTGAATGTACCGAAAAGTACAAAATGATTTAATTATTTGTTTTATAATGTCTATACAAATGTCAATGAATACCGACTATTACTGAATATATTGTATCAGTATTCATTGAAACATCAATTTTTAATTTAAATCGATAAAGGCTTGTTCTAGACGAATTTTTAATTTTGTATATTTTGGTTGTATAATAAATCGATACGAAGTATAACAAAATTAAATGCTTATTAATTCGTACAGAGTAAGTTACGAAAACGAACGAAGAACACATACGCCTATCTTCTCGATGTAAATAATAAGGGTGGGTGAGGATAGCAGAATATGAATAGAAAATATTTTTAAAACGTTATAAAAAAGGCATGTACCATAATTGAATTACGACCTGTTTCCGGAACGTGTAAGGTTTAAAAAAATTCAATCTTTATTATTGTATTACTTTCTATCAAATAACGCCTTAATAAAAATTTTGAAATTGATTTTCTCGAAATCGTATTTTGCGGTGTGTGTCATTTTTTATCCAATGCTACGAATAATAAAACGTAATTGAAAATAGAACTTTATTAAAATTTTATTCTGATAATTTCAATATTACAACAATATTAAAAAATAGTACATTAGTAAATTATTTACTTAAAAAAATATATTAATATATTACTTCTGTGTTCAGAGATTCATTTCATTATCAATAAATACGAACATTTAGTCTTAATATACATTTGTAAATAGTTGAAATATGCAATTGTTATAGAATTAAAATATAAAGTCTATGAATTGATATTTACAGGAGTATTGTCTAAAATTTAATGTAAAATTGTGGTAAAATTGTAGATGCAACAATAATTTATCGGATTGGTACAATATACATCTAGCGAGTAAATTGTTTTGTAATTAAATAATAAATTATATAAAATACTGGCTCGTTACTATAGTTACTCTTCTTTTGTTATTATCAAACAGCATATTACTTATTCTTTATGTCTTATTCTAAGACACTAGGTATAACAAATTTGAAAGATTTTAATATCACATTACTTGTATTATTATAAAAATATTGTACTCTGTTTTCTTGTTTTATGTACAAGTTTGAAATTTAAATGATACGCTAATTGTTTAAGAGCCATTATTTAAAATATTTTGTACGAACAACCAGAGCAGTTGGACAATTTTCGTCCTGCGCCAAGTCTGACGGTTTCATCTTCGTTAGCGTTTATTTGTCGATTTTCGTGTCGTCTCTAAAAACAAGGGAAAAGATTTTTACCATATATCCTTCTCTTTCATACTTCTTATAACAGACTAATATCTTTTCTTTTATATTCTATATATTACTGTCTATAAAAACTATATGCTCACTTTGAGCTCAGATGCCAGGTAGAAAAATACAGAATCTATATTGGTATTTTCTTTGGCTGATGTTTCCACTACTTGTAACACTTCGGGAAGGTATTGACAAAGAGCTTCTGCCTCCCCCGTCTCAACTTCTCGTAGACTTTCTAAATCACATTTATTACCTAAAAATATTGTTGGCGCATTATAGGATTCGTGTTTTAAGAGTTTGCGTTACACGAGAGTCCAGTGTATTATTATTTAATACAATATACAAAAATACCTTACCAACTAAGACTAACAACACATGCGATGAAGTATACCTTCTTACTTCTTCGACCCAATGTTGTAAACTTAAGAAAGTTGATCTCTTTGTAATATCATAAACTGAAATGCATATGAGTTATTGTAGCGATGAATAATTAAGTAAAACAAAGTATTAGAAGAAAATTTCACATACCTACGATAACACCATTGGCAGATCTATAGTAACTTTGAGTTATCGTACGAAATCTCTCTTGGCCAGCCGTGTCCCATATTTGCAACTAAACGGAGACGAAATACTTTTTAATTACTTCATCGCATAATACAAAATTGTGAAATTTTCAAGTTAATTTTTTAGAATAACACTGTCCATTATAGACGAATAGAACAATTGAAACGATTTATTCTTAAAAATGTGTCAAAACTGCTCAGCAAGTGGTCATAATAAATCAACCGTGATACACTTAGCACGAAGTGGAAACCTGATTTTAATGATAAATATATCCTTTATTTAACGCTATTTACAGTACGAAATCATGCATTTTCGATTAATTTAATTGCGAAAAAGATTTGAATTGTGCAAAATTATGTATATATGAATGATTACTAGGTTAAATCAAGACAGAATTAAAAATGTCTCGGTAGACGATCGATCATAGATCGAACAAACTCACCTTGACTTTCTTGTCATCGATCAGTACAGTTTTCATGGAAAAATCCACGCCAATCGTGCTTCCGTGTCTCTCGATAAATGTACCAGATCGAAATCTTTGAACGACACACGTTTTACCCGTTCCACAATCGCCGATCAGCACGATCTTAAACAAATAGTCGAAATTATCGTCATTCGTGGCCATCAAATTGTCCGGATCGCGGTTCGACATTTCTTCTTGATTGTCGAAATAGTTTGCCAAATCGACACTCCTTTTACACCGTACCGATTACCTACGCCATTGCTTCATCTAACTCCATCGCTTTTTAAAGTATATTATTTCTTGATACTTTGTACGCAAAAAGTATTTGTTATCGTCGAATCGTTCGATATTAATTTTCCCATATAGTTAAATTCACTATCGATGCCGTAGTTTCACTTAGGGCATCGAATTACTGATCTACCACGGAAATAGATCATTTTAATTTTAGAATAAACTATGAAATAGTATTATGGCGCGTGTATCTTAATTACAAATGCCAGCTGCATTAATGATACAGTAATGGGCAAGAAATTAACGAACTTCTTTATTCATAATGTTTAACATCATTTAATAAAAAGGAGAAAGTACATCAGATTATCATATAAACTTATTGTAAAGATAAAACTATCTTAAACGAATATATTTTATTACTAATCAATTATAAATACAATGAGAATGACGACAAATAAAAAATTATTTTCCAGAAGTGAATTTTGATAGACTTTCCAGTAGACTAACGTATGCTGTGTGTTCATAGTTTGTACTGAGTTCCACTAACTTCTCTGCAAATTCGTTCGAAACACCCTTCTCCTCCAGGTAGTTCATCAGCAAATCGTACAGATACTGAAATAACAGATGTAAACTTATTGTTAACGTACCAAGTAAATTGCATTAGGAATAATAGAAGAGTTCGTAGGAAAGACACGATTGTTACATCCTCTTACTTTGATCTATTCATCTGTGATAAAATCATTATAGAGAAGAATATGTTACTTTTCCAATGGTAAATATTCAACATGGTTATTAAACGCACCATCTTGTACTCAACACTTTGGATAAAGCATAAGATATATTTTACATAAAATAATTATAGTACAACTTACCCCGTCGATAATTTCACCAGCAACCGCGTACACTTTGTCATTGTGTTTACCCTCGTACAAAGTGATTTCGTCGATGCCAAAGATATCGTCTGAAATATGAATATTTATATGTAAAGTAATGGAACATGCCGTTTATTTAATTGTACTTACTATACTCCTCGCTGGCACCCGATGCTCCAGGCTCTGTGTTAAACGAACAGGTAAATCCAAGAGTCTGGTTATTTCTCATTATATCTACCGAAAACTCTGGTTTACTTTTCATTTCACCGATATCTGGATTATTGTTAGTTATATCGAGCTCTGGCTCGGCCTCAGAATCAACCGTGTGGTTTATGTTGAATGAAACTTTAATTCTGCAAAACATTACCATAAAAAATGAAAGATATACTTAATTTTTATACATTACAATGTTCCATCACGGTCTAATTCTTTATTAAAAATTTCCTTACGTCTCGTCATCCTGCTTTTTCTCTAAAGTAACATCAGCACCGTTCAAAGACACTTTAAATCCATCTAATTCGGTAGGAATAGTTTTTAGCTTTTGCGCCTTTTTTTCAGCTATTATTTCTTCCGCTAGAAACTCTACAAGTTCCTTTTCAGCTGATTAAAAAAAAAAGTTTAAGTTCAATTAACATTTACCAAGATGCAATCAACGTATGTATCAACGCGGTATATATTATAAATAATAGAACATAGATGTAAAAAAAAAAAAACGCAACTATTTTAATGTACAGAGCAACACGCACGAGAGCACATTTTATTATATATTGTGGATTATGATAGATTTATGTTATTTTGTCAAGTATGTATGTTGGCAAGGTGATATAGAAAAAAAATATACAATAGAAGTGTACCTTTTGTGTGGACGCCTCTGCAACAGCCGCAATTACAAAAAAAATTTTGGTGTTTGAATGATTTTACCGAAACGAGCGGTGTAGCTTCAGTTTGACGAGAGCAAGCATTCCACAACGCTCTTAATTGATTATTTGCGATCCTTGCGCTTGACGTTGACGAGAAAAGGTTTCTAATCGTCGACGTACGCAACGTGTTTCTTATAATACTATTCATTTTGTCTGTTGGAATAATTATTTTGCGCACACCTGAGCCGGTAGAGTCACAAAACGGTTTCACGTTGAAGAGACCACGAGGCAGACAGAAAGATAGAATGGTTGCCGGTTGCGTCACGGAATAGCAAAATTCTCGTCTTGATAATTTTATTCTATGGTTTCCGATGCGAAAGGTTTCATAGCGCTCTCTATTACTGCTGATCGAACTTAATTTTAAATACAAATAACAGGTTACTTGGGCTTAAATTTCTACGTTTTTGTTTCCTCAATCGTATTAATAATACACAATTATTTTTTTAGGTACGGTGCCAACAGCAAGTTGAATTGTTTCATAGAGAGCAAGCGAAATTCATGCAACAGCAAAGGAAACTGTAACCTTGGCTGAAACTCGGTTTGTGTCTCATCAGCATAAATGGAATTTTTTATCAGGTATGATAGGATGTGTTAGACCATGCAATTATTAAACAAATAGATATTTATGACATGAAATAGAGTACTTTTATTCCTAGCTTGAAAGAAATGAATCATTGCTAAATAATACACTCTCTATCCTAGGTCATGGATGCAGAATGTGAGACTAGAAGAAATTAGTAATGAAATACATCAACAACGTCGAGATTATGCCATTTTTATTAGTCAATAATTTCTAGGTACATCTGTTTAGTTAAAAATAATTTATGATACATAAATTGTACTTTTTTGCTTTTAGATTTTATAACTAAGAACTCTTGAGAATCGCCAATCGAAGAATCAAATAGAGCCAAGGACCAAAACTGTGATTTATTAACATTAAATGTATGTAAAATTGATTTTAACAATAGCATGTTAAAATCGTTAAGGAACAGTCTTAGAAAACTGAGACAGTTCGATTTACAATTGATATTTATTGATAAAATGTGTATATACGATAGTATTGTTAAGAGTATGTTACTGAACAATTTAATTTATTTATAGGTATGTGTTTCTACATAGTGGAATTAGAACAGTGTAAAACATTCCTTATGTTTAACACGATTAATTAATAATTAAAATAATAGTACATATTCTCCATGCTTTTTATTTACATTCTCCTCTCCTTTCCTATAAATTCCTTAATTTTTATAATCCCTGATAACTGCGTAAAATATTATTAAGTTAATTAAGCTCTTCGATCATTTCCCTAGACATTTTTTCATTAATTAATATACTTATAAACGATTCCTGGAAGCGATAATTGTTTCGATATTGCGCAAAAAAGTGACAAACTACAGTATCGCCATCTAATATCGGTGTTTCGAAGTCAAAAAATCGTCCCAGGATCACAGAATGTTAGTGGAGGTATCCGGAGTACAGCTACCCCCACTCCTCCTCCTCCTAATATGCAGTACCTTGATTATTCGCTAATTACTCCTTTCCTGGGAATAAATTATGAACTTTTAGAATTGAAGAATGTAGTATAGACCCTTGGCTAGGTTCAAGGATACTTTTTAGAACCATTCCGCCAGTAATTAACAAGTTATTAACGAATATCGGAGGTCGGCGCATTCACGCCTGTGTCACTGTCTGCTTTAATCGATGAATTATCAATTTTTTAACAATAAAAGACATATTTTGGCTATTAGGGAACGAAGTAGACATCCATGGAAACATTCGAGGACCGATTTTGCAACGCTCCATGCTCTAATTAATTAGTTATTAACGATAAATCCCTAAGATGTTAGGTTAAAAGGTTGAAAACAGTGTCCCGACTTCCGATATCGGTTAATAACTATTTAATGAGGTATGAGACGGTATTAAAAAGTATCCTTGAATCTTGCCAAGGGTCCATACTATATTCTTAAACTCTAAAAGTTCATAATTTATTCCCAGGAAAGGCGTAATTAGTAAATTAAGGAGTAATAATTCATTACAGGCCGAGAAACAGATAGTTTCCTGTTGTCGCCACTGGTGGCGCCACAATGCAAATTAACGGTTTTAACGAATCACTGCTCCTTAATTTACTAATTACGCCTTCCCTGGGACTAAATTATGAACTTTTAGGGTTTAAGAATATAGCTGAGACCCTTGACAACATTCAAGGATACTTTTTAAAGCCATCTCATACCTTATTAAATAGTTATTAATCAATATCGGAAGTCGGGACACTGTTTTTAACCTTTTATCCTGACAATTTGGGGATCTATCGTTAATAACTAATTAATTAGAGCATGGAGAGTTGCAAAATCGGTCCTTGAATGTTGCCAGGGATGTCTACTTCGTTCCCTAATAGCCAAAATATGTCTGTTGTTATTAAAAAATTGATAATTCATCGATTAAAGCAGACGGTGACAAAGCCGTGAATGAGCCGACCTCCGATATTCGTTAATAACTTGTTAATTACTGGTGGAATGGTTCTAAAAACTATCCTTGAATCTAGCCAAGGGTCCATACTACATTCTTCAATTCTAAAAGTTCATATTTTATTCCCAGAAAAAGAGTTATTAGCGAATAATCAAGGTACTGCATATTAGGAGTAGGAGGAGTGGGGGTAGCTGTACTCCGGATACCTCCACACACATTCTGTGATCCTGGGACGATTTTTTGACTTCGAAACACCGATATTAGATGGCGATACTGTAGTTTGTCACTTTTTTGCGCAATATTGAAACAATTATCGCTTCCAGTAATCGTTTATAACTAATTAATTAGATAAAAAAATGCATAGGGAAATGATCGAAGAGCTTAATTAACTTAATAATATTTTACGCAGTTATAAGGGATTATAAAAATTAAGGAATTTGAGGGAAAGGAGAGAAGAATGTAAATAAAAAGCATGGAGAATATGTACTATTATTTTAATTATTTATTAATCGTATTAAACATAAGGAATGTTTTACACTGTTCTAATTCCACTATATAGAAACATCTAATTAATTAATTAGATGGAAAAATGTATAGGGAAATGATCGAAGAGCTTAATTAACTTAATAATATGTTACGCAGTTATAAGGGATTATAAAAATTAAGGAATTTATAGGAAAGGGGAGGAGAATGTAAATAAAAAGCATGGAGAATATGTACTATTATTTTAATTATTTATTAATCGTATTAAACATAAGGAATGTTTTACACTGTTCTAATTCCACTACATAGAAACATCTAACTAATTAATTAGATGGAAAAATGTATAGGGAAATGATCGAAGAGCTTAATTAACTTAATAATATTTTACGCAGTTATAAGGGATTATAAAAATTAAGGAATTTATAGGAAAGGGGAGGAGAATGTAAATAAAAAGCATGGAGAATATGTACTATTATTTTAATTATTTATTAATCGTATTAAACATAAGGAATGTTTTACACTGTTCTAATTCCACTATATAGAAACATCTAATTAATTAATTAGATGGAAAAATGTATAGGGAAATGATCGAAGAGCTTAATTAACTTAATAATATTTTACGCAGTTATCAGGGATTATAAAAATTAAGGAATTTATAGGAAAGGAGAGGAGAATGTAAATAAAAAGCATGGAGAATATGTACTATTATTTTAATTATTTATTAATCGTGTTAAACATAAGGAATGTTTTACACTGTTCTAATTCCACTACATAGAAACATCTAACTAATTAATTAGATGAAAAAATGTATAGGGAAATGATCGAAGAGCTTAATTAACTTAATAATATTTTACGCAGTTATCAGGGATTATAAAAATTAAGGAATTTCTAGGAAAGGAGAGGAGAATGTAAATAAAAAGCATGGAGAATATGTACTATTATTTTAATTATTTATTAATCGTGTTAAACATAAGGAATGTTTTACACTGTTCTAATTCCACTACATAGAAACATCTAACTAATTAATTAGATGAAAAAATGTATAGGGAAATGATCGAAGAACTTAATTAAGCTAATAATTAGATTCGATTATTTTACGCAGTTATAAGGGATTATAAAAATTAAGGAATTTGTGGGAGAGGAGAGGGGAATGTAAATAATAGACGATCCAGCTTATTACGTTTTATTTCCAATACTTGAAATTGAAGATAACTTTACAATGCGAAAATACGTACCTATGCTTGTAAGTACATACTTAAGATCTTTAAGATCTAAGAAGGCTTGTCAATACTCGGTTCTTACAACAACCGACGAAACAACGGACGTTAAAGACGACGAATTTCTTTAATTACGGTATCTTTTAGTCGCGATGTTTCCGTTCCGGTACAAACGCAGTTGTCATATTTCCGAGCAACGATTGTTAACTTTTTATACTCAATTATAATAAAATAGTTGTACGTAGCAATTATTTTATTCGTAGTAAATGCAGTAAGCTGACTAGTAAATTTTACAAATCACAGGTAGGAAAGGATTGCGCCGCGTACGCAACACAGAGGTATGTAATAACAATTTTGTTTCTTTTTCTTTTTATATGTACATCTGCTATTTTCACGGTCTCGAATAACTTTACCGCCGCGATTTAACGTTTCGATCTTTCGTTCGATGAATTTATAACGTTCGTTGCTGTCGTGGAAAATACTAAAAATAATACCGATAGAACAGAACCTTCGATTACGCTAATATCTGCAAAGTTTTACGAGCAAGCGTGACTCGAAATTAATTCACTGCATAAAGACAAGATGAAGCAGACTTGAATTACAAGCATTAATTAATATATCCGTATCTTTCTTGAACTTCTCAATCATGGATTCCGTCGCGATGTACATAGTATAACAAACGGATTGCGTTATTAACATAAACGATCAGAGAAGATTCTTTCTGAACAGATTGGAGACGTTTAAGTACATAATAATAATAATAATATGCTCTGGGAAACCTCTGCGTAGGAATACGATAGTCTCCTCGTTTAGAACTCTTCTAAATCGTTAAACGGTACAAACTTGCACTTTGGACAGATTTTGGATACTTGTACATGATTTAGACTGTGCTTTTGCGTGTTTGATTTAAGAATACATAGGCGTACAAGTAATTATCGTATTCTTATGCTCGCGTAACATATCCAATGGTATCGGTTTGCGCAAAAAGCATTACGAATAAAGTGTAAATTGACATTGTTTCGTCGTACAAGAACTGTGGTGAGTCGCGCTAACAATAGACGATTTTCGAATACAATTTTTCCTCTTCTACAACCTCTCTCGGTCGAAACAATAATCGTGCAAACGTACAAGCATACTTCTCGAGTATATCTTTGCTTTTTACAATTTATGTTTCCAGCGCCCGACGGTGTCGCTTTCAAAATCAAACTGTCCAGGATATCAAAAATACGTTAGGATAGTAAAAAAAAAAAAAAGATACGTTTACAAAATAATGGCAGTATGTACTCTTCTACACGATAATCTTAATTTAAGATGTTAAACTTCTTACACATCTACAATGGACGCAAACCTCGAGACGAAACACCGATATGCTTCTATCTACGCATTTCGTTAAAAAACATAATTCTACGCATTACCACGTAAGATGCGGATATAAATTCAAGCAGTAGAAATAACGCACGAAGCCATACACTTTTAAATACAATGCTCTACGAATTAAACGCAATATCCATTATTTAAATAAATATATTAATATCTCTTGCCGCGAAATAATAACCGAAACGACGAATTTTTAAAAGCGAAATACACGCTATATTAAAAATAAAATACTATAATAAGATTGTTCTTATTTTTAAAAGAAAATAGAATAATTTTACTACAATTTTATTAATAATTAAAACGTCATTCTCGACACACAGAAACAGAATACCGTCTAACGCGATAAAACAAAGTGAATGTAATCACGTGATTGGCGCGAATTTTAGCCTCGTACTTTTAAACTTACTCGTTGTAGAATTTCTTCCCGCGGAGACGCAATTTAATTTCGAACAAATAAATTAATTATGCCTGATCGTACCAACTTTAACGCGTCGCACTACAAATACAATAATGGTAATAACAATATTCTTTCAGGCTTTAAACGCACGCACGCTAGTATATGTCTCTTTGTGCCTAAACTAGCAAAGGATAACGTTAGACCGTTTCTATTCACTTTACGTGAGATCAACTCACTGCGACAACATGTAATATATTGGATAATGATGGTGTAAAATACTACGTTTCATTTATATTCGTCTGTCGAAATGTACATTCGTATCACAGCAAAATGAGTTTAATTCGCGTTCACCGATGATCAGATTTTCGATCTAGTCAACTGAAAATGGAAATATCAAAGACCATCAATCGCGTACAGCGAATGTCGCAGGCGAGATATAGCCTGTGAAATACAAATGAAACATAATTCTTTGGAATTGTAAGCTGCAAATCCTTGTATTAAATACTGACGGCATTATATGGATGGATACGACAATTTTACTCTAACGGATTGGTACCTGCCAACCGTACCCACAAACATTTCTCATCTCCCATAAGCGGCTACGTTACAAAAACTATGGTGCATGCACACTCCTCTGAACTGAACGCATGGAAAGTTAATATCATTAAGCGTGTCCACCGAACGACGATGTAAATCATTGTGCGCGCGGGTGTATCATTATTACTATACAAAGTACATATTGTATCTTATAACAATTCTCGTTCGAGTTCATTAACCTTACTTATACCTATTGCACTTCCGGAAACTCGATCACGCGAATAATCTTAATGTGATTAATACTACATCATCGACGTATTCGTGATAATTCAATTCGTTGAACGTTTTGTATATAACTGTTAACCTTTACGTCTTACGCCTAGCTACTATATCCGTTCTGGACGAATTGAAACTTTCAGGCGATAATGCTCTTAAATAAAAGTAGAATTTTAACGTGTAACAAACGATCGTAAAAGATGAATCAATACGCGACAATTGCCTGTGTCTCTCGCTTTTTAATTTGACTAGACGAGGAGAGGCATTTGACACTTTAATGGCCGCCAGTATCACTCGAAAACTGTTCTCCGTCACCATTGATATTGTAGACCAAAGTGAGATACACAAAGGAATTACAAACGTAATAAGATACTGATACGGTAGATCACGCACACGTGACACTAGCCAACGTGTGTTAGCTTACAAAGTCACGTATACGTGACAGCGGCCGTCAAAGTGTCAACGAAACTATGTATAAATAAAAAACGTTGCTTTTGGCAAAAAAAATATACATACAACTGAATTAGGAACATGATCGTTAGAATAATTAAATATGAAATTTAAATATGTAAACTAATTAAAATTAATCAATCGGTTAACGTAAAAAAAACTTGAACAGATAAACGGTGCGTGTGCGATGCAAAATAGTTAAAAATTTGAACCAAGATCATCTTTTTTTTTTTTTTGTTTCTTTCGTTTTGTTTTTCTTTTCAAGCTGAATATTTTTCAAGACACGGATAATTAGTTAAACATTCATCGTCTGTCGAGTAGGCCGATACAACGCATCTTCGTTAAAACTTAATAATTGCTTTGTCGAATATACAAAGATTTAATCCTAAACTGTTCCAAATATAATTGGCCGCCTGTCTCGTGCGACACCTACATTCAAGAAATTTTTATTTCCGAGTTACCGTACTTTTGTACAGGTTCGATGAATCTTTGTTTGCTAAAGACTAGTTTTAAGATAAAATCGCGATGTAAGAACGTGGATTCGACTGTAAACGCTATAAAAAAATTTCCTTAAGAAGGCTCGACGATATTATGTATTCGTTGGAGGTATCGTGTAACGAACATTTCTATCTTAACAAATATACAAGCGAACATTAAAGCGTTCTCAAAGCGTACCCAAAATATTACTTTTGTAATTGGTTATCTGTATTACTTTTTTCGATGAGAAAGATTGTTTGTGTGTGTAGAGACACACACACACACACGTGAGTAAATAAGTAAGAGAGAGATTGTCCACTTGTGCTAGGAAGTCCTAGAACAGCCGTATTTAGTATTTTAACAAGCTAACTTTGCTATAACGGATGCTCGTAAATTGTAGCTTAGCTATGTACGTGGAGCTTTCGTAGGCCTGATGATGGATTGATTACATTTACACTGTTCGCTGGTGGCGGCGTTCGAATACACGCGGGATGTAATATGCGGCAGAGAGCCCAATAAATTAGGACCTGGTAGGCTACCTGCGAAACCGCTTCTTCCCAAGAAACTGTGAGCACACTTGTACAGTCTCGTTTGCAGAATCAATATATCATCCAAGTCCTCTTCGCTGTTTAATAATTAAATTGTACACTCGATATTAACGCGCGATTAAATGAGATCGAAACAGGTTGGATTTGAACTCACCTCGCAGCGGCTAAAAACTTTTGGAAAAGTTTGTTGGGAACGGTACGTGGACGGTCAACCGTATCAGCATAAAGATCCGTTTCCCGATTGTAGAGATGTAAAAAATCCGAGAGCTGCTTAGCAGTAACAGCAGCACGATCTTTATCGCTCAATTTGCTGCTCGGCAACTGCGCAGTAAGATTGCGGGATAAAAGAGTTTGCTACTTTGCAGAGCACGCTCGGGTGACTTACCGTGAAAAAGAAAGGTGTTCTTAAATTACTAGCAGATTGCTGGAGGAATTTCATTACAAGGTCACAGCACGCTGGGTCGGCATTAGGTTGCGATATCTTACGCAATATGTGGCCTAAATATAAACCGAAGGCTTTTCTAGCCTCTCCAGGGCTAAAATGCATGTGCTTATCTATCAAATAGACTCCTTTTTTATCTGTTCTAGGTTTAAACGACCTACCTAAGTTTATTTCCGTCGTGCATGGACTGCACCACCTGACTCTTATACTTGTGCTTATCAGTGTCCATGTTTTCCTTACTGTCGCCGCGATCTAAGCTTTGTTTGTGACCCTTCACCAAAGCTCTCTCGTATCTTTCGAATCTGTAACGAGTTGTTAGGAACTTTATCAAACTGTGTACGAATAAGAAGAAAGTTAACATTTAATAGATATTTTCACAAACGTACCTAGACAGTCTATCCAGCGTAACTTCAGGTATGATAAAGCCTGTGGTACGACTCGCTGCAGGGAACAATTGTTCGTGCAACATAAGATTATAATTGGTGTTCACGTGTTGCGGGACTCTGCCTGGTCCTAACGGATCCGAAACTACCGGTATTCCCGTTGTTGGATCTACGTATAAATAGAAAAATAATATGAAGTATTAGCTCAACGGGAATAGAACCTTCAATAAAAAATATATATTTTTTATTAACCTAAATATTGCGAATACATCTCCCATGATTTTGGACTAGGAAATATTCGAACGAATCCTCCTCGTCGTTCGAATTGGGCTTTCGCGGATGCTACTATTCGTTGCTGTTCGGAGGTTAATCCCGTTTTGTTGATATTACTTTTATTGACGTTCTTTTTCCTTTGCGACAATGTCTCGGCCGAGTGTACTCTTCTGCACTAGAAACAACGGAATGGTAAGTTATATCGGTACGATAGACTAGAACGAAATCGTAATAGAAAACTTACGTTGGCTATTCTTTTGGTGGAGGTAACGGTAGCTCGGTTCAGATTCATGGTCTGCGGCCGTAAAATTGGATCGACCGCAGGTATACCAACAAGGGTAAGCAGATCGGCTATCAACGCTGATTTTAGCCTAACGTCGAGCGGTGAATCACAGCCTAACGATGGCGTTAAATTCACTTCCAGTAGCCATGGTTTCAACGTGTCGTCGATCAGAATGTCGAAGCCGAACAGTTCTGAAAAGAATACATGTTCACTCGGACTGTCTAAAGAATTTTAAATTCCTAAACATTCGCATCCGTAAGATTATCGAACTTTCTGCTATTGTCTACGAATACTGAACGTATCAATGTACATACATACGAGGTGTGTAGCTTCCCAAGGAAGTTATTTCGAGAGAGACAATAAAAATCAGTCTCTACCTAATTTACACACCTCGTGTATGGTGCGTGTACTGGTTTGCAATCGACGAACGTAAATACAACGACGAGAAATTACCGAAGCATGTTTCCGGATGTTTAACGAATTGCTTGACGCCGCTGACAATACCAGAGGCGGTCGCGAGGATCGATTTTATTATAATATCTTCTACGCGTTGCATCAGCGATTCCGTGTCTTGTCCCATCGAGCGTAAATGTCTGAGCAACGCCGACAGAGTCCACTTGTGGCCTACATCTTCCGCGTCCGGATCCTCGTTCCTGTAGCATACGTAATAGAAAGATAAGTAGATAATCGTGAAACAATCAATACGCGTAATCCAGATGAAACATCCTATTCTACGATAGAAAGATAAGAAAGATGATCTTGCTTACTTTACGTAATCTACGTGGAATTTGTTGATGCTGTAATTGCACAAATGCATGCAAGGATTCCAGACGTACTGGTTACCACCGTCGTATTTCACCGTGGCGAATCTGACCAAACCCTCCTCGTACAGGTATATCAACAACGGATCGTAATTCGTCACAGCGACGTATAATCGGAGATCGCATTTATGCCCGTCGACTAGAAGTGGATTGTTTATGTATTGTGCGACAATTACCGATTCGTCCGTTAGGATCTTCTCAGGCTGCGAGAAAAACACGTATCTCGTAATTGGTACTTGCGTAAAATTACAAATATAATCTTTTCGTTTCGCTAGCCGTCTAGACGATTCTGTTGGCAGATTTTCAACTTTCAACTTTCTACCGTGGACAAATACACGACCGAGCCTTGGACAGAATCATCTGTTTAATGCAAATAGAGAAGATGCTTGGATAGATATAGGTATGTACAGGTAGCCCTCCTACAACAAAAACCTTTGTACAACATTGTACTTCTACAGCACTGCATGTTACCGTAAATACTGTAAATTACCTTAAAATAATGAACTATAGTAGCTTTACATGAAAAATATATAAACAAATTGTAATTTATTAAATTAAGGTTGTTTTAAATTAAAATAATATCTTTTGTTTTGCGTTGTACATACATTTATATTTTTCATCAAAATTAAGTTGCTCATGTAGAATTAAAAAATAATATTTTTACTTTGGGTCTCATATAACACGGTTTCACACAACACGATATTTTCTAGGAACCTATCTACCGTGTTATAGGAGGGTTACCTGTACTTGTTAATCGATCGCCTTTATAGGGGATGAAGAATGCAGGGAAGATACGGTGTAGGTCACGTTATCTAAATTCATACCTAAAAATGATTATGCTCACACTGTTAACAATATAAATGCCACGTCCGCGGGAACTGGCTTTAGGTTTGACAATCCAGGGCCCGCGGTACCTGAAATGGGCCGTGAGCAATTCCCTCGATTCGCTGGGCAGCAGGAAGGTTTGAGGTATAAAGTCCAGATTTCTTAACCCTTTGCTGCGTTGCATCGCCTCGATGTTCTTGTACAGCCGGTCCTTGCGCGTGATCTCGTACGACCTGCGATTCAGTTTCAACGAATAATTCGAATCGGAAGAAACGCGTCGAATGAATGCGATACGTTTACATCTTTGTTCGGACTGACCGCTTGGCTCTATACCTTGGGAAATGGTTCACTTTCTGATGGGGCATCAAATTCCGAAGAATGTCCGGTTTCGGATGATTCCCCATCCATAGGATGTTAAATTCCGTCTCGTTGATAGGCACCTGCGAAACAGAAACCGTTAGCCAATTCCCGATTATGCGCGAAACGTACGCGTGAAATTTCTCGGGTTGCAAAGTGCGTGATCGCGCCGTCTCGTAAACACCGGGTAAACAACGACGCCCGCCGCGGCGTTTCGATTTACCAGAACGTGGAAGCTCTCCTATCGTACGGCTTTAATATTCTTCGCGGTGCGTCGCTTATTCACGCACATCGCCTTTTGCCTTTGCCTTCGCCTTCGCCTTCGCCGCGACCTTGCGGTTACTTTTCGTAGGAACAATGTCTACGCACACACGGTAGATATGTACATATTATACATCCACGCCAGTGGACTGCTAATCACCGAGAAGGACGTTTGCCGCGAGTAATCGTGTATGGCTGCGTAGCGTCACAAGGAACTAGCGTCATAAAGAAACGCAAAGTCGTTCGTTGGCGCCCGCGGAGTTCCCCGTAGGCTACGTGACCGTGAACACGTAGGTACGTACAGGCTCGTTGGCTTTTCGTTTCATTCTCTCCGTGCTCCGGCCATCCGCGGTAGGCATCTGTACCTATCATATACAATGGATTCATTCGGCTTTGCGTCACGAACGCCGAGACACGCTTGTAATACATGCAATCCTTTTTTTCCTCCGCGTTAAGTGAACATTACCATTTCGTTAACGAAATACCTTCGGGAAGAAGAAAACGAATATGAAATGGGAGGTTAAAAAGGAAGTGGACGGTCCCTGACAACGCATCGAATGGCAACGAACGAAGGTTAGACCCTAGGGCTACGAATCGAATCGAATCGAATCTGGACTGGACCGGACCGGACCGGACCGGACTGGACTCGAAGGCTCCTGACCTCGTTACGATCGTCCTCGATAACATGCGGTTGATCGGTGTCGAGGATCGATCCGAAAGCACTGCTCTCCTCGCCTTGCAGCGTCCAAGCAATGCGGAAATTAAAGAGGAAATCTACCACCACCGCCGGTAGCCAGGGACACACGGATGTACCTACATTCAACATATTATACATACGTACATTGATTTCTACGCGTCACTCGAGACTGTCATTCGATGGATCGGTTAACTTTTTAGTCACGAGCAAACCGCGACCCTCAAACTTTCTACCACCAGATTCGTTCGTGTGCCTACCTGTTGTTCCACATCCGATCGAATATACCACCCTGAAAATTGCTATCTTCTTGCACGTTTATGTTCCTCGCCCCAACTGTTGTGTTCTTTCTATTCTGTTTCCCCCCTTTCCGTTTCGTTTTCGTTGCCTTTGATCTACTTTGCCACGAGGCGCACTTGTCTTTACTTCTACAGTCAAGATTAGTCTTAAAAACGTATTAAAAACAAAGAGCGTATTTTAAGGTCTTTGCGACAAAAGGGGAAGCCCACGTTTATAATTAATACGTTCTGTCCCACGATGGATGAAAAGCGTGGTTGCATGTTGCGTGTCGTGCGGCGGCCGACCAGAAAGCTGGACGACGAGGTCGAGGCGAGCCGAGCCGAGCCGAGTCTGGCCGAGCCGAACCGAGACGACGCGAGTCGAACCGAGCCGAACCACCAACGCATGCAATTCCGTGATGGTGGCAGTCTAGCACGAGCCGCCGCTCAGGAGACACCCGTAGGGGACTTGCTTGTTTCAAGGTAGGCACCTGACGCCTAACTATCTCGTTCGCCTTCTTTCACCGCTAACTAGATCTTTGACAGGACTTTACTGCAACCTTCCACGCTATCCTACCAAATGCCACTAAAATATCATACTTGAAAGCGATCATCACCGATGATGCTTCCTTCTCGTCTTGCCCTTAGATACTTGGAAACCTGACGTCCCTATCAATCACTTACCCCTCTTCCTACTACGATCGTCGAGTGTGCTTTGCTATTAAATTTCGTGCAGTCGAGAAAAGGACATTGAACAATGATAATTTAAGCGACGAATAATGTTCGATACTTCTAATCTTGTCTCATTCTAGACACCCGAAGCTCAGCTTACCTCTAACCAAGATCAATCATTCATCGTTTCTACCTGTTAATCCAATCTGTCGCTGTATGAACGTTGCTGCAATCTTTCACGATCGGAATAATATACATAGAATTTCTGCAATTTATATTTGGACTGTGAATAACACGTGGCCAGATTAAAATCCTATCAACTCATTTAACGTTATTGCAACGCAACAGATAGCACCTTTCTTCTTTGACTTTGAATGTTTTACAATGCTACATGTTTGATTCTCCTTTATTTCAATATACCGCTGAAAATGATTAACGGACCACCTGGGCAAATGACGTTATCATTCGATAAGATACCTTATATACTTGGACGGTAACATGTAATGAAACTTGGCAATTTTCGATTAAACTATTACTACGTTACCACGAAACTTTTGGTTTACTGGAAAACTATAGCTGCCTTTAAAATCTACCTCCCATAAATAGCCGAAAGAGAGACCCATCTTCCTTGTATCGTGCAATCTCGTCGTCGCGACGCGTCGATAGCAAGCATACGCAGTTTGGTGTAGATATTTACCTGAAATCGTTAGGCGCTCGAGATGCAAAGAACGCCGCTGAAAACAATCGAGGAAGAACGAAACGAGTGTGAAGAAAAAAACGAAATAAATACCGTAGGATCCAATCCGTATTTTAAAGTGAATTTCAAAGTACATATTAGTTACCTCGCACGGACAAGTGATCGTTTAATTACTTCGAGCAGTGTAGAAACGTACGCGCGGAGTGTCAGACGGCTTTAAATACCGTTACTAGAAAGTAGCGTCGATTGCTTGCTTGTAACTAGAATGAACGAAAAAAAAAAAAATGGTCCAGTGAAAGTGTCGCAGCGGCGTGTATCGGATTCGATGTGTTTGCTTTTATGTAACAGAACGTGTGACCGACCAACACGTGCGACAGGACCGGTGTGCGTCGTTTACATATTGTTTGAATTTCGACGCGGTGCGTCACGTGCTCAACTTGGATCTCAAAGTTCGCCGGGATGCCGACATCGCCAATTAAGATCGTCCGTTGCTACCGCGTGAATCAATCTTAACATCGATTTTCTCAAATTTCCACCAATCTTACGAACCAAGATTGGTGATTCTATTTTAACGAATTCCATGACAAGATCGCTAGAAATATCAGCAAATTTTTAATTCCATATAGTGAAAGCTATGCTATGCTTAACCAGATTTATAAACTAATGCGAAATTTCAACGGGTGACTATAGTCGGCTTAAATAAGTAAAGGGTTAAGCCTGCGCGTAAGAAATCGTGTTATGTACTCGAATCATTCTCCCGCCAATCTTTTCATAACCACAGAACGCGCCGTGGCGCCATGGCGCCATACCGTCGTGCCTCGATACTACCTTTCTGTCATTCACGCAATATGTACATCTCCGATACGCAAATGTTGCTGATTCGCATTCCTATCGAAAATAAATAAAAATCTCGATATAGACGAGCTTGTACCATGTACGATAGCAAAAATTCAACAACAACGTTTCATCCATTAAATGCGCATTGGTATACCTCGAGTACACGTAAATTGCTTGAATTATCGTCGATCTATTTATGTATGCTGTCTCACGTGTCGAAGATGGAACTCGAGTTTAAACTAAGCTTGAGAAATGACTCGACCATTTTGCTCTCTTGCAAAGATAATACACAATAGTTTTTAACATAAACTGAACCAGTAATGAACAGAGTCAATTTTATTATGGAAAAACAATTCCATCCAATTTATCTGTACAAGTACATATTTCGCTTGAATGTAATTATCAAAATATTTTTCATGAACAAACAGGAAATCGGATTGAATTGCCTACTTAATCTGTTGATTTGACCTTTATAACAAGAAAAAACAGACGCGTAAACATATTTTCATACCTAAAAAAATATTCCAGTTTAATAACAAAATTGATTTGAAACTACTCGAACGAAGAACATGCAATTTTTTCGACCACGTAATAAAATTATTCGAGAAAAAGTGTCGGGGCGTTTTGTCGCTTGAAAGTTCACGCAGATGGAAACGAGAATTTTTTTCACTACCGATAATTACGTAGGAAAATTGTTCACATACATAACTGCTTTTAATCAACATCGTCCGAATAATATCTGTTCAATGTTTGAGAAAATGGAAACGTGTAAAAACGATTCCCATATCGCGTTTCAGACGCAGTTAACCTCAAAGTCAAAATATTTGTTTCGATTATTAACTCTGTACACATTATTACAAATAGCGACAAAGCTTAACACGGATAACTTTCTCTATTCTACACCTATGCTCTTTAATAACCGAGACTACTTTAATTTCTAATCACTTACTAATCACGGCCTCATGTTACGCGACATTGAAACATTGCTGCGATAAACATTCCTATTAATTGCTTATTGAGCTTCTAAACCTTCATTATTAGCAAGTTACACAACAAAATGAAATTTTTATTAACGACATGATCCTAAACCTATTGTAAATATTAAAAACGTTATTATTATTATTATCACCATAAATTGAAGAATGTATCATATATTACAGTGAATGAACAAGAGAAGATGCCTGGCCACCGTCAGCCTAACTCCTTAGAGGGGCTTAGTTTGGGACGTGTGTGTCAACAACTCGACGGGACGTGCCGACGTCTGCAGGTGCTTTCGCAAGATTCATCCGCAGTGCAAGTGTTGGCATATGCGAAGCAGACAATCAGACCTTATTACATAAATGCTTTACCAGCACGTTTGCGATCTCAAGTCGTAGAAGAAACTTCAAAAATGTTGTATGGACCTGCATCCGATGGATCTACATTAATTTCTGGGCCAGCTCCTTTGTATCTATTGGCCCTTCTTCTCGGGCACGATATAAAGCAGTTGAAAGTGAATCTTTGTTGCTACTACGGATGTAGTCATCAGACATCGTTATTAAAACTGCTTGCATCGGAAGGAATCGGATTAGAATCTTTGGAATTGGCTCGATCTGCTCTGCTAAGATTAGATTGCAAATTACTAAGATCCGCACTTATGAATATGAAAAATCTGATGAGTCTGACGCTTCGTAACATAGCCAGCGACGCGGTGCTTCAAGTTGTGGGAAAAGCTTGTCCAAAGCTAGTAATTTTGGATGTTGCTTGTTCCAGACAAGTAACGGACGTAGGATTGAAGCAATTATTGTTACAAGTAGAACTTAGAGATAAAGTGTCTCATACTGCGATGCAAGAACCTACCAGCTGGTCTCGTCTAAAAACATTACTCTCAAAGTTAAAAATGAGGAATTCTAAATCGGAAAAGAAGGAAAAACATGGGGTATTGTTAGAATATTACGAAAGCAGAAACTTTCTTTGCGACACGCTCAGAGTACTTAATGTTGCCAATACTGGAGTGACCAGTGCAGGGGTACTTTTGGCTCTAGTGCATGTTCCACGATTGGAATCCTTGGCAGAGTATAGTCATATGGGACGAGTGGTGGAGATCATGAACAAAGGACTCGTTGGATTTAAAACTCCATTTAGTCTAACACAAGCAAGAAGTTGCAGAACCACTCCAATCCGTTTAGAACTTTTAGCACAAGCATGTCCAAAAGTGGAAAAATTACACATCTCCGAACCTTATCATCCACCCGAAGCTTTACGACTATTTCCTTACATTACGTCTCTAAGCGTGCATAGTATACCGCCTCAAAGGGAATGGTTAGATGGTTTCTATGACTATCTTCGTACGAACGGTCACAACTTGCGTGAACTTAATCTCCGAATAACCCAACACGAAAATCTTATACAAGTGGACTTGAAAGAAATTTTTGGTAGTTGCTGCAATCTCAGAACATTCACTAACGACGGTTCGAATACAATTTGGAGCGAAGGACCTGACCCCCCGCCACTAAAATATTTAAAAAAAATTCAATTGGGACGCATAGTAAGTGCTGTTGCTATAACAAAAATTCTTTTGTTAGCGCCGCAGTTGACGGCGCTTCATGTTCATAGTTGTTTCGATCTCACAAACGAACATTTGGAAAAGTTATTGAGTGCGACGAGCAAGCACAGACAGCCAAGAAAGTCTGATAAATGTGAAAATAGTTTAGTACAAAACCTGACATGTTTTTATATATATGAGGCCAGTAAAGTGTCCGCAACAACTGTGCTAAATATGTTTAAAAACTGTAAAAGACTGCGAAAAATTGGAAATTTAGCTAATTGGGGTTTAGATTGCGAGGGCGTCAGAATGCTAAGAACAACACTGACTCGGGCAAATTTGGACATGGACCTGTGTCCAGGAGCACATTGGTTTTGGAGTAATTGTATCGAGTAACAGGCATTTTACACCTACTATACTAATAAATCTAGCTCCTTAAGAATTCAGTCCATGGAACTATCAACTGCCATTTAATTAAAATCTGTTATCCTTTAATAGACTGTAAGGTTGTCAGTATTAAAAATTACATTAATAAATATAAAACAATTTGTATTTGAGAAAACGCAGAAAATGTTATACATTTAGGTAAACATAAATTTAAAGGAAAAAAAAAAACAAAAAACAAAAAACGAAAAAAATAATGATAATAATAATTGTACGATTCCAGGTTTTGTGGCAATCGTAAATGCAAAAATAATATGCAGTAATAATAGAATGATTTTCTTTTTGAAGCATAAATTGTACTACTATTTTGTAATTACGTATTAGTAATATATTGAAAAATTTGAAATAAAAAAAGAGCTAATTCGTATAATAACGTACGATCGAATGACAATGAAAAATTGCATAGCATATCAATACTATGATTTTTTATTATAATAGAAATTTCTTGGAGATAAATTTCGGACTATGGTATTGTATATAGATTAGAAATGACTCACCTCTGTTAATCCATGCGATTGCAGCAGCAGATTGATAAGCTTCGTATCCGTTTGAAAAATTTTATAGGTCATGTGTAATTTCCTCGCTGGTGGTTCTTCCGGGGGTGTCGCTAATGCGGAGCATCTAACAAAGTAATTAGTCAATTAGAATACTAAAGTGTGTCAATGGTAATGTAAAATATGCAAGAAATAGAAAGAACGAGTGTGTATATTTTGTCAACTTACTTGAAACGTAGAATAGATGTTTTGTTTACCATTGGTCCATTCAATAGCCATTCGTTATGTTGCGGACTTTTATTCTTGGTTGTGCTGCAAAAGTATATTATACATGTTACATATAAATATTAATATTAATATTAATATTAATGTAAATATAAGTAGAATATCCGAGAAATTAGAAAAGCGCAGCTAACGCAATATACACACATACATATGAGTGTGTACGCGTTGCAGAACGTTCGTGTCGGTAACGTAGAGCCAAACACTTATCAGACGTCGATAAAAAAGGAATTGCATGGTTCGTTTCGATGAAATTAAAATTTTGTTTGTGCTTGAATTATTTATTATAATTCGATGTCAATTTGATTAACGAGCTACGAGGAAAGGAATGTATTTAAAAATCTGTTAGTTTAAAATTGTAGATTGAGTTCGTAGTTACTGGCATCGCGCGCGAGCAATATATTTTCGGTAAGGAATTTTTTTCTCGAAAGTGGGTAGGAATTCGGGGTTATGTCTATTCACCAAAAATGATTGTAATCGACCCGCGCAACTGAAAATAATTTTTTTAGAACGATTAGAAATCTTTTAATTTTCTCAAAAAATTTCACGCCTTCTCGAATTTTTTTCTAGAAAGTGGGTAGGATTTCGGGGGTATGTCTATTCACCAAAAATGATTGCAATTGGCTCCCGCAACTAAAAATAATTTTTTTTTCTCTCTAGTTCAGAAATAAAGTTTAATGAAAATTGCATTTTCTAATCCCTTCCATAGTCAACCGACCTAACCCAACCAATTCAGTGAATAGTTTCTCAACTGACCGCTATCCATGTGAAGAGGGCACTAAAATCACCGCCGAATTTTCAGGTCGGTATGGCAGTCAGATTGGGCCACGAAAGTCCATAAGGTATGAACTCTATTCGTATGCCTTTTTTTTATCGCGATCGGTAATTACTGACAACGCGGCACATAATAACTAAATTTTTCTAACCGTTATTAATAATTGGCAACAACTGATGGCATCTAATTAAACCTTGTATCTTGGATAAAATACGAAAAGTATTTTTGATTAGACTGTTGTTTGAACTTCCATTCGGCATACCTTTCCAACGACTCCGATTTGTGCGGCTTATGTACAAGGGGCTCCAGGGTCTCCTCGCTACTGTTAGACAATTGCGACATACCGGAAAGACTGGAGGACGACATCAGTTCCTTGGGTCGTTTCCCTTCCAGCTTTCCATTAATGTTCGTTTCCATTTGGGACAGCATAATTGATCTGTAATTGGAAATATTCGCCCGTTACGGTACGAGGAAAGGGAATATTCTTTCTCGGTGATAAATAATCTACCTTTATGTATGTGATATTAAATTTAGTGGCATACATAGATATATCGAACACCACTCTAGATAATCGTAAAAAAAATAAAAATTTTCCATGTTCTCTTCGTAGTAAACCGTTAAGAATTTTAAGGGGGGTCCTAAAAACTTGATTTTGGTAGTAAAAAATAAAATGGAGAATATGAAGTCGAGTAAAGTAAACAGATGTACGAAACGTTAGCACAGCGTGGTCGTTCGAGTGGAGAAAACAAAAGCGGCGGGTGGATGATATTCGGCGTGACAGATGTCAAAATTCCCAGTCCCGTCGTCCCGATGCAGTAACCCCAAAATAAACGATATCGCGAGCGAAAGTGCTATCCAGAATCGGAGGAGGATGTGAGAAGAGGCGAGCGTAGCAATGGGAACGCAACGAGAATGGACGAGGTTGCGATGATTACCGGGGAACCCATTAGGAAGCGCGCCAGAATCGGTAACAAGTGGAACGCGTGGCCCATAAATCCGACATCGTTTCCAATCGCGGGAATCGCTTCGTTACCAGTGGAAATCATCCTCGAAATTCTTTCCTATCTACCGTACAAGGATTTATGCGCCGTTAGACGCGTGTCGGTGTTCTTCGAGCGAGTCGTTCGCGATCCCTTTCTATGGCGAACTTACGAGGTAATCGAATCCGCATCGTACACTGCAAAACTAACCGAAATAGAGACCCTTCGCGATACCAAATCGAATATTTCGAATATTACGAGCTTTCACTGGCCGAGTTCTTACCGTCTCGATACCCTGGAAGCCACAGTTGGAAATTAAATCGTAAGGCAAGGGGTTCATCCTTCAACCCAACGACCTAACGCAATGAGAAACGTTCGAAACGATATGTTATAAATGCAAGCGTTCGTATACCGTCTCGATACCCTAGAAGCCACCGTTCGTTTCGACGTACCGGAAACGCGTATCCTATGCACGGTATACGAACGCTTACATTTATAACATATCGTTTCGTTTATTCGTTGGGTTGAAGGATTAACCCCTTGCCTTACGATTTAATTCCCAACTGTGGGTGCCAAAAGCGACACCAAGGTTTGACTCGGTGGACTTATCACGTCTCTGAGACGTAATTGTGAGCTAAGGGGTTAGGGTCCTCTTGACCTGGCTCCTCCGCGTTACGCATTCCCAATGGGACAAACAGCTCTTATCACCCCATCTTTATCAGTTAGACGATCGTTGTTAGTTCCTTATCCGTTGTCTATCGTAAGTTAAAAATGTTTCGATGTTAATTCCAGACCTGGCTTCTCCGCGTTACGCATTCCCAATGGGACAAACAGCTCTTATCACCCCATCTTTATCAGTTAGACGATCGTTGTTAGTTCCTTATCCATTGTCTATCGTAAGTTAAAAATGTTTCGATGCTAATTCCAGGTGACGAACAATGAACTGGAGACGGCGGAGGTGATCAGGGAGCTGAAGAGGATGCCGTTGTTGAGAACGTTCAGGATAAACGTCAGAGCCGACTGCGACGATATTCTGCGGCAACTTTCGCTGACGAACAAAAGGCTCGAGGAATTGCACATTTCCAATTGCACAGGTCCCCCAATCCTCGTGTTTCTCAATTCGAAAAGCATTTCTGCTCGGGTCGAAATGTACTCCGAACAACACACGGAGGTTTTTGATAGACGTTGAGCAAGAGAGAGAAATCGCCTAGTCGTAATTGCTATGTATAGATATATTTGTTAACGATGCATCGGTGAAGTTCCCATAGCACCTTTAGCCTCTTACCTAGCCGATTGTAAACAGTTTGCGTGGTCAATGTGTCCAGCCAGCGGCACGTAGAATAGAAATATCGTATCGATTAGCGGGAAGTTTGCGAATGATTCACAAATATGATACACGCGGCGTATAACGGCTGACAACGGTATTACTTATCGTATACGGCCGCGACGTAATTAGTATTCCGAACTTGTACTGGGTAATAGGAGGCGCTACAATCGAGGGTAAAGAAATTGGTGGGGAAAAGGATCGTTGGTTGAAATGACGCGGCGTCGGCGGCTACCACCCGTCGTTAACGCTTTTTTTCTTGGTACAAATACACGTACGACGGTGTACATGTGATAAATAACACCTCGTTGGTCTCGTTGATCTATGATGTACCTGGTAATTGTTCGGTTACCACCCGAATAACCAAGGTGGGATCGGTTTTCGTTTTGATCGTGTCATCCATTCCGAGTTTCCCTCGACAGGCTCTACGTCAAAGTTGTATCTACGCTCGGGCCAGCTTATCCGCATACTGGAGAGGTGCCGCAATTTGCACACGATCAATATACTCGGGAGCAGATTCCGGGGACGGAAATTCTATCGACTGCTGGCCAAGATAGGTCCGCGACTGAAAACCGTTAACACACTGGCGACCAGGTCGCAGTTCTGCACGTTCATCGAGAACACACGACAGATTACCGAACACGATCGTCGGACGATCTGCACGAGGTGCATCGACGCCAAGAGCTGGGCGCCCTTCGACTACATCCTGATGAGGCAGCCTCAGCCCCAACACGGCCGCGGTGCATCCATGATCCTGATCAGCTACCTCAAGATCGGCATCCTGTTGATCGACGCGGATCGACCGACTGGCAAGCTCTCGATCACCGAGACCACCGTCACTCGACCGATCTATTAACCTTCTTCGTACCCTTTCGACGATTCTACCCCCGAAATCGATTGTTCGAAATACGTGTACCTCGAACAGTACCAATTGCATGTTATTTGCCAATTTAAATTCCTAATAAAACGATTTAAATTGTTATCCCTGCGACGAGAAAGGACTTTTAACTTTATGGATAACTGTACCGCGAGTACCCAACATTGGCACCGCCCTATAGCGAACCAGCCGCGATATAGCTGCATAATCCTCGAGATCGTCAACAGGTACTTCCGATAGTTACCCCTCTCTGCCTATCTGGCGAACGTGAACCGTCTAAACGGCCTTTACCTCTCCGGTCATCGACTCACCCGGAACTCACGCACCGTGTCCCCTACGAAAATTATGATTCTCACGGTCTCCGCTGTTAACCGTATCGACTATTTTCCTATTTCATTTCCGGTTTTACACAGCCACGCATCTCCACCCACGCCATTACGAGTTTCAATTACGACAATAGCATCTATAAATGAAACCAAGGCCCCTACATTACGATCGCCTATAACGTTTGATCGAATTAAACTTTTTCCCCCTAGCGTTCGAGTCATAAAGAAACAAGGTTTACGAAAAACAGGTAACCCTCCTATAACACGGTAGATAGCTTCCTAGAAAATTCCGTGTTATATGAGATCCAACGCCAGTCAAAAAGGGGGGTTAAAAATTTAGGCACCTAATTAGGTTTTCAGTAAGGAATTTTTTTCTCGGAAGTGCGTAGGAATTCGGGGGTATGTGTAATGACAGAAAATGATCGCAATTGACCCCCGCATCAGAAAATAATTTTTTCAGAATGATTTGAAATATTTTAATTTCGTCGAAAAATTTGTCTACCTTCTTGAATTTTTTTCTCGAAAGTGGGCAGGAATTCGGGGGTATGTCTATTCACCAAAAATGATTGTAACTGACCCCCGCAATCGAAAATAATTTTTCCAAAATGATTTGAAATATTTTAATTTCGTCGAAAAATTTGTCTACCTAAACGAATTTTTTTCTCGAAAGTGGGTAGGAATTCGGGGGTATGTCTATTCACCAAAAATGATTGTAACTGACCCCCGCAATCGAAAATAATTTTTCCAGAACGATTTGAAATTTTTGAATTTAATAACTTTTTAACGAACCCTCCTCCATCAACAAATTGGTATTCTTGATTTTTGTCTTATTTTGGCCTCTAGAATCTCATTAAAATCTTTCCCAGGGTTGCCCGAACAGAACACCCTGTATATCAACTTGAAAACCACTATAAACGTCCCTTTGTTTAAAAAAAAAGGAAAACAAAAGCCAAGCGCAACTTTAAACTTTGAAACAGGTTCAAGGTGGTCTAACCCCTTAATGCGTTGACACAACAGTTGAATGTCAGGTATCTACCGTTAAATTCTAAACCGTTGCGTTGCGTCGAGTCGAGTCGATTCTAGGTCACGGTGAGGAAAGTCTGACAATGAGACACAGTAGCCAGAACCGATAACAGAAACGGTTTTTTTCTCAACGAAAATCGAACTGGTCGAATCGTAGAATCGGTTCACGTATCACGCGATCGTTTCGAACGAGATACGCGTACCGTGACACGATACATGCACACGGATTAAAACCGAAATCTAATCCTATTGTGCGCACAATCGGTTCGTGGCGCTTGGCACTGATTGAAATCGATTAACCGCGCAAACAGATTCTACATAAGTACCTACTGTCTTTTTTTATGCACCGCCTTCGGTAAGAATTATTTAGCGTACGGTGACCAAGAGCTCGTTGTGATAACGTTTACAGTTTCCATCGTGCGACGAACACGTTCTCGTAAAGGGTTTCCTCGCGTGTATTCGCCAAACGTTCTACATTACACGGTACTTATTTCGTTTTACGAGACGAATACGGGAAATATTTGTCTACAATCTACTCGTATTTTTTCATTTACGCGTTACCAAATTTAGTTATTAATATGTCATTTACAGACAAGTTCACCCAACGTTTTTATTCTATTGTCGATGAGCATACTTATCTGTAAATACATCGTACCTCGAAACTGTTTTTCTCTTTGTTCCATCTTCATTTCCACACATATGTTTTCTATATTACAATTATCGACATCTACTCTGTTTATTACTAAAATTAGATTTGTTTGTTTCCTTTTCTACCAAAAATTTCACATTTTTATTTTACGAATCAACGTCCGCAACATAATCACTATCCCTCCAACGAAATTAACATCGGTGATGTATCGTTCTATTGTTCTAGCATTTAAGTAATCTATTAGGAGACACCTATGTGTTATGATAAAAATAGAACGCGTGAAAATAAACGATGCTTTCGAATCAAAATGTTGAATAACTGAAAGCGGATACGACCAACGGAATTGACGGGACATCCCCGAACGTTACGAAAATAGAGACGACCTACGATCCGAAAATCTCCAAGATGGCCAAAAGTAAAAAATTCATTGAAAATTGAGAATACTCGGTTCTTAATTTAATTTCACTTCGATTGAATATCACCGTTTAAATAGCTGGTGCACGGCTTTTAAGGATACGATGATCGTCGAGTTGAAAACATCGCTTGGACAGGAACGGAAACAACGAAAAACACTAAAAGAACCGATCAAAGTAAACGGTCCATCGACTCAGCTGAGATAAAAAAGGATGATGCTTGTCACCCTGGCAGACGGCGTGTTGGCCGCGTGCTCGATAAACATATTATGATAGATGTACGTGAATTAATTCTATGACAATACTCACCAACATTCGAAACCACGATTACTTTTTAGTCAACTTCCACGCGAGTAAAACATCACTATCGATGGTTTGCTTCAAATTATATCAGAATAACGAGAAAACTTGGACAAACCGCAGCCATACCGTATGGCACCATGACCAGGACTGCCTCTGCCAGCCGAAAGACGAACTAATCGAGTACATACCCGACAAAAGTTTTTACCTTATCTTTGATACTGTTGCCACGCCTTTTATTGTGTTTGTACAATGCTAACACTATATAGAATGCTTCCAGTCCAAGCCTTTGGATCATAAAAACAGTGTTTCAACATTTATAATGTATTTACCTAAACCACCATTCGTTACGATCCATTCATTATTTATACATATATTAAGGAATATTTTTCAATACGCTTACACGCAATATCAAGCTGATTCAACCACGAATAATTCCATCTATTAGTTTTTTATTAAATTACCAACTACATACTAAAGTGATTGTTTGAGAAAAACACTGATTAATTATCTTATACCATATATTTCTTATATTCATTAAAAACAATTACAATAGGTCGACAATCTATAAATTGATTATTACCTTACGCGCGAGTTACTTCATTGTTTTTGCATATTTATCCTCTAATTCCTGCAATTTTGTGTCAAGTTCTGCCATGGAATATGTCTAAAAATTCATTTATTTAATTGTCAATTTCAATGTACAAATTAAATCATATTCCAAACCATAAACTTACTCTTTTCCTAACTGGTTTGAAGGTCCCTTTAAGACTACTAATGTCTTCTGCTTTCTGAAAACAAGCAAAGTTTTAAAAATACCAATTTTTAATCAGATTATACTGTTTTTTAACATTTATTCAAATTCTTACCCAAAAATCTTTATATTCTGGAGATATCCCTTCCAAGTACAATATTCGATTTTCAATGTTTTTCAGTCTTTCGTATACGTCTTTCGGAACAGGCTTGTTTATCGCGAGAATTCTTTCGCTGATTGAAATTCTATCATCCAACACGGACGAATAATTATTGTTTGTATGGTTCGTTCCTAACATATTAGCTTTATGTAAAGTAAGTTGATCCACTGTTTGCGGCCCCCACGCGTTAAGTACTCTGTGCACTGAACAAGTCCATATGTATAAATTTGAATGTTCGTTGTTACGATTATTATTCTTTTTACTTACCCTTAACGTGACTTTTAGAGTCTTTTCGTCTTATAAGAATCGCGTCTACTCTTGCGCAAGAATCCTCCTTTTTATCACTCTGTTCTCTGTAATTTCATTTTACATTTTTTCAGATAATACGAATTATCTAGTAAATATATCTGTGCTCTTGATATGTTCACAGTTTTTAACGGTAACGACGAACCAACCTGTGACAACAAAATTCTTGTACATTCACAATATTCGCTTGTTGTCGTTTCCTCTCAATGAAAGACGCTATTCTATTATGTAGTTCTTGATTTGTGGCGCGAATTTGAACCAGATTCAGATCAATTACATCAGATTCTTCAACCTTCTCTTCTTTACTCTCATATATATTCATACTTTTTGTTACAGATTCAACAGTCTTCTTTGATGCTGAAATCGCATCTTCCGATTGTTGTGGACGTCTTATACTACTAGCTATACAAAACGTGTATTTGATAAATGGTTGGTAAATGGTTGGAAGACTGTTAAACTTTTATCAACAATTTATTAATGCTTTTCCGCATATCAACAGTGTATATATATACTATATTCAGAGTGTAAAATGCTACAATACATTACTTAAACTTAACATGGAATACTTTTATATAATCAAATAAATGCATTGTACATTTCAAAGGAATTGCATAATTTTATGGAACGTTTGCTTTGAATTAACGATTTCTTAATTCTTCTAAAGATTTAGCTACTTCAATAATGTAAAAATATTATTTACAGTTTAACCAGGCACATTCTTCGTTTTCTTTCCATCGAGTAGTCCCTGTGTTATATATCTCTTTCTTCCAAATTGGAACGGAAGCTTTTAATGCATTGATAGCATATTCGACAGCTTTCAGTGATTCTTCTCTATGAGGCGATGAAATTGCAATAACTACGCTTGCTTTGGATACTGCTACCTCTCCAAGACGATGATATATAGCGATATGATGAACATTCCATAGAGAACGAATTTTTGTACAAATATTATTCATTTCTTTCAATGCCATTGGTTCGTATGCTTCATATTCTAATTTTAAAACCTACAAACAACACATATATAGATAATAGATTTGAACTTACAATAACGATTTTTAAAAAATATACCTGTTTGTTTTCAAAATTATCACGAGTAATACCAATGAAATTAGTTACAGCTCCACAATTAGGTGATGTTACCAAATCAATTATTTCGCTGATATTTAGTTCTTCTTGTTGTAATCTGACAATGTCTTTTGGCGCGCTCATTTTAACCTAGAATCGTCACTTTTTCCATTAATACATAAAATTAATTTTTCTATTGGATACAAATATTCTTCCTGAATTCGCATCGAAAACGTTACAAACCTCCGCTAAGCGGTGGAATAACAGCAATTTCGTCTTTTTCTGAAAGTACTAGCGTGGTATTCGAAGGAACAAATTCTTCGTTCACTGCCAGAATTAAAGTATCGCGTATACTTTCTAATTTAAACTGGCTGATTATTTTGTCCGTTAAATCAGCATATGATAACTGCCGTGGAACAGTCAATCTACATTCTTTCTTTCCCGTTAGTTCTCTTGCTTTGGCAAAAAACAAAATTTTCACTTGCGTTTCTACAGCGCCGTAATCCATTATGATCCATTACAGTGAATCTACAAGTATGAACTTGCTTTGTCAAAACATTTATCCATGTATCGCTAGGTACGTTTCGACTTGCAATTGGTAGAACGCGAACATAAATGTCAGTCTACCAATTGAAAGTTGAAACATGCTAGAGGTTTTTGCATATCTACATGTACGGTAGATAGATTGTTGACTGTCGTGAATATGTATATATATGCAAATAAATCATTAATAAAATTTGGGTGATTTACAATTGCTTATTCATTATATAATTACGCCTTTGCAGGTATAACGATCTCGTGTCCAACATTAATGTATTTATTAAAGCAAAATATTTATTATCAATTACTTATTTACAATGATAACGTAAATTTACAAAATACTTTGACGTCTTTATTACAAATACCATAAAATTTCTGATAATCGAAACATCGGGCTGCACAATCATATTAATATTTAAGACTAATCAATGTAATTTTATCGAAGATTTCAAACAAGGTTATGTTTTTCTCAAATTACTCACTAGTCAGAATAGCGTTTACACGGTTAAAAGAAAATGTATTATAAGTTTTTGTTCGTAAAGCAGTGTATATTTCCTTACAATAAAATGAAATACGTAATACACGGTGTGACGTTTACATCGAACGTTTAACATTTTTCATAAATAAGTATAACGGTCGCTTGATGGTGAAAATGTAAACTTGCCACTCCATCTCGTAGAATATATATGTAAATTCATCGCGATAGTTAATCGTAATTAAAGTTATTTCTACTTAAATTAGTGTTTTCGTCATCACTAATGATCGTAGTGTACTCGCACGTAAAATAATTTTTCCCAAAAACCTGAGAGAATAAAGGTGCTATATAGATCGATTTGGAGTACCTTGTGTGATATTAAGGTCAAACAAGAAATGAGGTCAACGTAGCAAAGAATCGTACTGTTCTTCTTGCATAATATTCGATGCACGGAAGTTGATATATGTATGTATTTGTCGAATTGTCTAGGATAATTGTATTTCAGAAAATATACGTTAATTCAGGATTTATCGATTCCTCGTACGTACATTGTGGGAAACTTGCATTCGCGTAGACAAATATTATTCGTGCAACTTGGACCTTCAAAATCTATAGACGTCTAATCTTATCGGTTTTAGAGATGAGAAACTTAATAGGAGACATGATTCGTGATTTAATAAGCAATGTATTAACAGTAGCGTACGATGTGTCAGAAAGTAACGGCCTTGGATAAGCATTTAAATGTATGCATCGTGCGTGCAGCACAATGTGCGCTCACGCTTAAGTATAGATGGATAGCCTGCTAACCCGGAGTCTAAAAGAGTGCAAGGGATCTAGCTCGTTCACTCGAGTCGTTGTGGGACAAGGACAAAACATTAAAGGAACTTATTTCTTTAGCGGTTAGGTAACTCTCCTGAGAACAGTCTATGTATCACAATCGGAAATCGCATCGAACGATAAACCGGTTAGGAATAGTCATATACATATACATATGCATATATGTATATATACATATGTATACAAACATTGCGCGCATGTGTGTGTGTGTGTGTAGAGAGAGACAGACCGATGCTAGTTCATCCAAACGCACTGGACACGTGACGCAATAAGGGAGAAGATTCCAAGATTGTTACTCAATCGTCATAATTTAAGCTCATGTTTCCTTAAATTTCATTTTCAACTCACCATTCTTGACTCGTCGTGTTTAATTTTATTTCCTTGTAATTATCGCGGCGATAAATCGGTTGGAAAATATTAATGAGTTTCTTTATACGTATTAACAAGATTAATCTCGAGTATTAAAAACGTGAATAGTAAATACGCTGTGCATTCGTTGTATGTATATGTACACACCGTGTAGAAGTTGAAAGGAATATAATCGGTATCGAAGCACGGTGCGCGTCATACGGGAGAGAAGTGCAATCGACGCGAGGTCGTGTGGTGATTATATACCGAGCAACGCTACTGAGCTGGTGACTCCCATTGCTCGAAAAATTCATGACAGCGTACGTGTATGCATGCACACTTATACAGACGGGCACGGAAAGGCAACTGTGCGACACTCTGTCCATGCGAGCGACAGTCAATGCGTTCGCGCCTTCAGTTCGAACAAATACGAAGGTCTGAACGGGAAGTGACACGGAATGGACAAATTAATCCGTACAGGTGAGACGAAGATTCACGGGAGATGTCGTACGCGCACATGTCCGAACGTGGTTCGTATTATCTGGTGAACGTTTAATAGTACTCAGGAGCCACCTCGTGGCTTAAAGACAACCTTTCGAGAGGGAAGAGCCCACGTAATTCACGAATTGTCGCTGTTGTCGGTAGCCGACGAAATGCATTCACGTCTAACAAGTAACAGCATTGCGACACGCGACCGTTGGCCGAACCGTTTTTAGTGTACTTACAGCTTTGTACCTTGCTTACTTATTTGTACAACTGTTTGTAATACGAAATAAATTTTTGTACACATCACGTATCATCCGAGATAGTTGCAGAGCTTTGAATTTTATTGTTCTCGATAGTGAATCCGTCACAGTTAAAAAGACAAAGTACGGTATATGTATATTTTGGAAGTATGTAGTACGATCTGGTCGAATCGTCGAAAAATATAACTCGTGGTATATACATATTATATCAACTAGTATGTGCGCGAAATCGGTATTAGTAAATAATACATCCAACACACGAGTTTTTCCGATGACTGCATTGCTTCTGCTTCTTGTAAGAAAAACATTTTTTATTGTGATGCAACGGACATAAACTTCATCGTGTACATCGATACAACATTAATCTATGTGGATTCGAAACCTCGTAAAAATGATAAATGGTTCAATATCTATTAACTTCTGTAAATCACTATGATACGTTTAAATTTCGTACTTGACTATTTTTGCTCGAAAAGACACAAATTTAAACGCGTGATTCATTTCAAATGCATTCTTTTCCCAGAGAAAACTTTTGAAAATATTTATATAGGACGAGTGTACATGACGTATTCTACGATGGTCACTTTCGAAGAAACACGACCGTTTCCCCTTGGGCTGTTTAAAGATAACGAATCATAATACCTCCTAATTTACAGTTAGTGGATACTTTGAGCGATAGAATTTTATCTAGCAAGATATTCTAATAAAGTATTTAGGAAAGGAACACTCGACAATTGTCTATCTATGTAAAGTAGTGAATAACAATGTGTTGAAGTAAAGTTGATGAAAAACGTAGCAACATGTGGCGATAAACATTCTACGATCTAAACATCACGTCCGATAAACGTCTATGATCGTCTATAAACGTGCATTTCAGATCGTCGCTAAAAAATCAAAGGCATTTTACATTCGTTTGCACATGAACTATGATGTCATACCGCAGTGCGCACCAACGACAACGAGATTAACGGCCTTGGCGGGGAAAATAGTTTTTACAGCGTAGACAGTTTTCTCTTATGTATGAATATTATTCAATAGCGTAATAAACTAGAAAATTCAAGTTAACCTCTCTATAATACGTAATCATCACTTACGAGTGGCATATCACTATAAATTACACATTACAACACTGAACGGTGAAATCGATCAATGAAACGATTTATTGATTTTACTTCGATTTAAGACGGACCTGTTCATGAAATTTGTTACACGAGACGAGACTTTGAACCATTTGTCGTGAAATACATACATATCTGTTAAATCGGTTAGGTGAGTTACGAAAGCAGCAAAGCAATACCAATAAATTATATAATATATATAACATCGAATTCTCGATCGTGGAAGCGAATTGTATTAATAAGTAGAAATTTTCTTGGACCGGGTACAAAGACGATTAATAAATGAGTTTTGCACGGAGAACAAATTTTCCCGTTCGATATTTTGTTCGAACACGTATGAAAAATATATGTGAATCGATGCATCAAAACCCCAAGGTAAAACGCCCTTAGTGCAGGTCTAACGTTACGCCCCTGGTGTACGGAGACCGCGAGGGCTGGTGGGAAAGAGCAAGAGAGATGATTTGACGATCAGAACCGATTGAAACGAGATGGCGACCGAGGGCGAGAGAGGAACGTGAGGGCCGAGGCACACACCATCGAGTATCAACCAGCTGGTTGGCAAGGGAGCCGCGAGCAGTCGCCAGTGAGCCGCGGCACCCCGCGAGAGAGTGTCCGCTGTTTGTCGTCCGTACGTTCGTACGTACGTCCGTGGTCGGTCTCCCTTCCTTTTTTGCCTGAAATCAGCTATCGTGGTCGTGCGTGCGTACGTTCGTTCGTTCGTCCGATTTCTGAGTGGTGTGTATTCTCTGCTTGCTTTTACTTCTTTGGGCGACATTTGTTCCCGGTCGCAGCCATCGTCTTTCTCTCTCTGTGTCAATGAAGTATATATATATATATAAATAAATACATATATATATATACATGTACATACAATATATACGCACATACGCGCGCATATACATACATACATACATATATACATATATATATATATATATACGCGCGCGCCACTACACGCGCGCGTACACGAATACATACACGTTATATATATATATATATCTTTCTCTCTCTCTATCTCTCTTTTCCTCTCCCCCCGTTTCACTCTTGTGTGTGCGTGACGAACGAGCCAAGATGGCCGCCGATTCAGGAATGGAGACGTGTCCCTCCCCGGAGATTGCAGACTCCAGGAAGCGGCCACTTGATTGCGACACGGAAAATGGCGCGACGAAGAGGTCACATTACGGATCAGGTATTTTGATCACGTATTGTCAATGATTTTTCTCCATTATTTGCGAATGATATTTCCCTATGGTACCTCTGTCAATGCCCCCCTCCCATCCTTCCCTTTTAAATATGCACGTATATACATCCGATAAAGTACACAGTTTCACCGACTTCGTCACGCTCTTTACTCTCTCGCTTGCCTCTGACAATCTTGTCTTGTCTCGCTGGTGGTGCTGCTGTTGACACAGCGATCGCTTGCTCACTCGCTCTTTCGCTCGTTAGGCTGTTCCCTTTCGTTTCCCACTTCTCGAACGCCTGGCGAACGCGAACACGGTGCACCGCACAGAGGTTCGCGCATCCTCTCGTGCCACGTCTCCATCTCTTTTCCTCTGCCTCTCGTGTCTCCTCTTTTCCGACGATCGTTTTACTATCTAGTCAGCCCGATATTTGAAAACCGCGAACCCGTACGCGGCACCTGTAACGGTTTATTCTTTTCCTTTTTTTTTTACGTTGACGTTCGTTTCGGTTGTCACAACGTCATTGCCGTCGTCTTTTTCTCTCTGTCTCCCTTCCCCCCTCCGACCCTCTGCCATTCTCTTTGTCACTGTTATCGTCAACATCGTCCTCTTTCTCCTCTTCGTCTTCCTCGTCGTTGTTCGCTGTCATCGTGGTCATCGGTCGTCATTATTTTTACGTGGGCGGTCGTGTTTCTGTGAACATCGTTAATGGAGAATCGGTGCCGCGTTGGTGGCTGTCGATCGTGCTCGGTGACTCTGCAACTTTGTCCCTGTCGTTTCATCGGTTCGCTAACATCGCGACAGGAACATCGGAAGTGGCTGTATACCGCGTTTTATCCATACACGTATCGTGTACTTTTCTCTGCCGCATTTCTGCTATAGTGCAGTGCCGTCGTTGTCGCAAAAACACCGTGCTAAGGAACGCGCCTCTCTGTTACCCGTTTCGAGTGGCGGTTATTAGGATGTGGCGTATCGGTGAGTTGTCAGGCAGACAGGTACACCGTTCCGCTGCCGAGGTTGCGGGTCAAGGTCGACGCGAAGCGAGCGAGCGCACAGGGCTTCCATCTGTCAAACAGCTGTTTGCTCTCGGCGCAGAAGAAACTTTGTGTTGTTTTGCGTCACGATCATCTTATTCCTCGTTCACCGATTATTCGGCAATTCGTCCGAATTCGTGTTCGCGTTTTCACTCATGTCAGTCCGTGGTGACCGCGACCCGTGCTTACGCGTGATTCTGTGTACCTCCGATTCAGAACCACCTTTGAACAGTCACGAGTCGGAGTGAACGTGTCGTCTGATAAAAACTATACTAAATTTGTACAAGAACTGCCCTTTAATGTTAAAGTTCAGTTAAAGTAATCTGCTCTGTTTGAACTTTCAACAGCATTAATTTATGCACAATGTATTTACCATCGACGTTTCTATTAGATCGAAATATTAAATAATTGAATGTAACCTACATTTCTGTTGTATGTTAGTCATTGCTTCCTTATAATCATGATTAATTTCTTTGAAACAATTCTCCATTCTATTTTATTTCCCTCTATATTTATTTCACTTTCGCGTAATAAAATTGAATGTCTATTGTCCAGAACAGTTCTGTATAAATGCACTTTATATTTTATTATTTGTACAAATTAATATTAGACGATTGTTTTTAGTAATTTGTACGAATCTTTGCCAGTCTTTTTCTCGATAAAATTAATTTAGTAATTGCTGTGTAAATTTGATAATTTTGTAGGAGGAGATGGAACATATCACCTCAAAGTATTGGTTCCTGGTGTGGCTGCGGGAGCTATTATTGGAAAGGGTGGAGATACGATTGCCCAATTACAAAAAGATACAGGAGCCAGAGTCAAAATGTCTAAATCTCATGACTTCTACCCAGGTACATTTGTAATAGAAATTGAGACGTAAGGCGTTTATCGGTACAAAAGATTACCTTACTATGGAAAGCAGTTATAATAGCTGTACAAAATCGTTTATGTTTTACAGGAACCACAGAAAGGGTATGCTTAATAACGGGTAGTTTGGAAGCCATAATGGCAGTTATGGATTTTATTATGGACAAAATACGTGAGAAACCAGATCTCATGTTAAAAACAACCGTTGACTTTGAATCTGGAAAAACTACGGCAGAGAGAGACAAGCAGGTACAAACCTAGTCTATTTCTTCATTTTCTAGATTTTCATAGACTTATTATTATTATATCCAAACAACACACGAGAATATTCTTATCATACGTACAACTATTTCGTTTAATTAAAAAGCAGGAGATATTTTTTTTTCGTATGATATAATTGATTCCTTATTTCAGGTAAAAATTTTGGTGCCTAACAGCACTGCAGGAATGATAATAGGTAAAGCTGGTAATTATATTAAACAAATTAAAGAAGAATCTGGCTCGTATGTTCAAATAAGTCAAAAAGCAAAGGACGTGTCTTTGCAAGAAAGGTGTATAACGGTAATCGGAGAGAAAGAGAATAATCGTAATGCATTAATGATGATATTAACAAAAGTAGCGGATGATCCACAAAGTGGTACATGTCCTAATGTTAGTTACGCTGACGTAAGTGGTCCTGTAGCTAATTACAATCCTACAGGCAGCCCGTACGCTCAAGCTCCAACAAGTACTCCCACGTATACTTCTACAGCTGGCATTAACACTGGTAAGATTATAATTTTTATTTAACGGCGTGCGAGGAAAAAATTGAGAAGCTAAGCGAATTGAATAATCTGAGCGCCGGTAATTTATGTTTACAGTAAGTCTGTTGAACGGTGCCGGACTCAGTTTAAATTTGAACTTAGGAGCTGCAATAACAGCGGGTACAACGCCCGTGACAACGCAATTATTAGAACATATAAAGTTAAATTTACGAACATCCGGTTTCTCGGAACCTGCTGCTACTGAAATTTTATCTGCTATTGCAACTCTCGCTAAGTATAACATCCTCGGAATGGGAATCGGGATGCCGTCAAGCATGAGTTATCTTGGAAATCCTATGGATAGTACGACAACTGCGAACGGTTCGAACAATAACGGCGGCGTGTTTGGGCCAATTGGAACAGTACCTGCTCTTGGATCTACTTCTCCTACGCCACGCAATACACTTGACAGATACGAGCCTTTTGATCCGTTCAGACAAAACAACACAGCCGCCAGTGCTATTCATCTAAACAACAATTCGTTTGGCCTGGGCACTAACCAGTTATCACTTGTAAGTAAGAGTCCTACACAGGTAGACGCCAACAACAAGGAGACCAAGAAAGTAGACATAGAAATTGCAGAGGTTATAGTGGGAGCTATTCTGGGACCCGGTGGTCGTGCCCTCATTGAGATTCAGCACTTAAGTGGCGCCAACATACAAATCTCTAAGAAGGGCATGTTCGCTCCTGGTACCAGGAACCGCATAGTGACTATCACGGGTTATCCTAATGCGATCAGCACTGCTCAATATTTAATTGAGCAGAGGATTAGCGAAGAGGAAGCAAAACGAGCACGTCAGAATGCCCTCGCCAATATGATCCATTGATTTCAAGTACAGCACTTTTGTTCATCCCCATTATTGAGCTCCGTTATTCACCTCTTCGCATCTTGAGATGATGGCGCGGTAGCTCTCTTCTCCCTTTTTTAAACACTTGTCCACCACTATCACCACCACCTTACCACCCGTTGTCATCTATCGCTACATCACTATAGCGCTTGCATTCTCACATCACTGTTCATGCATCCATCATGGCTCGTCAACATTTATCTATCTTTTAAGATTATTATGATATATAAATATTACATGTTATATGATAACTACTACAATTGTTCTGTGATACACCACGTTACGGGGCTTTATCACGAATAACACACGTACCACATCAGAGTCACATAATATATCTAGTTGTATGGTATAGCATATTGAAAGATGGCATGATAAAACCTATTGTTCCATTAGAAACGAAAATGGCACAATTCAGCCATAATATTATTCTTGAAAGATCGGGACAGAGATGTTTACATGGGTAATTGTTTCGTTTTATAAAAATATTATTTTTTTCATTTTTTTTTTCTTTTTTTTTTTTTTTTTCTCTTTTTTAATTTATAGAAGCATAATTCAACTACTGACACGATGCGCGCTTAGTTACAACGTCATACAGAACTCGTAATTGAATGACTTCGATCTGACGAATTCGTAGTTTGTTTAGTATCCTGTAATTGAACTGAGATTCGTTTTAACAAAAAAAAAAATTTCATGAATTGTTGTATTGAACTGCTCCTTGAACTATGAAATGATTAGGCTGTTTAAGCGACGTTACTCTTGCGTAACATACTATTTTAACAAGCTTCTTAAGTACAGAATAACACCTTGGCAAAACCAAAGATCTTACGTATATAAAGCAGAAATAACTTGGCTGGAAGATGGATATACATACAAAGGAAAAGATATTCTAAGTATAAAAATATATATTTATATATGTACGATGCTGGCTGGTCCAGTTATACGAGTAACATAAACACTTTATTGCCAAGTTTTATTCTCAATCTCGAAGCTTTTGTTTCTCAAAAGACACTTGATCCAACTATATATTATCATGCTTAGATTAGTGTAAACAGAAATATATTAGCGTCGAGTCTCAGTCTTTCTTTACATACGCCTTAGGAATGGAGAATTTATTATGCTATGGAATTAGGATAAAAAATTACTCGATCCGTTTAGCGAAGACTCGGGTAATGATTTCGATAAAGTTATCGCATGATATTGTATATACACATCGTACGTGACAAAACTGTTGTCTAATTATTTTCAGTCTCAAGGTATATCAGTTGAATACAATTCAGATTAATAGATTTTTACATTTGTTGACGCTTGTTAAAACAAAAGCTGTGACTATGAAACATTGTTTTTCGTCATTCCTTTAAGTTATAGTTGCACGAATACAATTTTTATTATCACGTTGAAAAAATGTTTATATTTGTATAAATGCGTTTTCAATAGTTTAGTCGTAAAAATATCTTTCTTCCCGACGACACGTTTATTTTTTTCTTTTTTTTTTTTGTTCGTTTCAAAACTTTTACGACAATTTTTATTAATGTATCGATATTACAAATTGAACATAGGAAAAGGGATATTCGTTTCTCTGGCAACTAAACGTTTCTTTTCCATGCAATGATTAATGTACCTTAGGCGTAGCATGAAAATTGAGATTATTTTATTACGCGTGTTTATTCTTGCATATAGAGTCTATTATGATCAGCAGTCGTGTCATACATCCTTGGGTTCTGTATGATACTGCTTTATATAAGATTCTATTTAAGACAACCAAATCTTTAACCGTTGCACTTTGACATTGAATCAAATCAAGTTAGATAGAGAATGGATTTTAGCTAGTAATCTTGTCTGTGTTGATAATTACTAATGAATAATTGGTACAGCTTGTGCTCTATTGCGGGGTGAAAGGAAGATACACACAATCTATTAACAAAACAGACAATTTCGAATCATTGTTTCTTTTTTTTTTCGGGGTACGTGGGGAAGGGGGGTGAGGGCAAGGGAGGGGGGTGGGCGGGACGGGGGTCGAGGGGCCGGGGGGGGGTATTAGGAAGGAGTGGTATAAGGGATAGGCGATAATCAATAATGGGTATAGTTAAATTTACCGAAAACATTAGCTATAGCGTCAAATGAAATATATAAGTGTACATGAGTACAATTCGTAGCTGGAGGCGCTGGCTCACCGCTCTTTAACAGAAAAAAAAAAAAAGTAACTTGTATATTTATAAATATCGTATATATGAGTAATAATAATATATTATACACACGTGCGCACACACGCACGCGCACACGTGAACGGAGAAGGTTGTAAATTTACGCGCGCACGCGCGTGTGTGTAGAGATACGCGCGCATGGCAAGTTTCAATTAAAGGTTATTACAAAAAAAGAGAATTCATATATCTAAAAAGAAAAAAAGAAATAAATAATAATATATATATATATATATGTGTGTGTGTATATATGTATATATATATATGTATGTATTTATATATACACAAACATATGTGTGTGGGTGTGTGGGTGCGTGCGTGTATATATATATATATATGTGTGTATGTATGTATATATACGTGTATATATATGTATATACATACATATATAGAATGGAATGATATTATAAACATTGTTGACAAAATATTTTTGCGTCCGCGAACGTGAAACATGGTTTTAAGTTTATCCATAAATTCTATGTAAACTATTATGAATTAAACTTCACTGTGTTACCTAAATGCATTGAAAAAGTCACAGTTACGATAAAGATGCAAACTATTATTACGTTGCTGTAGATAGATCTATTCTAAAATTTTAATAGAACATGTTCTAAATGTCGCATACGTAGCATTAATTTAATTTATAATACCATTTAATTTAACGACCGTTAACGCTATCGACACTAACGGCAGCATAATATCTCTCCGCATTAATTGCATAGGGCAATTCGTCGCTAATCGATCGTGTATCATCGCATCAGAGTTGTCGTTTGGAACACTCGAGTCTAATCCTTTCGTAATCTTTTCGTCGATTTCGATTCTCTAACGTTGCGCTCGGAATAATTTTGCTAGATCAAGCTTACCAAAAACAAGTATACCTGAATCGAACACTGTACTAAATTCGTATATCACGGAGTAGATCGAAGCAGTAAACTTTGAGAGAAAGAAAACATTTTTCCGAACATCGATCCTGTTATTGGGAAGCGAAACGATTAAATTTCAGTCTTCATAACGTTCTTCTTATTGATTTGCTTGTTTGCACCTTCAAAGCTGTCGCGTTTATTCGGTTGATTTCGCTCCATGGATAGAAAGTTATTCGCGCGCGTCGATTTAAATAACGACATGCAATGTCTCTTACAAGTAACATCTCTATGCCAAACAACTTGTAGGTAGCACGAGGTAGTTAGATTAGGTTACGGTTTTTCTTTCAGTAAATACATTCCTTAGTAGAACAGATTATGTATAAGACTAGCTGTGATGGAGTCGAGGGATGTATGTTGATCGGCTGTCAGTACATGAACAAAACCTTCACGACGCGACCGTCGGTGACGTGTAAAATTGTAGAATTCATTTCCGCAGGAGAAGTAACTCGATGGGCGTACGAAAGGTGAAATACGATCGGCAAGGAGAAAACATTGAACGGATGATCTTTCTGCGTGATGTAAACGGTGGTTTAGCGTTCGAGCGTGCAAACTAAATATTTTCTGTCGGACGATCTTGCAATATCCGTTTTCCGGTGTTGTTTCTCGGAACGTTACAGAATCTCCTTGCACCGTTGGTAAGAAAAGGGCGAGAAAAAGAAAAAGATATAGAAACACATACGCAAACAATAGCGATCAGCCAGTCTAACATAAGTATTTCCTTTAGCAATTTATACATCTGTACAATGTTAGTAATTTACGAGTATCGTCAATATCAGAAAAAGAAAGATGTTAAACGTTGGTCGAATAGCAAAATGACGATCAGACGTGTCTATCGTTGAACTTCAGAACTTTTAAATCGTATGTTACCGACGCGTTTAACGATTTCTTGTCCTTCGATCGCGAAAACGATACACACAAAGTACCTCTGCTTAGAGCGGCGAAAACAGTATTGATCGGTCAGTGAATGTTACCTACGAGTTGTTTAACGAGAGGATACAACGCTGTTAGGGCCAATCGAGTCCGGCGTTCCCGTCGAACGTACACTTAGAAAGATGTTTATTTTATGCGACGTTTCGTTTTGAACAGTACGAGGTAGAGATTTGATTGGCTGACTTCTGTCGCGTTCGAATTTCGCGGCGTCGAACAAACTGTACACGATTAAATAGATATATAGATGTGTAGATAGTGTCTTAAATCTCTTATAACAGAAAAAAAAAAAATAAAATAACAGTTGTCATTACAGGTTAAAACATTTTAAACCGATTAATCGATCGAGAATATTTACAGAACGAGTAAACAAAAAAAAAAAAAGAGTTAAATTATAATCCCGCACGTGGAAACTAACAGTAGTGTGTAGCGAAAACCAGGAAGAAAAACGAAGAGAAAACTGTAGGAATTGCATTGACTTGCCTCGATTCTAATAACGACTATTATTAATGCAGTAACTATAATTGAGTTTTTTGACGCGCGCATCGCCACGCGGGTTGGTGGCTTCGCGTGTCTACGTTACTTGGCTGTGTGTGCTAGGCTACATCGTATAATTCATGTACCATTATCCATCACTCCACTTGCATAGAATCCAGTTACCTGTATAGAGCAAAATAACAAGGGGGAAAAACCGGAAGAATAACCGATGATCGGATTTCGAAGGAAAATATGCTAATTAAAGGGTCGGCGGTATACACATATATTATATCAGTAATACCAGAAGACAGAGAAAAAGAGAAAGAGAGAGAGAGAGAGAGAGAGAGAGAGAGAGAGAGAGAGAGAGAGAGAGAGAGACGGGGATAAAAAAAGAAGAAATAACTTTTACGCACGACGTTCACACACTTCACGCAATCATTTTAGTGCCATATTGATATCCCATCAGCCACACTTGTTGACGTTTTAACGGTAGAACGTGTTGTTAAAGATGTGTATATTCTGCGATATAAAGCAGGCTGTTTTGAATAAAGTCAAAATACGTTTTATTTCTCATTACATATATACATACGTACGTAGGTGCGTACGGACATACATGCATATATATTGAAATCGTTACGAAAGTATTATATAAAACATTCACCACCTGTATATTGATTATTTAGGTTGTCGCCAGTGTACAAAGAATTGTTTCACAGTTGCAGATGAATTTAAGTTTAATAAGACTACAGTACCTCCTGCTTGTATGCCACCAATATTTTACGGAACGGAACACAGCCAACCAGACGAGGTCTTTATCGCCCGTAAGATGGAACTTTTTCGACGATTATTAACATTTTTACGTTTCTTACATTCTGATAAATTCCTACTATTTTCTCGTCTCTGAGAACCTTTCGATTTACAAATCTAATTAAAAATAATATTGAAAGTTATTGTAATTTGTCCACGCTTGAATCAAACTTTATAAGCATAATGAAACCGTAGAAAAATAAAAATGTTAACGACGTTCGATGGTCGATCTTGCACGCGACAAAGTTCACCAGCGTTTGTTGTGTGTTGCGTGTTGCTCGTTGTTCGTTGCCACATCTCGATTAATACTTGTACGCATATGTTTCTTAAAACCCCCGAGCTCGGGCTTTGGATAAAAATTGTGAAAAGTTTGGATAAAAGAAAATTTGAGAACCTCAAGTGCATAGAAGCGCGAGTTACCGTACGTAGTAACAATTACCACGATAATGAGACAAAAGAGCCGTTCGATCGCGAGCCTTAAATTCTCGAACTTTTTCTTTTATTTGCGAAACTTGCGAGGAGAAACTTTTTTTGTAAAAAATGCAACGGTTTCTTGCGAACGACGAGCCAAACGCGGTTCGATCTTCCGATCGTTCTTCCGGCTGGTCGAGAAAAAAGGGAGCTTTTTTGTTTGTTTGATCGTTTGGCGAACAAAATCTTGCTACGAGGAGT